AGAGCACTAGCGGGCGATCTCAGTGCTCGAGCCGACCGTGCACAGGTGCTGAGCATCGTCGAGTAGGGGGAAACACCGTGGCCAAGTCGAGCGAGTCGCGCGGGTGGTGACACTGCCGGCATTTATTGCTGACACGTGTCGATTGCCATATAGTCTGACACGTCATCGTTGTCAGGTAAAATAGCAAAGCGCGATTGCTAGTCAAACTAGCGGCCAGCGACCCCCTTGCCAATCTTTTTCTGAGCAGTACAATGCATATGCAGGCAACTATCTTCGCATGACTCTACATAGCTTGGCCCCCACCCTTTCTACGACTGACAATGTCGGTTATGCGCAGCAGCTTCTTCATACTTACGACGGAGAGAATTCTGATGCGAGCGCCTCGCCGACTGCTGTGTCACATTCCGCTGACTCTGACTGATCAACTGAAAACGGCTGATCTCAAAACAATCGTCTAAAGCAGATATCTTGCCCGTCGGTGTCTGGCTCTGTCAGCCGCAAAACGCGTAGCTGCCTCAGATTGCGAGCTGACTGCTGCTGGAAGAGCCTGCCGGCAAGCAAAATCAGACTCGTGAAGATCGTGACTTGTGTCTCGTGACGAGGCTGTTGCGAGCAACGATCCCAGCAGGCTGCATGACCGTCGAAGAATCCGACGAAGAGCTTCTGGTCGTAGCATCGCCGAGTGAGCAGCTTTCGATGAGTCTGGCAGCAGGACAAGCTGAACCATGCAGAATGCAGAGAAATNNAAANCNCCATCTCAGCATGCCTTNANCTACGCGCCNNGANCAGTGACGGCGCCAGCAGCTCATCACACTGATATTGCCTTGCCGCGGACAGCCCAGAGCCGGTCTTCAAAGCTTGCACGGGCGCTCGCAGCCGAGCGTAAGCCTCGCAACCTCACGGAGCGACGAGACAAGCGTACGTCGCTTGCCCTGCTCTTCCTCCTGCAGTGTGCTCAATGCGATACAATGCAGCCGCATCCTCGTTCTTGGCTGCATCTATAAAGGCGCATACTCGTTTACAGCATCAGCAAATCCGAGGCAATGCACCTCGCTCGACGTCTTCTGGCGAATCAGCTGCAAGGAGGCTTCAGCGTATACCCCAGGCAGACGAGCAGCCTCATGCAAGCACGTGGCGTGTCACGCAAACAGACCGTCTGCCGTTTAATCATGCTCGCCTGAATCAGCACGTCTGCGTGATGACGGACTGAGAGTTGTCAAAGATCTCGAGTCATTTCCCATGCCTCATACGCAGCGTCCAGACGATCAAGACTACCAGCAGATTGAGCCTTCCCCTGGGACCAGCATCTCCAAGACCGGTTNTACTNCTCTTATGGCTGATCTTCTTNGTGGTGCGTGAAGCGCCCGGCCGGCCGGCCATCCCGATCNGCCCATCGAACGCNACTGGATTGTCATCGGCATGCTGTGAGAACAGAGTCCAGTCAGGTTGACGAGTCAGATCGGCGATACAAATCAGCCGGCACAGAATGAAGCTGCCGACGAAGACGAAGTATTGGACTCCGCTGCTGGCAAAGGACACCTGGAACGGCCGTACAATGTTCGCCGATGATAGGCCCTCAGGCATATGTACAGGCCTCACACATGGCAAAGCTGCTGGGAAGGGCATCGCCAGAGGCAGCGGCAAGCTTGGCTTCGAGCCAGCACGCGACGACGACAGACCCGACTATGCGAATAAGACTGGCTTGCTGCCCAGCAATAGCAACACCATCGTCGAGGGAGTGACGATCTTTGTCATAGCCAGCTCGCTCACAAAGGTGCCCAAGTGAGGCCGCTCTGGCGAGTCGATCTCATCAAGCCTTTGGATCCAAGCTCGAACGGAGCGAAGAAGCATCGCCGCGATCATTCAGAGAAGTAAATCCATCTCAAGGAGGGATTCGACGAGATGCTTGGCAATGATCGCGATTCGATTGGCGCTCATTACCTGCGAGATGCCGAAGCGAACGAACCCGCTCGGTCCAAGGGCGCTGCGCTGACCACTGCAGCTCAGGAGGATCAAGTGCAATCAGCAATGCAGCCAGAGCTCATGCCGCGAACCTACAGTCCTACGAAGCTCCATATGATGGGCTCTGATCCCGTCGCCGATGAAGATACGACCAGAGGTTTCGTCGATCCAGAGTCTCAACAGGCTAAGATCAGTGCGAACGAGGATCGAAGATTGATCTGTCTCATCATGTGCCCGTGCAGAGCAAAGCAATGGCAGCGCTCACAGCCAAGCCGGCCAGAGCCAGACTCAATCCTTAGCTCAGCGCGCCGCCAACGAGAATTGCAGATGTGCGCCGCTGAGCCCCGTCACTCCTACCGAGCTACTTGTTGAGCTGTAATGCAACGCTCGGCANCTTGCTAAGTCGCTAAGCGGAATGAGCCGTCCGCTGTCCGACTGCTGTGCTGCGAAACAACAATGGCGCTCTTGCTCGCGCCATCTCTCGCAAGCGTTACAGCATGTGAAATACTGCCATGCAGGACAACTGACGAGACGGTACTATGTGAAATGTATTTCGTGCCTGTGGAGGTCTGCGAGCAAGCGGAGAGAAATTTCGACGCCTCATCTTGGCTCCTCTGGTCTGCCTNAAGGCACGTTCGCTAAGAATCGTCTCTATGAGTGCCGTGATGCCCGAGTCACTCGGCAAGCGCTGTCGACTCGAAGCTTCAAGGTCAACGGATCGATTGAGATCCGCAATGCAAGCGACTTGCCTTGTTTTGCGAGCTGCAACAGGCCCTGTGATCCAACTCGAGCATTCCCCGACGCCGCTAGCTCTGAAGATCTTGCTGCGTCCCGCAAAGANGACTCTCGCTCGCATCAGGATTCCCTTCGTCGTAAATGTGATATGTGAAGAAAGCTGCGCATATCCGTTATTGTCAGCCGCAAAAAGGGTGGGGGCTAAGCTATGTAGAGTCATGCGAAGATATTTGCCTGCATATGCATTGTACTGCTCAGAAAAAGATTGGCAAAGGGGGTCGCTGGCCGCTAGTTTGACTAGCAATCGCGCTTTGCTATTTTACCTGACAACGATGACGTGTCAGTCTATATGGCAATCGACACGTGTCAGCAATAAATGCCGGCAGTGTGACGACATTGGATGCTGCACCATCATGCTGCTCCTGCCCGGCTCATACTCGCTTTCGGGTGCCCCCTCGCACGCAGAACTAAGCTGAGAGGGCTGTCTACGTCCAGCAAGCGCGAAGAGCAGAAGTCTATCGGTCGGATCGAGCTTGTCCCTCAATCAAAGGCAAGAGATGATGATGGCGACTTTTATGCGGAATGGCACCGTGAGATGCTCGCTGCTGGCTACACGACGCCATCAGAGCGCTGGAGACCGTCCGTGACATCGCCCGTCCTGTTTGCGACGGGTCTCTCCGCCATCTCGCTCGGTTTAGCGGCCTATCTGACCAACCGAGATGAAGAGCATTACAAGCACAAGATCGATGGCACTCGCTTCAGAAGCTGGCTCAGAACACAGTCAGACAGTCACGCACTGGCTGGCGAGTGTGCTGCGTTGGCGCGAGCACGTGAACAGGACAGACTCGCTCGGCTGCGCGCCTGGTACTCGACGCTCAACCGTGACAGCAAGGAGGCAGTGGCGCCTTTGCTCAATAGATGGAACAGGATGACAGAGGGTCAGCGTACTGTTGCAGGCGTNATTGGCGTCTACGTAGGAGTCTACGGCCTCGCTTGGGTTCTCAAGCCAAAGACATTCTTTCGNNTGTTCACTCACTATGCGCCCACGGCTCGATTGTACCCGCTCTTTACATCGAGCATCGCCCACTTCAATCTGCTTCACCTCGGCGCCAATGCTTACGCTCTATACACATTCAGTGGAGCCATGTACCACCACATGGGCAAAGCCAGCCGGCTGACAAGAGAAAGTGGCGCTCGCGATGGCGGCCAGCCAGCTCAGGCAGAGTCGACGACACGCTACCACTTCTTGGCGTTCATGGTCTGCGGTGGTGTCATGTCATCACTCGGGTCGCACCTTTGGGATTCTCGCATTGCTTACAACGCGGTAAGGCGGGCACTCAGAGATGGCATACGCGCGACGCCCAAGCTGTTCTGGCGCGTTCGACCTGGCTTGGGCGCATCGGGTGCAGTATGGTCAGTCGTCTCTTATACCGCCCTCAGTACACCCGACGCTCGGCTCGGCATCATCTTCTTACCTGGAATTGATTTTCCCATTGGCGCGGCTGCTGCTTGCTTGGTCGGTCACTTGCCTGACTCATGTGCGTGTCACTGACGAGTGAGCAGTTTGGTATCGATGTGCTTGGTATGCTCCTCGGCTGGTCCCGCTTCGGCCATGCAGCCCATGCGACGGGCGCACTGTTTGGCGTCTTCTGGTTCTACGAAGGCGGTAAGCCAGCACATGTCTTGCATGCTACAATGCTGATCACAGANNATAGGCTACATCTTCGACAGCATCAGAGCAAAGGTCAGGCAGCTCTCAGAGGCAATCGCATAGAGCGTAAGAGGNCAAAGTGTCCATGCAATCAAATGTCCATCAAGCAGCAAAGGCAAGAGCTNCGAGCGGCTNAGTAGACACCAGCTGCGCCGTTGATGCCAGTGCCGGCGGAGCTACCGAGACCGTTTGCGACTGTCTGACCGGCCTCACCACCTTGNGCGCCTGCGAGATGACCGCCTGCATTCGCGCCATTGCTGCTGTCGAGGTGGCCCTTGTCGCTCGAGGACTGACCGGCCTTGCCTGCAACGTGCGAGCCTTGACCTTGCGAAGCCGAGCCGCCCGAGGCACCGCCGAACTTGGCGCTGCCGTCCGCATGGCTACCTTGGGATTGGTGAAGATCACCAGCAGCATTGTGCGAGTCAGATGTGGAGATANTCTGGCTGGACTTGTCGCTGTTCTTTGCGAAGCCGCCGATATCGGAGTTGCTGGATTGGCCACCCTGGACAGAGCCGAAGCCGTTGCCGTAGGCATTGTTGGCGCCAAAGATGTTGCTTCCCTGGTTGAGGCTGCCGTAGCCGGCGTTGTTGATGGCCTGGCCATAGCCGAGGTTGTTGTAGGCGTTGTTGTAGAGNGCACCNTTGCCAGCGCCGTATCCATCTGCTAGTCCATAGCTCGAGCCTGCTCGCGTGATGCTCTGTTAAGTTTCACTGGGCAGACGAGCGCCTCACTGACCATAGCCCGCACCGTAGCCACCGAGACCGGTAGANCCGGCACCGTAGCTCTGCGTCGGCAGGAAGGCGCCGTAGAACTGGGGCGCGGCGGACGCAGAGGCAACGATGGCCAGCATGACGAAAGAAGCACCGATCATATTGCAAGTGATAGACTCTGAAGTGGTAGTACTGGTGAGACTGTTGATGCGATGGAGCTGAAGCTGATTGATGGATTGAATGGCTGGCCCAGCATGTTTTGTAGCTGACGGTCAGCCGATTCGGATCGACGCTGACGGGTCGGATCAGGCACTGCGGTCATAGCGCGGTGCCGTCACGACCGATGAAAATCGCCTTGGGCAGTGCTGCGATGGGAGCCGGGCAAGATGAATGCGTGCGGCGATGTATAGTCTGTCCGTGATTGAAGGACAGAAAGATGCAGAGGAGTGGATTGGGATGAGTGCCGTGGTGATGTTGATGAGGTTGAGAGGAGAGCGCGACCTTGCGAGCCTTACAAACTTGTCCTCTTCATCATTGGCTGCGTCAGTCCCTGAGGCAGGAGTCGATGCTTGATGAGGGCATCGATGTCACCCCAACATCTCCTCTGGCCGTAACTCAGTGTGCAGCCAGACTCGACGAGCTAGACATCGTCAACGTAAGCGTTGAGCACACGCCCAAGTCTGCTTCAACGTCGAGCAGCTCACAGGCGGGTCAGGCACCTGACGAGCACGATGAACATTGGCAGACGCTCGCGAGCTTGCAGAAGATTCCACAGTGTCTGCTCGACGATCCTCAACAGAGTATCCCCTTCTCGCGCGTGACTGCCCGGGTACCACTCGAAGACTTGCCGCTGCAACTACAAGATGTCTGGATCATACACATCCGCGCGCAAGACATAGAGCTCTGTCGAGAAGCATCAGCTGCGCTTCAAGCCAGGACGAGAGCGATCAAGCAGCTCAAGCGCGTCAGACCGTCGCCATACGCGCCAGGACAAGAGCGCTTCGTCGATCTGCTCATCTGCGCTGTCGAGGTCTTGGAGCCATATGAGGACGCTGAAGGTATCCCAAGGCAGCGATTGAATGGTTCACGGCTGGATCGACAGCATCTCGAAGCAGCCTTGGGCCCAGAGCTGCTTGCACGACTTGATGGTCCAGCAGAGATGATCCAAGCGTCTGCTCTGCTTCCACGTACACTAGCGCAGTATGAGGACTGGCGGAGGTATTGGCCAACAGCTTACATGCCTCTGCGCGAAGATGAAAAGGCGCCCGCAGGCTTTCCAGGATGGTGTGCCGCCAAAGCCATCTGGGCGACCAAGGAACTCGACCGTCTGCGTGGTGTAGCTTTGCGCAACTCTCAAGCTGGCGATCTACCTGTTGCATGTGCCGTCTGCGAAACCTGGAACAGTCAGGTTCATAGCGCGACCACGCTGCCACGACTGCTACTGACTGAAACCGACACGAGGCATAGTCAGCGTGACCCGACCCGCACTGCGTTTATCAATGCCATCGATGCTGTCTCCAAATTAGACCTCTTACCGGGCGGGAAGACTCGCTCGCTCGATGGCGAGATTCCCTACCTGCTCACCGGGCTGACGGTTTTCGCCACGCACGAGCCCAGTCTCATGTCTGCCATGGCGTTACTTCATTCCCGCATTGCCCAGCTCTTCTACATCGTGTCTGCGCCTGGTTCTGGTGGCTGTGGATCACACTATCACGTGCACGAGGACGAAGCGCTCAATCACAAGTATCAGGTCTGGCAACTGGATCCCGAACGCGCAAAGGCGGTTGGCTACCCTGACATGACGCACGGACTCGAGGGGCTTCAATCAGATCCGTGAATCATGCTCTCGAGCTCGGACCCTGGGGCGATGTGTCTGCTGGAGCGAGCCAGTTCCGGCTGATCTCTCTGCGCTCGTTTGGAGTTTATCGCGATGCCCGACCGCTTCGCGCTTCAGAAGCATTGCCTTGCCGGCTTGGCTCGACATTACTTCTTTATCCGCTAGCAGATGAGCAACGTCTTGCCGCTCCTCATCAGTCTCGCCGGCCCGGTTGTCTCAGCGTATGTCTGGTCTCGAGTGACTCATCTAAGCGCGATCGAGAAGACGGCGGGAGCAATTCTGCTGACGCTGACGACGACGAAGCTCGGCAATGTCGCCGATTGCTACATGTACGGACGTGCGGCACGTCGACAGGGAGCCCAACCTGTACCGACCATCGCTGGCTGGTTGCCCGGTTCGATTGATGTTCTGATCAAGATGCTCATCAAGCGCAAGTCCGAGATGACTGGCGCTAGCCTATTGCAGACTTGTTCCGCGTATGTCAAAGGCTTGACGCGAGGTCATCGTCTGACGATGTGCGCAGGCAAGGCGGGATTGTAAGGCTTCGAGTGCTCTCGCAAACCATTTATTTCACGAACCACAACCAGGTCGGCAAGCATGTGCTCAGCTCACCGGGCTTCCTGAATTATATCAAAGGAGAACGGTTCAAATCGGCTTGGTCCGAGCTACTCGCCAATGGCATCTTTGCGAGCGATCCCGACGAGACCTGGAAGTGGCATCGCGCTGTTGCGCGCCCCTTCTTCGCGAAAGAACGTGTCAGCGACTTTGCATTGTTCAACAAATATGCGGATCACATGATCGAGATCGTCGAGCGATCTGCTAAGGACCAAAGCGCAATCAATATCGAAGATGTGCTTGGTCGCATGACGCTCGACATTGGCAGCGCTTTCTTGTTCGGTACCAGTGTCGACTCACTCGCTGTTCTCGATTCCAAATGCGACGATACCACTCGCCAGTCCCAAGCTGTCCTCGCAGCTTTCAATGACGCACAAAACAATGCGATGGTGCGTACGGTCATAGGTACGAATGCTCAAATCTGGATCTCCCTCTGCTGACATGCTTACAGGCCAGCCTTTCTGGCCGCTCATCGAACACATCACCGGCAACCCCCAGATCAAACCGATGAGTGTGCTTGGCGGCCTAGTCGACGGCATTGTACATCGCGCGGTTCTGCGACGCGAAGCGGGCATCAAGTCGGGCGACGAGCAGACACAGACGTTCCTCGGCCATCTCATGACGGTCACCACGGACGAAGCGATTCTGCGCGACGAATTGCTGAATGTCCTCATCGCTGCGCGCGATACGACGTCAAGCTTGATGACCAGCACGATCCACGCTTTTGCTCTACATGCTGACGTCCTCAAGCGAGCTCGCGAGGAAGTTCTTGCCCTCGTCGGTCACGACAGTCATCCGACACATGACGACATGCGCAACATGAAATACCTTCGTGCAGTCCTCAACGAAGTCCTTCGGCTGTACCCGTCCGTGCCTGCCAACATCCGCGCGGTCACGCGAGACGACGTGATGTGCATCGACGATAGACGTATCTTCATCGAACAAGGCTCGAGTGTGGCGTTCAGCATCTGGGGGATCCACCGTGAAGCGCGTACATGGGGCGAAGATGTGCTGACTTTTGATCCTGCGCGATGGCTCGATGGCGACAAGCGTTTCACTCGATTGGCAACGAATCCGACGATGTTCCAACCCTTTTCTGGTGGACCTCGCATCTGCCTGGGCATGCAGCTCGCGTATGCCGAGGCGACGACAACGATCATTCGGATGCTCCAGAAATTCGATCATATGGAACTCGCGCCCGATTGTCAACCTGGCATCACGCCCAAGCCGCTCGGCTCCTCTGTCACTCTGTCGTACAAAGGCGGCCTCCATGTCCGCTTCAGACTCGCGCAAGACGAGTCTTAGACTCTATAGATCTTCGTAATCTGCTGTATGCTCGAGGCATGGTAATCGATATGTGCGCGTGAGAGATTGCTGTCACGCGCGCTTTCGTTTGCGCCCAGCGTTGGCTCGCCGAATTGACGTCTACGGCGTCGGCTGGCCTGCGTGCGGCGATGTCGGATGGGCTGTCGCTCCTGTCACAGGCGCTGCAGCAGCCACGAGACTCTGACCAACAGGTAGAGGCTCTGAGGCGTCTGCGGGCCGCACTCGAGGAGAACCATGGCACGCTAGCGATCATCTGTCCGACTTTGCTGCCCATGCTCAGTACACCTATCGGGCGTGTCTTGAGAGAATGGATCCAGGACCTCATGACATACATCTTCTGCCGAGCGTCTATCATGCCCGAGCAGAAATTGCAACGTCAGTCCTTGCCCACTGTCGCCCTTGTACCTGCATCTCTTAGCTCATGCATGATCATGCGCAGTGGCCAATCTCGCCCTAGAAGCGCTCAAGGAGACACTCAGGGATCCCCGGCGAGAGGCACAGAAGACTGCCATCCAGTGCTTTGCAACGCTTTACCCGCTCTATCTGCGGTCAGCGTGAGTCACGCCGGTCCTGTCGGCATCCCATGTGCTCATTGCGGTGCTATGTTGCTACGACAGATGCGACAAGCGCGATGGAGAGCGATGGGACAAGGTGATCCACCTCAAGAATGAGATCCTGCAGATTTGGACAGTTGGCTCGACGGGCGTCAAGATTGCGACGACCAAAGTCATCCAGCGCATCATTCAGGCACAGTCCAGGATAAGCAATGACCCCAGAGTGAGTTGATATCGTCGGCGAGCGCTCACTCATATGAGCTGACGCTGCAAAATGGCTGCAGATGCGACGGACAGAGGAAACAAGTCTGGCGAGCGTGCCCGTCAATCATCCCTTTCTGCGACCGCAGACGCTCGAGCAAGAGGCTCAGAAGCTGCTCGAGGAACTCATCAAGACACTCTTCATGACCCGTACGCCAGATCTCATCTCCGCCATCATCAATGCGCTCGTCTTGCTTGCAAAAGCTCGGCCGCTACACGGCCAGCTCATCGTCACGACTTTCACCAATTGGACACCCAATGCCCTCGGCAACCTGTCTTTCACTCAAGTGAGGAGTGTAGAGAAGACACTGAGGATAGCGCTGGTGCACCTGTCCCGCGTACCCTCCGTCACGCTCTACAATCCCCAGATTCTCGAATATCTAGAGCAGCAGACGAGCCGAATGGCGCTGGCTGCAGAAGCCGACCAGAAGCGTAGAGAAGACGACGCTGTCCGCAAACGAAGTCGGATCGCCGACGAACTCTCCGAAGCCTCAAAACGGCAAAAGACCGCTCATACCGCTGCTGTGCCTGACCGGCCGGCTCGGAGCACGATGGATGTGTTCCAGAGCGCGAGCCAGAGCAGTCTGGCATCATTTGACGTCACAAGCCTGCCCTTTGACACTGTGGTAGATCTGATCATCGCCAATTTTCAGGTCATCACAGATGACACGCTCACAAGCTCTATCGACCGCATTCGACAGAATCTTGGGGCCGACGGGCGAACGCGCCACGCTGCGGCTGGACCTAGCGAGGCTGCGCCAGTTGATCCTCTTAAGATGGAGGTGGGCGAAGACGATCTCGGCATGCTACCGCTTGCTCGCGATGCTGTAGAAGGCTCGCCAGAGGTTGAAGATGCAGGACTCGACACGTTCGAGTTGCCCGCGCCATCCAAGCTCATCCAAGGAGCACAGGAGCAGATCTTGCTGAATGCTGCTGCTCGCATCTGCACTGCTGGAGCTTCAGCCATGGCAGATCCTTACGGCTCGGCAGCAGCAGTCAGCGAGCTATGGATACCCACTTTAGCCAGGCTCATCAGCCGCGGTTTCGATTCCCAGGGCGAATACGCCCAGTCCTTACGGCAAATGCTCTTTGATTTCGTTACCGCCGACTTTTCGGCGCGCATAGAACTTGCCCGACTCTGGCTCAACGAGGAGTGGTTCACTTACAGGCCAGAGCCCGAGGTCAGTCCTGCCATCATGACAATGATCCGCCATTGACATTACGATATGAACAGGTCACGATCAGTCCTTACGAGACTTGGCTAAATCGTCTGCTGAGCCATGCCGCAAGCAATGCTCAGCGCTCGGATGAGGGACACAAGTCCTTTTCGCAGTTTATTCTCGACTTGCCAGAACTACCGCGCTCCGAGTTCAACCGTCTAGAGGATATGTGCCGCGCCCCCGCTCAGTGAGTCTCAACTCACCGTCGTGCGTCAGCTGACCTCTTGCATAGACTCAAGCTCGGCTTCACCACGCTTCGCGAGCTCGCAGCCTTGCGACCGACATTACGGCCTGACGCTCTAGATGTCTTGCTCTCATTGACGACTGCGACAGATAAGCTGCCGCGCAATGCTGCCATCCAGACCGTGAGAGTATGGGCACCCGATGTACAGCCATTGGCAGATACGGTCATTCAATTTGCACTACAACTGCTCGCGCGTCTAGACCAGTCCAATGCGCCTCCGTCTGAGCCGGACCCAGTAGAGCAAAAGCCGCGGATCGCAAACGAGGCTGGGCCCACAGCGATCAATGGCAGCGTCGACATGGAGCATGATGACGAAGAGAAGAAGCCAGAGATCCAGCAAGCACAAAATGCTAGAGTGGTTGGCGCCCAGATTGTCGACGATTTACCGTACCCAAGCACATCTGGCGAAGTCGTTCGACACATCGAACTATTGCTTGGCTTATGCATCAAATCACCCGAGCTGCTGACTGACCTTTTTGTGGCCTACGTCAAAATGGCGCCAATGGTCCAGGCTGCCGTCGAGGAAGCTATTACTGGCCTGATCAGACATCTCGGCGCGTCTCACCCTCGTATTCTGGACTTAATCGAAAACCCACCGGCCGGCTCAGAGCCACTCGTCCTTCGCGTCCTCGCTATTTTCACAGTCAAAGGCAAGCCGCCGCAGGAGCTGGTTGACCTGATCAAGAGCATGGCGGCCGAGAAAGAACTCAGCCCGCGATTCATCGTGCCAATCCTCTCAGAGCTTACCAAGGTGAGTTCTCAGCTGCTCGTGCCGCATCGTTGCTTGACAAAATCAAACAGCATGAGATCCTGACGCAGCTACCTCGTGTCATGACGCTGTTAGGCGGCAAAGCACCCGAAAAAGAGCTCATTCGCGCTGTACTTGATGCTGTTGTAATCCGACCGCCACGCGACTACGGCACAGTATCGACAAACGTCGCTCGAGTCCAGCAAAGCGAGCTGCTCACGCCCGTCGAATTGCTTGTCTTGCTGCATATGCAGGAGAAGCAGATTGGCCTCAAGGCAACCATCGAAGGTGAGCACATCCCGCGCCTATGTACTCTGGCCAAAATGTGACGAACGGCATTTTACAGCTATCGGGCTGTGTTTCTCGATGAGAGACGTCTTCCTCCCGGAGGTTCTAGCTGCCTCGATGCAGCAGATCATGGACGAGCCGCAATTACCGACGCTCTTTATGAGAACAGTGATTCAATCGATCTCGGTCCACAAGTCACTGATGTCCTTTGTGTCCAATACATTGCTGGCCCGTCTCGTCACGAAGAAGATATGGGAGACGCCACAGCTCTGGGAAGGCTTCATAAGATGTGCAAAATCTATTGGACCTCCTTCATTTGGCGCGCTGCTGCAGCTTCCGCGAGATCAGCTCAAGGATCTGGTGGCTAAGCAGCCCACGCTCAGACCTGCCCTGAAGGACTTTGTGATCAAAAGTACGTTCCTGCGCAGATGTCATAGACAAAGATTGACCGTGGCGACAGAGGTCGGCAGCAATAAGGCGCGCGTCACGTTATTGCTCGAGGCGCTCGGGGAAGATCCAGGGACGCCTCAGTCAGTAGAATCGCCAGGCGCGACCGGGATGCTCTCTCCATCGAGCGATTCGCAAGATCGGACACCTCACACGACAGGTATGCGCACGCCCGTGCCTGTGGCTAGATAGCGTACAAGATGCTGCGAAAAGACTGTTGTACTTGCACGTGTCGTACTGCTGCATTGCGTCTGATGTTACAACAACATGTCCTACTGCGATGCTTGTCCGCTCATGGCCTTGTCGTGTCTGCCGGTACGCTCTCGTCGTCATCCTCGTCATCGTCGCCAAGTGCGTAGACTTCTTCGTTGACATCTGCCGCTGGCTTGCTCTCAGGATCTGAGGTGAGCATGTCGACGAGCAGAACAGAAAACGCGCCAACGATGAGCCCGCAACCAATGAGGGCCGACATACTGAGCGCGCTCGACATGACAAAGGTGTCCGCAATGGCGACGAGGACGAGCGTACAGAGGTTGCCGACGGACGCGACGACAGGACCCCAGAGGCCGAGCAAGAGCATGAAGCCACAATTGAAGATGACGCCACAGATGACCATGGCGATGATAGAGCCCACTATACCCAGGTTCGGCGGCAGCTCGAATGGTTCTATGCCTGTGAAATGCAGAATGGGTATCGGTACCCAGAGCAGGAGAAGCGTAAAGACGCCGATCATGCTCGTGATGAAGTTGGCGTGCGTAAGGAAGACGACGGGCGGGGTCTGATAAGCGTCTGCTGCAGCAATGCCGAGCGATGCTGCTGAGACCGTCCTTGTAAGCGGTCGTCTACTTGGGGGTGGGGTGCCCAGCCCGATGGGCATCTCGTGCGTCGCTGGAGTAGCTGCTTGCTCGTCATCTTCTGGGGCACTATCTGGCCCCAGGACACTGCGATCGTAGAAACGAGCAGCCCGGTCTCGGCCAGGTGTGAGAAGGGTTGCATTGCTCGTGCTGCGCGTCATACCGACGCGTCGAACGGTGACTTGGGCGCCCATCTCGTCTGGTAGGGCAGCGTATCTCTTGTACCAGACTTCATAGAGTCCAAAGGAGAGCGAGCCAATGAGCGCCAGTAGATTGCCCAGCAATCTGCTGCCGATGTCTATAGAGGGTGCAAGGCGTCGCGCCAGCTTGGTTTCACCGTCCATACCTCCCTCGGGCGGCGTGACATGATCTAGCTCATCTGAGTCGCCATAGGCGATGATGAAGACGCCGATACAAGCGAGGGACACGCTCAGGACTTTCCTTACTTCCCAGCGCTCTGTGCCAAGGAAATAGATCGAGAACACGTATGCCCAGAATGCGTTGGAGTTGTAAATGGCAGTGATGTCGGTCATGCTTGTGAGCGGTACGGCACCGTACCTGTCTGCTCTTCAGCCGCTGAGAGCATACTTGCGGGTGACGGGCAGACCAGGATGCTGCAGGCAACGCGATGAGGAAAGTCAGATAGACGATCGTTTTGCACATGCTACCGAGAGGAAAGCCGTCGGCTGCTGTCCATGCTGCGCTGCTCAGCCGTGCTGTGTGGCCAGCTTCGGCAGTGATGGTGGGATCGATCAGCTTCTTCGCTGACGCGAGCCAGCTTGGACGAGCGATGCCGTTGCTCGCCGGAGACTCAGCATCCTGACCAGCGCCAAACTGACGGTGCAGCGCTGTCTTGACCTGTCTGATCACAGCACGGACAGGCAGACCGGCTGCCCAGAGGCCGAAGAGATGCACGGGCGCCACGAGCATGTAGGATGAATGAGTGAGATATCTGTCTTGCCGAGGATCAGGACAGCCAAGGGAAAGTGCTGACGAGCTGACAAGAGAAAGTACGGTTTGGCATAAGACTGGGTGACATGCTGGGCTAGCTCTGTTTGAACGGTGTAGGCTGCTCCCAATGGGCCATCATCAGACCTCAACCATCTATGTGGTATGACGTTGCTGACCGAGGAGTACAAAGGCAAACACCAGACCCGCGCCAGCCTTGCGAAGCTCAAGCCAGCCCATAGACTCGCCTCGCTCGCTTGCAGGCCCTCTCCTCCTCGCGAAACACGTCACGATCTGATCAAGACGCGTCGGATCGATCAGCCACTATAGACACGTGTGCATCCACTATGCACTATGGTTGGAGCTAGAGAAAGCGTATTCGTTGATATGCCCTTGCAATGTTCGAAGCTATACATCGGCGCATGGGGTCAGTAGAACGTGTCGATGAGGTTGAATTGGACGGGCCTCTCAGGCGCGCTCATCGGGTGAGCTGAGGGCCCATAAGCTTGTCTTTTGCGTGCCAGCGTTCGAGATCATCAACAAGTCACCACAGCTGACTTCCGTATTCGCGCGTACCTTCTGCGTCGTTTCCACTGAATCCTGTTCTGTTGAAAGCGCGGTTTTTTTCAAATTGCTCGATCGGTCGGGCCCAGACTTTTGGACGTGATCGAGGCGGGACAGCTGGAGTTTGACATACCAAGCTTTCGGTCGTGACTTGATTCGTCGACTCTCTGCTGCTCTCACACATCGCAAGTCCATCGTACGTCTGCGGATCACAGCAGCCTCGAGGCGCGACGGTCGCTGCTGTCGTCGCCTTTGGGTTGTGATGCGTACTGCGAGCGCATGCGGCTGCCCTTGAGAACGCTCGACAAGACAATCTGCGCGGACGACGGACTTCAGTCCTGTCTACAAGAGACTTGCCCCGCTAGCACACCGTCTGTTGTTGAGCAGGGCAAGCGAGCATGACACAGTCTGTTCCAACTCCTTCGCAAGCGCTGGGTCTCGACCCTGCTCGGTCGGGGCTCTTTCGCAGGCGACAAGATGGATCAAGCAGGCCACCCACACCTCCGGCAGCTTCACCTAGCGACGCTCGCGTCATGGCCAGCCGGAGTCTGACAGCTCAATCGTCTGCATCTCTACAACCGCTCGAGCCGAGCAAGAAGCTGTCGGTGCTCGTCGTGGATGACAATGCACTCAACCGAGCCATCCTCATGAAATTGCTCCGCACCCACTTTACGCACCTTCTCGAGGACTTGTCTTCTGCTTGCGATTCGGCAGAGGCCTTGTCGACCCTTAAAGGCGGTCAAGCCATCGATCTGGTTCTACTCGACATCAATTTGGGCGTGGACAGTTTGACCGGCGTGGAGATTTGTCGCCTGCTGAGGCGAGGATTCTCCCCAGTCGAGGTTCCGGCGTCAGACAACGCCGATGTGAGCGCTCAGGCTCGTCTGGACGCAGTGCTGAAGGCCAACAAGAATCAAGTACGCTGATGGCATGTTGAGCCATCTCGTCAGCGCGCTGACAAAGGGTCCCCCGCGCAGTTCACACAAGTCATCGCGGTCACTACAGACGTGTCAGACACACAGATATCGACTTATCAAAACGCGGGCTTCGATGGCTGTTTGGCCAAACCTCTGCGCTTGCCCTCTCTCGGTGAGTCCTGCGCATCTGACACGAGGACGGTCTGACAAGCGTACAGGCAAACTACTCGACCTCGCGCTAGCCAGCCATGAGCAACAGCATGCTTTCACGGAGACCGATCTCAGCGCTCCGCCCATCATGGCGTCTCTCTCGTTACCTTGCTTTCCGAGCTTCGCATCGCGCAGCACAGTGCCGATATTCACCAACCCCTTCGGCACGTCGCTACCTAAGTCAAACACTCCGCCTACCGCCGTTGGGACGCCAGCCTCAACTACAGCAACGCCCAAGGCAGTGCAAGCGGATGTCACGCCGGGTGCAAAGATTGCCGCGAGCATGAGCGAGCTCAGCTTGCAGGAGACTAATTACTGCGCCGACGCGCGGAAGCTGCACTGCGCACAGTATCCGTTCTTCTTTCTGGCATCACAAAAACCCTCGCGGCCGGGCGCTTATGCGCGCGCACTGGGTCAGCCAGAGCTTGCTGCCAATCCAGATCCTTCGCCGCATGCTGGAGGCACAACAGGATCGACCGAGGCCGTCGTACCGGCCCGCTCCATCCGCACGTTGCCCGATTATGACATCGCCGCGACGACGCCGGACAGTGACGCAGAAAACCCGCTCGAGCGGTCTCGCGCACAAGATGCTCGACGGAGCTCTGACGCGACTGGACTCACCCGCACACATCGGATTGTATCTCTGCCCACATCAGTGCGACCGGCACCGGTGCAGAGCAGCTCAGCCACGACCATCTGCGCGTCGAGCTTGAGCAATGCAGCCATAGAGACAGCTGCGACGGCCATCACGAGTCCCGGTCGTCGTAGGATCTCGACAACGGACAGCTCCATCTTTGCAGACGCAGCCCAATTCTCCCAGGGCGCCTGTTCACCTGGATCTGAGCCTTTCACCTCGAACGGGCTGCAACGCACAGAATCTGCGCTCTCCTGGCTCTCTTCGCCCTTCTCGCCCGCCCGGCCCCAACTGGGCGATCGATCCTATTCTTCAGATGCTTCCTCATGCTCCTCTGTGTCGACGACCGCCACATCAGAGGGCGTGGATGCTCACTCGATCGCTGCCTTCACTTCCATTACGGACGAGATCAGATCCAACATCAAGACGAGCGAGAAAGAAAACACACTTGCATCCGGTCCAAGCCGACCGCAGTCCATGCTCGCCTCGCCCCCCGGTTCAATGCCTGGCGGTGGACGGCGACCCACTTTGGCCGATCTACGCAATTACCAGAGCGTGCTCGGTGAAGACGATGAAATGCTGGGCGAAGTCCTCCAGCCTGCGGTATCGTAACGGGACCGCTCCTATACCGCCAAAGTCTCTATGCTGCTCTCGGACGGGCGAACACAGGCTCAAGCAGAAGCACTCACTCGCAACTCTCACAATAGCAAATCTCCTGTTATCGACGACCACTTTTCCGTGTTGTACAGACTTTAGGGCTGTAGGGTGGAGGGAAACAAAATACATGGGCCACTGTCACAACAAGTAGTCGCTCTCGATCTTGGCTACCCCTGCCTCTGAACAGTGAAGCTTTGCGATGAGCACAAGACAGCTCAACGAGGAGCGATGGCAAGACTGACCTGTTTATGCTTCTTGTCCTTTGAGCAGATGACATAGAGGCGTCCCTTCCGCCTGACGATGGAACATCCATCGCAGAAGCGCTTGATGGACGATCTCACTTTCATACCTCGCCCTTGTGGCTCGATGGCACTCGGCCGGGGGATTGAAGGCAGAGGAGCAGGCGCTGTCAAGAGAGTGGCATGATGTCGGCTTGTGGCGCTCATCGGCGCTCGCGGTAGGGATGCAGTACATCTGCAGACCGTCGAGACCCTTGCTAGCGGTCTCAGGCTGCTCGTGAGGCTCATGCTAGCCTGACAGATGGCTTTCTCTCTCGTCGACTGGCCCAAGCTCCAGCGCGACGGCGAGCGCTCGAGCCTTGTCCGTCGAGAAATACCTCTGGGCCAGCCTCAGACGATATGGTCAGTGACCTCCCGTGCACATGCTCGGTCCACTGACTGATGCCTCGACATGACAGTCTGCCCAGAACTCTCAAGGCATCCAGACGCTGCTGTGCGAGCCTCGACTTCACTCACCGCTCGAGCTGATCTTGTGGTGGTGTCACCCAGCGAGGCAGAGAAGGAGGCCTCCAAGATTGTAGCCAAGGCTAGAGAATGTCTGTCTGTGGGCACAGATACCCTGATCTGGACTGATGGCAGCCAACAGATCGGACGCAAAAGGTCAAAGATGCGCGAGGTGAGGCTGCCAAGGAGGTCGAGGACCTGAGGCGTAAGAAGGAGGAGGAGTTCAAGGAGTTTGAGCAAGAGGTGTGCTGTTTGACCTCCCTCTCGCATGCTCACCCCAAGCTGATCTGGCGGGACAGCATTCCGGTGACACGTCTTCCGCCCAGACTCAGGTCGACAAAGATACCGAGAGCACGGTGGACAGCATCAAGTCTTCCTTTGAGAAGAACAAGGCAGACGCAGTCAAGAAGCTGCTCGATAGCGTCGTCGAGGTGCGCACTCAGTGTATGCGTCATAGAACCTCGCAGGCTGACAGGCGAACGCGAGCAGATCAAGCCAGAGCTACACCAGAATTATCACCCGGAGAGGCAATCTGTATCAGGCTAGACATGCATCGGTGTACATCATGCAGGGGCACAGACGTACAATGCGTCGACTTTGTTGCTATTTAGGACTTGCGCCAGTCCTTCTGTTCGCTGACATGGTCTATCACTTCACCGGTTTTGAAGGCATGCTTGATATTGTCGAGCACGCGGATTTCCATCTTGCGCATCGTGTCCGTCGTTGCCGTGCCGAGATGGGGCAGTACCGTCACTCTCGGGTTCGCTAGCAGGCTCGGATTGATCGTTGGCTCGGCAGGGAACACGTCAAGGCCAGCCGATGCGAGCTGCAGATGCACTATTCAGCCGGCTCGGGGCCTCACTGTGCCTTTCCGCTGACCTGTCCGTTCTGCAGCGCCTCGAGCAAGGCTTCCTCGTCAATGACGGCTCCTCGTGCAGTGCTGCCCGCCCAGTCAGCTTGATCTGAGAGCTTGTACAAGCACACTGACTTGATGAGTGCGCTTCCCTCCTTCATCCAGCTGAATTCCTTGCGGCCAAAAGACCCACGCGTCTGGTCATTGAGCGGGATGTGGACAGACACGACGTCGCTCGTCTTGCAGAGCTCTTCTACTGTGGCGCAATACTGCCACAACTGAATCAGATCAGATCCCCCAAGGAAGCATGCCAGACGACGCACAGTGACTTTGATGCCAGGCAGATCGCGACGGAGATCTGCGTCGGGTATCCGGTTGCGATTGTGATAGCAGATCTCCATATCGAAAGCTGCTGCCCGCCTGGCCGTTGCCTGCCATTACGAGTGAGCGTCGACTCCTGCAGAAGTGGACAGTCACCCACCTTGCCGATGCCGCCCATGCCTAGTATACCGAGTGTCTTTCCCTCTGGATCACGTCCAGGCTTGAACCCCTTCGCCCAGTTGCCTGCGCCATCATCAGCGGGTCGCGAGGGATGCACGAGCAAAAAGGCACACCTTGACGAGCGCTTGCCTCGCCCTCTGAGAAATGGCGCAGGGCAGAGATGAGCAGGAAGATGGCAGTCGTCGCTGTAGCATCGTCGACGGCGATCGGAGTGTTGCTGACTTGGATACCTCGCGCAGTACAAGCATCGATCGCGGTGATCATATCGTATCCTGCACCGTTGTGACAAATGTACTTTACGCTTGCGGGCAAACTGTCACATCGCCTATATGTCAGCTACAACCTTGGCAGATGCAGTGCACGCACCTCTCGATGAGTTCGGTGTCAAAATTGCCCACGGTTCTCGTGATGCCAAAGGTATGATACAAGGCAACAACGTGGGCATATCGTTTACCGTCTGCACATGCCTTCAAGAAGCTCTGGCGGTCTGGCTCGACGAGATCCTAGCTCGGCGCGCGTGTGAGTGCTGTTCACGTGGGCCGAGAAGGGCAAGCGTACTAGTATGTCGTGCTCCTTGCGCAAGTCGTCGAGCACATCGTTGGCAAGATGGATCTTGCCCGCCAGGAGAATGGCAGGTCTGGCCATCGAGCTGGCCCTGCGCGAGAGCGAGCGGCAAGAGCAGATTTGTGCCGAGCGAGTCGAAAATAGGAAGAGCCCACCACTCCGCATTCGCCGCCGCTGTTTGCATTCATAGCCGGTTCAGAATGCTTCGGAGCTCGCTTAAGCTTTTTGAAAGATCGACAGCGAATTTGCCACGCGCGCGCGAGATGGACTTGCCGGCTGCGCTTGTTTCACATCACCGTGCAATGCCCACGTCAGGCCGATAGCTCACAACTCGGTGGAGGGCATCTAATCGATCGAGGAAAGGATCACGCAGTTGCAACCTTGCCTACGATGTTATACCGCTTGGTGAAGTAAGCGACCCATTCGTCGAGCACCTTGAGCTCGCTAGCGGGCAAGTCGCTGTAGTCTGATACCGCGTCCTCTGGCTTGAGTGATGACTTGCCTAACCCCTTTGAGCCATCCTTGCCCGCGAAGACCTGTGATCCTCCGGTCAGCTCGTACAGGTTGTTGCCTGATTGCAAGCCTACATGATAGCCGCCACCAGGCCCTGAACACAAGGTCGACTGTCTTGTGAGCAAAGATGTGAGTGGACTAGAATGATCGACACACCGTACATCTCCCTCTTCGGCGTCACGTCAAAGACTGTGCCCTTGATGGCCACATAGATCGGCGCATCTGCCGTGCTGCCGTCACACTTTGCCAGCTCTTCCAGCGAGATGGGGTCATCTTTCGGTGGATCGAGGTGTGTTCCGTCCGGCTTGGCATGCGCACCCACCGCTGCAACAGCCTGAGGTACCTCTGGCAGACTGTTGAGCTTGTTGGTGTCTGCCATGCTCGGCTGTGCTGCTCTGCCGGTGGGTATGTCGCGAACGAGCAGATAGAACGCGAATGTGCCTAGAATGACCAGATGGACAGCGAATGTCTTTGGATACTCTTGTAGCTGCACAGAGCAGCCTATCAGTCAAGCCCAAGCCCATCGCGCGCATGGGAGTCTGCCGGCATCTTGGGAGAGCTCGATCGTTTACGAGGTTGAAGAAGTCTAGCGGGGGTTACGAATGAGCGACTGGCGGCTCGGCTTACCAGCTGTACCAAAGATTCGTACATGCGCTGCCGAGCTGTCGAGCTTGACTTGTTGAACTATCGCAATGATCCAGCGCCGAACGGACTTGCACGCGCTCAAACGTATAGGCTCAGCGCTCAGCGGTCCCCTGAGTAGTCACACGTCACGCAACGGATCACGTTCATGCAGACACAGAGATGCTTTCGACGCCTGCCAAGCTTTTCACTGCAAGTCGCATGCACTATCGAGACTCGTGACACCCCAGCGCGAGCTCTCCGCTGGCACAAGCGCATGCCATGAAGGAGGCGCACGATCTCTCCAGCCCGAATGCGCACAAAACCTCGTCCAGCTTCATGCATTGCGATGATACAAGAACAGCGAGCTTCATCTATCAAAGACATCTATCCCATAATTAAGACTGTCTTGGCTATGGCGCATTGTGGGCTTCCCCAACGACTACTACGGCTTAGCTTACCCGGATTTAGTATCTGCAAGCTGCTGGCTCTCAGTTGTCTTGTCCGCTCGGCCTTCCAAGCCCGAGTTCCATGGTCATGGATCTCGTCAGAGTCACGAATCCCGTGTCTAAAGAGGCCAAAAAAGCCACCCAACTGGGAAAGGTCCCGTGTAACTTGTGGGGCGCTTTGATCGACGAGTCATTAATCGACATTCGCGACACAAATCGCTATTGAAAGACTGTGGCTTTCCCTGGACAGGCACAGCATGGCGATGTGATCTCCTTAGGAAATGCCAGCCCAACGGAGGCTTTTGTGACGCAGGAGGCACAAAGATGCTATAACACTCGCTCGAGATAGGGAATCCCTCTATCTCGCCATTCGTCTCTGTCTCGCCGTCGCTGGGTCACCAATCCGACTTGTCACCGACCATGCAGAGAGCTACCGGAAGACTCGCACACGGTCTCGGCGCGCAATGCGTCGCCTGTACTCGCGCTCCGACGATCACGCGTTCGCTCGGCACGCTCATCAATAAGCAAGATGCTCTTTCAGAGGTCCGCCCACAGCTCCTTTCGCAATCGCATGCTCACTGACGCCGACATCGACAGTCGTCCGAGGCCAGCTTTGCACAGTTTGGCCAGCGCGAGCCAACTCGCTCTCGAAAATTTGCGACCATGTCCACACCCGACAGCGTTCACGCGCCAAAGATCGATCTGATGGCCATGCTCAGTGCCGCGCGGGCTTCAGTAAGTCCTTTGCTCTCACGTCCTTGTGCGATCACCGATGCAGCCCAAACAGGCTCCATCTCCTTCCATGCTCGATCTTGTCGAGATCAATCCGACTGCGACGACGGTCGTTTCCAAGCAAGGCCTAGCGAGCTTGCTCGAATCATTCAGACTCAACGCATCGCTCGCCGGTTCCATCGAAGAACGAGAGCTCATGCAGACGATCAACAAGGCGCTCTCTCCCCTTGGCTCCGGTCACGGCGACAAGTACTTTGCCGCCCGAGAGACCGCCAGACAATGGGCTCTGTCACAAGGCTATGATGAGGCCTCGCTCTACGAGCAGCGCATCATCTGGGGCGATGTCGACAGCTTCAGACATGTGAACAACGTCGTCTACTTCAAGTCAGTCCTCTCATCGCATTGTACTTCGCTATAACTGACTTGCTCGACTTGCTCAGGTTTGTAGAGAGCGCTCGCGTGCACTTCTTTGAGACGAGCACACGTGGCCTGAGCCCGCACATTGGCAAGGACATCATCCAAGGCGTCAATACTGGCCTCATCCTTGCCTCTACCAACGGGAAATTCATCCGACCTTGTCAATTCCCGGATACGCTTATGGTCTGCCACAAGGTCACCCATGTCGCTCGGGATCGCTTCACGACACGAACCGGTATTTACAGTCTCGAGCAGCAGAAGCTTGTCAACATTGGCGATTCGACCTGCGTGGCCTATGACTATAACGCGCTAGGCAAGACAGATCTGCCCGAGGAGTATCGGGAGAGGTTAGAAGAGATGCTCGCAACCTCGAGCTCCATCGCTGCATGACCGCGTTGCATTCATCCGTCTACGTTGCATCTCCATCCCACACCCCATGACAGCTTGCGCTCTCCTCCCTGAAGCGTGCCCATCAACTCAGCAGTAGATCTCTTGAATACCGAAGTACCTGTTGTACCCATACATCAATCCAGCCTGCAGCGTCCCAGTGACAGACATTTGCCCCTCACGTCTCCGTAGAGCTCGTCATCAGTCATCATCTTTGCGCGCGGCACATAAGTGGCGGTCCGGGGTCAGTCGATCGCATGGGCCAAGGGATCGCCGATCTAGGCCGAAACGCGCGCAAATTACCGCATGGGTGTCCGCCTGTGCATGAAATCGAGGAAATGTCGGAGTTCGAGCGGTCATTGAAGCCAGACTCAGGACTTGCCAGCTCATGATGCCCGCCTCTCATCTACGAAGCATGTCAAGGCAGCAACCAGACCACTATATCGATTGAGCGACGAGGTAGTAGATAGCGGAGAGAGCGCCCATCAGAGTTTCAGCGTGGGGTCAATTCAAACAATTGCAAAGATCGACCTCGTCCAATTGACTGGCGTATAGAGCGGATTGCCCAATCAACTGGCGAGCTAGAGAAAGCCTACTCCGCAGAAAAGAATAACAACGTAGCCTGAAGAGGGGCTCGTGCGTCAATCCGCGTGAAAAAGCTTGGGGGAGACGCCAACTCCGCGTTTGGCCAGCTCCGCATCGAACTCGAGCAGGGCGAAGGCGAAGCGCCGACGGTGAGAGATGGTCAACGAGGGCGCCGACGCGAGCAAGGAGAGCTCGTTCGTCGAGACAGCCCTCGCGGCTCATGGCCCGAAAGGTTTGGCCAAGCCTCACAACGATGATGTCAAAGCAGAGGCTCCGAGGTGAGTGACCATTGTTCTGAAAAAGGCGGTTCTGATCGAGAGTTTGCAGGCCGTACAAGTGTCCCATCTGCGCCAGGGGGTTCTATCGACTCGAGCATCAGACTCGGCACATCCGAACCCATACCGGCGAACGACCCCACGCTTGCGTTTTCCCCGGATGCGAGAAACGGTTCTCTCGCTCAGACGAGCTGACACGACATGCGAGAATCCACCTGAATCATCATGCCGGAGGCAAAGCTAATGGCTCAAGCCGCAAGAGCAAAGCGCGAAAGACCGCTCCCATCGCGCAAAGTCGACCAAAACCTGTCGTCAGAGACGATGTGCGCAACCAGCTGAGCTATGCCAGCTTGAAAAGCATACTGACATCCGCGATCGGCAGAGCTCTCAGAACGACGATGAGGATGACGAAGAAGAAGACGAGATGCGCGATCCGGTAGTACTTGTCCATCAACAGGTTCGAGCAGCTCGCATGTATTGAGCACGCAGCTGACGTACATGACGTCCCAGGAAAACGCTCGTCCCTACACCCGCATATCTCAGCCTCTTCAGCCTGTCAGCATGCAGGGGCAGCTCGATCCGTATGGTAGGCCAATTGTGACCCATCATGGCATCGAATCGACCGCCCTACCGAGAGCACCTTCTCAGCAGCACAGCATACAGCCATTGGCTGCTCTGGCCAGTGCTGCCAGTCTAGAATTAGACCGCGAGCGTCGCTCAGAGGATCAGCGTCGGCACCACCTTGATGTCTGGGAGCGTCGAAGCTTACCTGGCAGTGGCACTCACACGCCGCTCTGGCAGCAGGCTCAATTCGGCTCCGTGCCGCATCCTTCGGTACTTCATCAGAGGCTAGCAGGCGTAGACATGGTATCTGACGCTAGCCGCGGCTCGCATGTCAAGCCACGACGACGCTCGAGCCACCATCCTCATTTTGCGGCAGATGTCAACGGAGGCGAGGCCAGCCAACATCCGCACGACCTCCAGCATGCTGGCGCGGCCCACCATATGTTCAGACAACATAGACACTACGCTCCCTATCCTTCGTCTGCCAATACATCTCGCGCGACCTCGCCCGTCGACGAGGATCCTCGCTCGCCCGAGCTATCTCCTTTCGACGAGGAGCACGGCGATCAACAGGCACACATGCTTGCGCCTTTTGGCGGTCTCTCCTTGCTACACGGTCATACTCATTCGGGCACTCATTCGCCGACCTCCGCGAGCCGCGACTCGAGCAGACCAGTCTCGCCAGGTCATTCCGCTCGAGCTTCAGGTTTCAGATCAGCAGAAAGTCATCCGAGCAGTCTCTCGACCACCCCGGACGACAATGACCCATACTCGCATCATGCTGCCGCTTCGCGACAGCAGCAATTTAGAGAGCATCAACAGCTCGCCCGGCAAAACAGGCCACACCCTTATAGCTCCTCGCGGACAGTCTCTGTGCCTAGTAGCGGGCAGGTCTCGCCAACGCACGAGCTCCAGAAGAATTATAGCAATGGCGATCTGTACCATTACAACTCTACATTTTCTTCCCGACCTACAACGCCAAGCCACTCTTACGACGCCAAGTCGGCTGCGATGGCCAGAGGGGAAGACAGCAACGAGCTCGTGCCTCGACTAACGTCCGATGATAGAAAGCTGCCGCCGCTGTCGAGCATTCCGCGAGGGAGCTTCTCGACGAGCTCATACTTCCAAGGACCGCTTACCAAAGGATCCAGTACGGCCTCTGCGCCTTCTTCGAGGCAGCATTCTCCGACGACATCACCCCGCCAGATGGGCTCGGCCAGCAGTGACAGCTTAACCGGTCTCGTCCGTCCTTTGATCGGCACACAACAAACAGACAGCGCAAGTAGATCCGGTTCGCACCGATCGTTCGGTGCTGAATTTGTGATGACGCCGATCAAGTCGCGCTCAGAATCGTCGAGCATGAACGTGTCGCAGTCGATCAGACTGCCCTCGGTGTCTGCCATGCTATCTCAAGCGCAGCTACAAGGAGGACTCTCGCCGACCTCGATAGGACCAGCGACGACGTCTCGAGGTCCATCGCCTGCTGATAGCCAATCGCCCATGTTTGACATGGACGAGGCTGAGCGCGATCCCGTGCCACCCCTGCAATTGCCCGGCGTGCTTGCTCTGCAATCTTGAAGCACGCCCAAGCTCTGCATATACACCAGTACACAATAGACCTCATAGATAGATTTGCTTGTGTGTACGAAGTCAATACATCCCGTGCCTTGCCTTTACTCCTATCCATGCCGATCTCGGACTAAGCGCCAGTATGGAGTGCCATGCCGGGCTTGTGCAGGCGAAAGAGTCACGTGATAGAGGGCAGCCTTCAGCTACGCTCGCGAACAAAAGTTTACTTCTGCACGCTCTCTTGAGGTAAGCTCTCCTTGTAGTCGTCACGTCGCTGCAACAAGCTCTGCCCTGGACGATGATTCTCCACGTATTAATCAAACTAGAGTTTCTGAAGCGAGTCCATCGCTGACGACGAGACTTGCAAATCTTCTCTCTGACCTCCTCTACCCCATGACAAGCTGCGTGATGGCAATGCTGACGCTTCATGCTGCAATAGCCACCGTCTACAATGCATCTCTGGTAAGCCTACATTCGCATCGACATCTGCCCCCCTCCGGAAGATGATCACAGCAAAAAATGGAATTACCGGCTTATGCGACGTTCAGTACGCTGTTCGACGTCTTGAGGAGAATCCGCTGCTTCTTCACTGACTCTTCGTCTCTCTCCGAACGCTCTGTGCAAGCACGCGCTGACATACCGTGATGCAGATCCCGTTTCTGCTGCTTTTCATTCGTACAAGCTCTGTCAGGGGTAAGCTCTACTTCCATGCCTCCCGCTCTCTCGAGATGAAACTCCTTTATTCACGACGGTCTTCGTATTTGCTCCATCAAAGCAGATCTGACGAAACTGCCCGCCTCTAAACCCATTTCTCGGGCATAATCTGATTTGGACCCCTGAGAAGCTATGGTCGGCTTCAGCTGACATCTGCCTGCGAACAGATACTGTCTTCTGTGCGAAACTCTCATGAGACGCCCTGTATTCACTGCCGTCTCTAAGTCTGCGGACCAGAGTGACGGGAGGGGAAAGCAGTGGCCAGATTGACCGAGCGTTATCTTCATCGCAGCGCTGTCAAGCGTTGGAAGCCATTCCTTTCTCTAGATGCTCTGCAAGTTTGGAATCTAAATGGATGAAGTACGGTACACATGGTTTCTATTGGCTTGCTTGCGCGTTGTGTACATTGTACAGTATAAATGTGCCAAGACATTGCCATCTTGAAGCTCGGGGCATTGAAGGAGCGTGCAAGAGGCTGCCAGATTTGCGATCACTGAGCAATGACGCCAGCTAATGGTATTGCGGGGGGTACGAATCGGTTGGGCAATGACAAAAGTCTACCGCAATGCTGCAGAAAGTTGTATCGGTGCGGAATGTCTGCACCCAGATTAGTCTCCCAAGAGACTTGATCTTCCTCGTGGAGCACGCCCACGGCAAAGATGGGGTTGCCCGCCTGGGATCGATAGATGAAAACTCGATCAAAGACGCGCAGGTACGTCTGGCCATGTGCGGGCGGACAGAGTCGATAGCGCCAGCTCCAGAAATGGAGAGAGGGCGTAGCCATTGAGGCCACCAAAGAGAGCACCGCTGCTTGGGCGTCCGTCGGATGGAGGTGCTTCCGCCACCATCCTATGCCTGCCGTCATGTCATCATCGTTGCCGATGCCCATGAGATGGCCTGGCGCGAGTGAGCCTTGACGGAGATCGATGTGCCATAGCATGCGATCGCGCGGCGCGGTGTCGTGAACGACGATATCGAATTGCTGGCTCATCTGGTTGATGAAGTCATCGGGCAGCGATGTCCCTGCAAGGCTAGCTTGTGTATGCCGCAGGAAGGCAACACAAGATTCGTCGCAGTCCCGCGCAGAAAACAGACTGGCTTCTGTCGACAGAGCTGCTTCCAGCGCGGGCCAGGAGTCGGGTTTGGGTATCAAGGCGCCAGACGACTGCACAAGAGTTCAGCAATTGACCCCAAGCGCAATGCGAAACATGCTGACCGCAAGTTGCTCTGACTGTGTCAACGGATTGCTCGGACTCGGTGGCATGTCATAGACCGGGGGCATGTGAGCCGTCTGAGCCTGACGGAGACGATCAGTTTTCGCGCGATGACAGCTTCAGCGCGTGGCACGCACAAGGTGCTCGTTCATCAGCGGCGGCACAGCAGAGCCGTTCTGCCATGACTGGGGCGCTTGGTGTCCTGGATGCGCCACAGTTTGGGTATAGGCATGCTGATCCATTGGTGGTCCCTGAGAATAGCCGAGGTAATGCCGTTGATGAGCCTCCCGCTCGTGTTCGTAGTGAGACTGCTGGACATAGTTGGGCGGATGGGCAAAAGTCTGCGATCCAGAGAGCGATGAGGGCTGCTCGCCATCCTCTTCCTTGGTCTTTCCCTTTGGCTTCGGCTTCGCTCTCGGTGTCGACCGATCTGAGCCACAGCGCGTCAGCACGGTGTAGCTGACTGACGTAAAGGAGAGGCAGACACGCACTCTTGCCGAATCCACTGCCTGCATCCTGACTCGGCCGATGGACGGGCAGCTGGTGCGCCTGAGACTCCAGATGTCGACGAACGTCCGACGATTGAACGAAGAGATGCGGAGGAGCGTATCGGCAACCCATGATGGGACAGCTCCTCAGCGTCGAAGGCACTCTCAGCCTGCCTGTGACGAAGACGCACTCGGTCTCTGGCAGAAGCGACTCTGACAGGAGAGCCTCTCGCTCTGGCAGCAGATCCTCGAGAGGCTGATTTCTCGGGTGAGCGCCCGATGGCTTGCCGGACGGCGAATGAGCAAGCGCATGCGGACTCTGGCTCTTGGACAGCTGACCGCTCTGTAGCGGTGCCGGTAGGGCGGCAAAGGTGGACGTAGACGGTCCGGCAGGCAAGACAGCTGCCGGCCTTTGCTGCAAGTCTAACACCGGCAGATGCTGCATCCTCAGACCTACTGCTGGCTCGCCCATCGGTCCCGGCAGGGGGACGCTCATTCGCCAGACGATCGCCTGCGCAAACTGACTGGCTCCGTGCCGCGGCAGTCGTCAAGCCGCGAGGGAGAGGCCAAGCGTGGCTGCCAGTAGAAAGAGGCGAAATGGTCACTGACCGGTCAGGCGCAGGACGATGAGCTTAGCTAGTCGGTCAGTGTCTCGTAAAAGGATCATACCAGCACTGCTCTTCACCGACGTGCGAAGACGACAGAGATTATCGAGAGGCGTCCATCAGAGCAAAGCCTCGGCCAATTTTGCCGATTCGAGCGATCAAACGTCAAACAAATCCGACAAATGTTTGTCGATGAAAATGTCCGAAATGCAAATGTGGGTGAGACAGGAGTCGCGATTCTGACCGGACAAGCGACGTTGCTCGAGGACATACAACAGTATCACGTTTGATCAATACGGATGCGCACCCTCGCCGGTCACGTTACGTGACTGGCGGCGATGTCGAGAAGCCGATCTGGTGGCAATTGCCAGGCGTCGGGCTCCGAGATTCGATGGAAACTCGACTCGTAGCCCATCTTGCATGCAAGACTGACCTCTGTCTGATCTATGCTAAATATCTGTATACATCTCGCTGACCTTCGACCTGCATCGACGCGTGAGCTGAGGTGTGAGCGCCAAGGGGAAAGTAAGCGTACGCGTTCAAGATATTCTTGCTCCATGAGATGGTCGATGGCTTGCTTGATTGCGGGCACCTTGGGCGTGAAGCGCGCTTTGAGCTGATCAATCGCTTCCTGCATGTCATCGGCTCGCATCAGTTCTGGTGTGACTGCTACATGGTAAGAGACGCACAGCAATGAGAGGCTGATGCTTCATTTCCTTGCGCGATTTCATTATCCGGACGATGACGGCCTGTATGCGCAGTCAGATGATGTCTCAAGCTGGTACCACCTGGTGGCAAACCTGTATGAGATGCTTGCGGTCTTCGTCCACGGTCTTGATCACTTCAGCAGCTTCAGTCTTCGTCTCTGACTTGAGCGGCGCATTCAAATTGACGCGAATCTGTGCGAAGACAAGCTTGAGACGCGACCAGCGCTGCTTGCGACCTGCATCGTACCTTTTTGGACTTGTAGTGGAGATTTAATGAGTAGCGATCGCCGGAGACTTCGAGAATCTTTTGCTTGACAAAGTTGCTCAAAATGTTACTGAGAATCTCCTTATCGAGATTGGTGGCGGCTTGTATGTCAGCATAGTCCATCTCGTCTCCATTCGTGTTGAACTGTAGCAGGATGGCAGTCTGGTAGGTCGACGTCATCAAAGTGTATTTTTGAGCTGTGTATGTCGTCCGAAGCTCGTTCTTGCAATGTGTCCAGAGCCAGTTAAGCTTTCGACCGGTGTGCTTTGTATCGTAGAACGACTTGAAGCGCTCAAACGTCTTGAGAAGCTCGGCTGGCAGCTTAAGATCTGTCGGACCAGCTGACAGCGGCCAGGCAGCTGTGCTGAGCACAAGGACGCTAAAGTCAACTAGCGTAGGAAGGGAGCGGTCCATGAGCACAACCCTATCGTCGAGCATGCATCGATGACACGCACCAAGCATTGCGGATGATTCGCTGTTGGCCATGCGTTCCTTGAAGGCATCGTTGAGATCCTTGTTGAGGGCCATGTCCTGAAACATGCGCTGTAGCTTGCTTGTATATTCGAAGCCGCACGCGTCTTTGAGCTTGGAGATCATGTTCTCTTCCGAGTCGTCAGAGGCAGATGCGCCATGCACCAGACGTTTCGCAAGGAATTTCGAATAGAACTTCTGGAAAACGTCCTTGTCCTCGATGAATTTGAAGATCGTCATCTGTCTTTCGAGTGAGCGTGACACAAGGAAAGGGCATAAGAAGAGGACGGACCACATCTAGTAGCGCGGCCTCAACGTCTGACTCTTCGCCGGCTTTGCTCGTCTTCTTGAGCAGGCTGTCTGCATATTTTGCCAGAAGCTCTGGCGACTTTGTGCTTGAGCCTGCACAGGCTTTGTTGCGATTGACAAATTCGCGACAGGCCTGCGCCGACAGGCACATGCATCAGCAGAATACTCAACAGAACCAGAGGGTATAGGATTGACCTTGTCAAGGGCCGCACTGAAGCCGGGATCGCCTGCAAAGGCTTCTGTGCTCAGGCAGGTATTGCGGCGGTAGACGTCGAGCAAGACATCGCAATAGGCTTTGGCGTCCTATCCCAAATAGCAAGGGGTCAACATGCGTACGGCGATGAGCTAAGAAGAGCGCACGATCCCCTCTGCCTGAGCAGCAACGCGTTCGACGGCATCCTGACCAGCCTTCTTGACGTGAACCTCGAATCGCTGACGAAGAGGCGAGAGTCCGTCGGGTATACGTGAGAGTAGCTTGAACATGCGCCGTAGATCGTCCAGACGTTCGTTATCGAGCAGTGTCTGGAACTGCTCTTGCATCGCTTCTGCATGAGCCAGGACGAGGGCCTTTTCGCAGGTCATCACAATCTAGCCAATTCTGTAGTCTCAGCTGGACGTGGGAGGGCAAAGAGAATGACACAAACCTCGCGACGGGAGGAAGGATGGAGGAGCATCTCGATCCTGTCCTCTTCCTCTTTCAGACGGCCCTCGGCTTTCTTCATGTAGTCGGTCATTGAATTATTTGCGATAAAGCTTTCGGATTCGAGCCGATAGTAGCGTTCGGTGTCTACAAGGAAGGCGGTCTCGAAAGCAGACTTGTAGATGGCTAGGTTCTGACGGTTCGCGTCTGTCTCGTCGATGCCAAGCGCAACAAAAGAATCTGTGGCACGCTTGATGAGATTGTTGTCGACTGTCTCCCCGTTTCGCTGCTTCTCGATGACCTTGAAGAGGGCATTGGTGAGGCCTTTGCTGCTCTGTACCTGCTCGAACAGTGTGTCGCGCCATTTGACGAGGGCGAGCTATGCGCGCGGGTGAGTATAGCGTCAGACTCACAGGAGCTTGGCGTACAGTGTAGATCGTGTAGACCTTTTTCCTGCCTTCGTCCTTCTCTCGCTTGACCCAGTGACGATTGAGATAGGTAAAGAGCCTGCACATCCGATTTAGCAGGTTGCTCCGGCGTGATCACCGAGAGACGTACCGATTGACGTAGAGCGCGCCGGTCGTGTAGCGATCCCATTCGTTGGTGTAGAATTTGAGTAGCTCTTCGTTCGTCAGCTTACTCGCTTCCTGCAGCCGATCATGCCTGGCATCAGATGCAAGTATTCGGAGAAAGAGCCGGAGTAGGCTGACCCTCTGGATACTGCGCAAGTGGGCGACGAGGTATTTGTTCAGGCTGTCGTAGAGGTCTGAGCCCATGAGCTGAGCACCGCCTGCCAGCCGAGAGAGTGGTTGAGCACATGTCAAGTGATGCTCTGACTGAGCGTCGACTGACTCCTGCCTGCATTGCCCAGCCCTGTCGCGTCACCGGCGGTGACGAGTCTCGAGGAGATGCAGTAGTTGTAAATTGCCCTGCTCGACTCGTCGTAGCTTCAGCGTGGGAGCTCAGACCGGCTGCAGGAGGATGGAGCTGACGTATAGACGCCCATGTAGCGAGCGTTGGTGATGCCGGTTCGATTCTTTGACATCATGAGCTCGACGCCAGCCTCGATGAACCGCCATGTCGCTGTGAGATCAGAGGCCGGTGGCAGGGTCGAGCTGGTCTTGAGTGGCATGCTGTCGCACTTGCCCGTGATCGGATGACGCAGCTGGGGGCAGACGATGTTCGAGGACAGGCCCTCTGCTGGGACGGGCACACGCGGGCTTGCTGCTCGCTGCCTTTCTGCGTGTCAAGTCAATTTCTCTGTCGCGCGTCGTCGTCGTCGTGTGGCCAACACTCCTCCTCGCCGGCCGTCCTCTGCAATCCACCCAGCAGGCCAGCAGAATGGGCTCCTCGAAGCTCTTCACGCCCATGAAGGTCGGTCCACTCGAGCTCAAGCACAGAGTCATCATGGCGTGCGTACTTCTCGTGCACCAGGATTGTGCTTACAGCCGGGCGGGCGCGCAGACCACTCACTCGATTCAGGGCAACCACAGAGCACGTCCACACCGAACTGGCAACAGAGTACTACACCCAGCGAGCGAGTGTGCCGGGCACGCTTCTCTTCACCGAGGCGACGTTCATCAGTCCACAAGCCGGTGGCAACAAATGTGTCCCGGGCATTTGGAACGAGCCACAGATCAAGGCCTGGAAGGACATCACAGACGCCGTGCACGCCAAGGAGAGCTACATAGGCTGTCAGCTTTGGGCGCTCGGCCGTCAGGCAGAACCGTCCAATCTCAACAAGGAGGGCCCTTACCCTTATGTGTCAGCATCAGATGTCGCTTTGCCGGACAAACCCAAGCCGAGAGCGCTTACGAAAGACGAGATCGAGACCTATGTGGCCGACTATGCTCAGGCTGCCGTCAATGCGCGCAAAGCAGGCTTCGATCTCGTCGAGCTTCACTCTGCCAACGGCTACCTGCCCAACCAGTTCATCTCCAAAAAGTCAAACATCCGCACAGACGAATACGGCGGCTCTCTGGAGAACCGCCTCCGCTTCCCCAAGCAATGTCTGTCGGCCATCGTCGACAAGATCGGCCAGGAGCGTACGGGCATCCGCCTGTCGCCTTTCTCGACTTTCGGCGACATGAGTACCGACCAGGCTGACGACTACATCGCCTTTATAGAGTGGATCCGCGACACCTACCCATCACTGGCCTATCTCCATGTCGTCGAATCGAGGATCAGCGGCAATGCTGACGTAGACAATGGCGAATCCACCGATCCCATGCTGCATGCTTGGCGAGTAAAAGATAAGACGCGTCCTTTCCTTACCGCAGGTGGTTACAAGGCGGACAGCGGAAAGCAAGTGGCCGACGTAAAGGACGTCGCCGTCGTCTACGGCCGCTACTTCATCTCCAACCCAGATCTTCCCCTTCGTCTGGCCTACGATCGCGAACTGCAGCCGTACGATCGATCCACGTTCTACCTCTTCGGGCCTTCTCACGCAAGAGGCTACACCGATCAGCCGTTTGACGAGTCTCTCAAAGGAAAAACCATCTCTGCAAGACTGTAGACTACCTAGAGAAAAACCACGTTGTCGTAACAGAACACGTCGTACTAGACCATCAGATCATTCGAGTCATTGTGAAGCACGTCTGAGGAGCTCTTGCGAAAGCTTGCAATGCTAGGATGAGAATACACAGCGTCTACGCATTCGCTTCTGATTAGGGTGAACGAAGCTTTGCCGAAAGGATCGAAAGATTGGCTTTCCGAGACCTCGCTTTTACTGGCCCGACAGCTTTGCGCCAGAGCTTGCAGCTTGATGTGAGCTGAAGCGCTGGAGCTCGTTGTTCGAGATGTGCACTCGCTTGTTGCCCAGGCCGACGCGCTGTCAGAGTAAAGTCAGCATTGTCGACGTGCACACACACACACAAGACATACCCCGAGAGATCGAGAGAGGAAGGTGGTTCGGTTGCTATACATCGAAGCTGCGCGAGACGTGGTGCGCGTGAGTGGTACGCCATTCTCGTCTTCTTGATGCTTGATCGATTGAGGCCGCTTCGCGCGACGGGCATTGTAGGCATTGATCAGAGCTCGTGTGCCGAATTTGATGCCGTCCAACACAGGGAACCAGACGATATTCCAGATCCATACTATTCCTATCCAGCCTCCGCTGATGCCTGATACTTGGGAGAATCCCCTGCGAGTAGTTGGTCAGCACAAGACGCGGATCGAATAACCTCTGACGGACCAGTCACCATAAGCCGCAATGATGGAGGAGATGAGTTGGGCGAGGCAGAAGGCGCCGAAGAGAGCCACGCTGGGTCGCTCCATGAAGAACCAAGAATGCGATCGCGTGACGAAGATGAGCGCTTGCGAAATTTGTGCGACCTCGAGGTAGATGATCTGACACGGCCGCATCAGCATAGGCAGCTGAGACGTGAGTAAGACGCACCATGTGCAGACCATACGCGTTGTGATCCTTGTAGGGCGTAACACCGAATTTGTCTTCGAAGAAAGTTGTGCGAACGATGACAAGGAAGAGCGCGATCGTGCAGAGCGAGAGATAGATGCCATAAGCAATGGCATACGTGAAGATCTCGCCAAGATCCCACGAGTCAGGCGTCATGGATGGCAGCACACGATCCAAAGAGAGTGTCATGATTGTGCCGTCGTTGAGGAGAGCGATGACCAGCACCATGAAAGGAGGGAAGTCAAATTTGAAGGCAAAGGCCATGATGGCAAAGCACAGGACGATACGGATCGTGACTGCGCAAGCGTAGATGGAGTAGTTGCGCATACGCTGGAAGATGACACGGGATTGACGGATGGCATGAACGATAGTTGAAAGGCCGGGCTCCGTCAAAACGATATCGGCTGCGCCACGCGCGGCATCCGTTGCACCTTCGACTGCGATACCGACATTTGCACGAGAGAGTGCGGGAGCATCGTTTGCGCCATCGCCTGTCATTGCGACCAAGTGACCGAGACCTTGAAGACGTTTAACGATTTCATACTTGTGCTCCGGAAAGACGCCTGCGAAACCATCTGCGTCGAGGATCATCTCGTCGACGCTCATGTGCTTGCCGCCGGGTGCGGGGCCATCCTTGAGAACCTTGGCAGGGTACATGTGATCACCGAGACCGAGACGGCGGCCAGTTTCCTTTGCGATAGCGAGCTGATCACCTGTTGCCATCTTGACCTTGACGCCGAGCGAGAGAGCATCGTCAATCGTTTGCTTGGTATCTTCGCGAGGAGGATCATAGATGGCGAGCAGACCGAGGAGCTGGAAGCCATCACCAGAGCCTTCTTTGTCGTTGGATGTGACGGTCTCGTTTGCGACCGCGAGAGCACGAAGACCACGACGAGCGAATTCCTCGACGTCAGCCTCGAGTTGATTTTCGACAGCTTCAGTTTTGCCACGAGTGCAAAGTTCGATGATAATGCCAGTCATGCCCTTCGTGACGCGCTTCATCACGCCGGTGTCTTCTTCGAGATAAGTGACCTCTGTGCGCTTATCGACCGGATTGAAAGGCTTGAAGTCGAGTACCTTGATGCCCTTGCGAGCGAGCGAGACATCTCCGATCGAGCCGGTGATGCAAGAGTCAATTGCGTCCTGGTTTTCCGTTCGCGATGCATAGGCCGCTTCAAGGCAGACTCGCTCGGCGTCGGCATCTGCGTATGTCTTGACGGTCGACTTGTCAATCGTGAGCTTATTGGTAGTGAGTGTGCCAGTCTTGTCAGAGCACAGGATTGTTACACCGGCAAGCTCCTCAATGGCAGTGATACGAGTAACGATAGCCTTGTACTTTGCGAGCTGCTGAGCGCCGACGGCGAGCGTGACAGACAAGACAGTCGGCATCGCGATTGGGATGCCGCCGATCAAAAGAACGAGGATGTTGTTGAGTCCACGACGATATTGGAAGCGGAAACCAGCGTAGAGCACAAAAATCTCGGCAAGGACAAAGATACCGATTGAGATGAGACAGAATGTGCCAATCTTTGCGAGGATCTTTTGCAAGTGACCTGCAGAGTCATCATCCTGACCAACCAGAGTGGCAGCGCGACCGAAGAATGTGTTGGGACCCGTGCCAATGACGACGGCCTCTGCTTCGCCCTGCTTGCAAATCGAACCAGAGAAGCACTGATCGCCAACTTTCTTTGACTGAGGCAGTGATTCACCGGTGAGAGCAGCTTGATCGATAGAGACATTGACCGAATCGTACAGACGACAGTCCGCCGGCACGACGTCACCGATCTTGAAGGAGACAACGTCACCAGGCACGAGGCCGGACGACTCAATTTCCTTCCAGGCACCATCGCGCCTAGCCTTTGCTTTGGGCGCGAGGGAGTCCATGAGCGCCTTGACAGCATTACCGGCATTACGCTCTTCGACGAAGCCGATGGTTGAGTTGATGAACAGGAGCAGCACGATACCGATGAAATCCTCCCTGAGCAAAGGCGGATCAGCAAGTGGACGGAACAAGCGAGCAGAAGCCTACCAGTCGGGAGGCATGCCTTGACCGTTAGATAGCACGATGGCGACGAGAGCAGCGCCTTCCATGACCCATGAGAGGGGGTTCCACATGAAGGAGAGGAACTGAAGCAGCGCGGATTGCTCCTTGTGCTCGAGCTTGTTAGGGCCAAAAATGCCGACACGTCGCTCGGCTTCTGCGTCAGTCAAGCCCTCTTCCTTTGCCTGGAGGAGCGCCCAAACGTCTTCGAGGACGATTTGCTCGAGATCAACCTTGTCCTTGTCATACTGCACGGATGCCCGCAACATCAGTACATGATGCAGTACAGGTGCGATAAAGCGCACGAGATCTTCGGCCTTGAGCTCGATGGTAGACATGTCAACGAGGGCATGCTCCTGCTTGACCTCTTTCTCCTGCACAGACAAGGCGTGTCACCCCTGTGCAAGACGATACAGACAGCGCTGCCTACCTCTGACTTGTCATAGCGACCCTTCTTCTTCTCTGCTGGTGCTGCAGCGACGGCTGGCTTCTCGCTTTCAGCAGCAATTGGAGCCTTCTCGCTAGGGACAGCGGGTGAGGGTGCAGCGTTCGTCACGGGCGCAGGTGCAGACGATGTCTCGACTGGCGCTGCAGCGGGCGCTGTGGCGTCTGTCTTTTCGTTGATGTCTGCCATCTTTGCGCAAATCTGAGCCGTGACGAGTGATATCAGCAGACGCCCTTTTGTTTGGCTGAAGAGAGCATGCCTATAGAACCGTCAAGCTATGCAAGACAAGGGACCCGACTCGAAGGGGCTGCAAGTCGATGGCCTGGTATGCGATCCCACGTCGTCGAGCGAGTGCGGAGCGAGCCAGCAAGCCAATCGGATTGCAAGATCGCGAGTGAGACGAGTCGCGAGGGATCGAGAGGAAAAGCGTTGCCAGCGCGAGATTGACCGAAGGCAGCAATGTCAAAGACACGACGATGATCAGCGTCCGATCACGTCGTCGGTCGAGTGATGTGTTCGGTCCCCACGGTACCCAGAGGGGTGGAAGCGACAAGGGCAGGCAGGGTTGGCGCGCAGGATATCCGAGTGAGCGTCAATGAGCAGCGATGAGGTCACGAGTGCGACCGTTCAGATTTGAGATCGTGGGCGGCAATGTTGTGATGGCGAGGGAAAAGTTGTCAGATGCCGTTGAGAGCAAACAAAGCAAGAGATCAGAGCAACATCGTCAGCCCAGGCTCGTATGAGGGTACGGAAGGGGTCTCGACGCAGCAGAGACAGGTAGGCCGACTTGGGTAGAAGGCGTGCACAGACAACGTGCAGACTTCGTCGGTAGCCACGCACAGACTGCCCGTCGTTCAGACTGCTGGTCGGGCAGTATGACCCCGACTGCAGAAATGCGTGCTGCACAGCCGATGCAGACATACCATCGCGGGCAAGAGCCTGCCCACGCAATGCGAGCATACGATCGCAGGATGGGGCATGATAAGGAAGACTTGGCGTTGATGAAAGGCACACTCACGTAACGAGACTCCTCTGTCGATAGCCGACCTGGCTGCTCTGATCGACGCCGAGGCTGAGAGATCTGCTCGACGACCACCTGACAAGCCGAACCTGCAGTCTGACTGCCTTGTTGTGGCTCGCAGAAGGCTGTCGCAGATTGGCGCGACAGGCGATCGAACGCAAAAAAAAGAGGCGCTCGTCCGCCGGCTCGGCACTCGCCTCCCCCATTTTTGTTCAAAAAAGTTAGCCGCGACGTGATCATGACGAGATCTATGAAAGCCCAGAGACGTGCAAGACATGCAATTGATCAAGGATGTGCTCTCTTGTATATACACAGCGCTTGATGGTAGCAACAACGTTGGTCGCAGGTTCTTCAGATCTTTGATTGTTCGAGTTCGGTGGTTCCACTGATGTGCTGATGCGGGTGATTCTCTGCGACTGATGCTTGCAGGCGAGCATGCAGGTCAACTGAGATTGCTGTCCGTGCAGATGTGATGTGTGTCAGGAATGCATGTGTGATGTGCCTCGCAGAGTTTTGTCATCAATTAGGCGGAGCGCTCGCCGCACTAAATGCTTGCAGGAGCTCTTCGCCAACGACTGGCTCGAGTTCGATGCCGTCTCTACTGATCTTGACCTCTTTATTCTCGTTGAAGCTGTTCCGGAGGTGACGAATTTGCGAAAACGGCAAACGTGTTGTGCTCAGCCATTCGACTTTGAACGCCCTGCCAGGTTCGCGCTTCGACAAGCCGAGCGGCCCACCACTCAGCGTCTTTTGGGTCTGCTTGCTGTCACTGCTCGACTCATTGGCTTCCTCGCTCGCCGTAACCACACTAGCGGGGGGCTCGTTCTCATTCGGACTGCCCCTCGCCTGACTTTCGAGGAAGCGGTTATGCTCCGCCGCTCGCTCGGCTTCGGTACGCGCAAAGCCTCCTGCAGAGCTCGGTGTGGTACTCGTCACAGTACCAGGCGTAGTAGTGGTCGTATTGGGCGTCGCAGCGCTCGAAGGCGCAAGCAAAGATGACGAGTCCCAAGTCGAGCCACGCTTGGCAGCAGAGTCTACTACTGGGAAATATCCACCGCCCGGGCTGGGCAAAGGTGCCTCGTCACCTGCGGCTGGTTTCAGACGGCCAGGCACAGAGCTTGCCTGTCGATCAGGCAGCTGTCGTGTCGCCTGCGGGGAAGCCGGGCTGGCCATCGGCAGTGGCGAAGCTGCTAACCCGAGCGATCCATGCTCATCGCCTTCTGGAATGATGCTGGGCTTCAAACTTGAGCCCGAAAATTCCCGAACGCGCATGTCAGCAGACGCGTGTGGTGACGCTCGACTGTTTGCTCTCGAGTCGTCGCCCTTGAGAATGCGCTCGACCATGCGAGCGTAGCCAAAGAATTCACCAGTTCCGTTAGCGCCAAAGATGAGGAAAACACCTTCCCGACTGGTGCGAAAGGCACGATCGAGAACCGGTTCATTGTGGCTTTGCGTGCTCCAGATCGAATGCTCGACTGCCTTTTGCAAGTCCTCCTCTGTGTGTGATTTGAGGATGAAGTAGCGCTTTGGAAAGTGACGAGCTAAGAAAGACGAAGAGGTCGAGGCGGAAGAATGGACGGTGGATGTCGACACTTGTCGCGTTCGGGCAGAGGTATCGCTTTCGACGGTCAGTTCTGGCACAGTCGACTGCGATTCTGCCTGGTCAGAATCCGCCGCCTGCTTCGACGCGATATATGTCTGGTGCATCTGTTTGCCTCGCTGGGTGCCTACGCCCGACTTTGTCCCGTCGTCTTTGTTTCTGACGCGACAGACAAATTCTTTGCATCGCTGATCTTCCCGACGGAGACGCACGCCGTGAGATGTTTTTATGCCGACCTGGAGATGTATGTCCGAGATGTAATTTACGAAGGCGCAATTAGATCGAAGGATGAGGTGAACGCTCTCGACACCGCAAGTCGCGAGATCCTCGTCAGTCATACGTGGCTGTGGCCCATCGGGATCAGCGTGCGATTTGTTGCGAAGCTGTGCGATCTCGTCTTGCGAGAGTAAGTTCACCGGTGCCTTGCGACTTTCAAAGAAGTTCAGCAGCTCGTCATGCGTAACGTCGTACGATACGTTGCCGACCCACATGGCCTGAGGCTCGAGCATTAGTGGAATCATATTCCCAGGACAGACAGCACATACCCAGGCAGAATGTGCAGGCGGTCTCGGCAGCGTCTTGTAGAGCTGCGGCTCGTGCCGTGCGTTTGGGGCGAATCTCTGAGGCGGCGGTCGGTCGTGAATGAGTGCATACATCTTCTCTCGAGCCAGCGAGCCACGATTGAGCGAGAGCGGGGGGTTGTTCGACTGCTGGCCTGGCGTGTTGTATCGCGGAGGTCGGGCATGCGAAGTCGCAGCGCTGCTGAAGCTTGACGAATGGTAATCATCGGCTTGTGCGCCTAGCGAGGGTGAGGTCGCGTAGCCTATCGAATGGAATGGTCAGGGCAGGACAAGCAGCACACCAAAGATTCCGACTGACTGCGTGAACCACTATAGGTCGATGTGTGTCCTCCGAGCGTGTTCTCGGGTGAGCTCGACGGCGTCATGGTAGCCGCAGAACCACCACGCAGGTCTTGCATGGGCGTCACGAGTCCACTCGGTGGCGGAGAGGCATACGAAGGCGAATCTCGGTAGCTGTGGCTCGTCGACGCCGCTGGCCTGATCGGCGGTCTGTTGTCCCGACGAGCCTGCTGTTCGCGCAGAGGCTGCTGCTGGTGCTGCTGATGCTGTTGCTGCAGCGGCAAGCGATGATGCACTGGATACTCTTGTTGCTGGAATGATTGACTGTGCTGCATCGGAGGATGATGTTGGGCGAACATATAGGCAGGCGAGATTTGCTGCGATGGCGGCAAACCCGCGCTCATAGGGTAGGGATACATCTGATCGTAGACCATGTAGGGCGGGATGTGTGCACCAGGGTAGATTTGCGGCGGTGCGGGATAGTATCCGGTCAGCTGCTGCTGCTGCTGCTGTTGTGGCGCAGCGTAGACCATCGGCGGTCTGGGGCGGGCATCATAGTAGTAATATTCCTGGCCTCCAATGCCACCGCTGCCACCGTAGTCCTGCGTGGCAAGCTGCTGAGAGTATCTCGCGTTGCGCTCGGGATCACTGGTGTCCGCACCGGGGTGAGGATAGCCCTGATGCTGTGGCATGTAGGGTCCCGAAGAGCCATACTGGAGCGAATCCTCGCCAGCATGTGCAATGCCTGCTGCCAAGCGAGCTTGACTCTGCAGAATCCTGGCAAGCTCTGCGGCTGCTGCCTCATCTGGTGATGTCGGCAGGTCCTGATAGCTGCCGTCTGCGGGCATGCTCGACTTCCACAGAAGTCGCTCGTGAAGATGAGACCAGCTCAGACTTTGTCGACACGACCCTCCCCAGGACCGATCACAGAGCCGGCCCGCTGCTCCTAGGCAGCCGGCATCGTTTGCTTGCCTGTCCTGCCTGCCTGCTCGCTCCAGCCCGAGTAAAGGTGCTGTCGACTTTCACCACTACTAATCGACACGATCTACCAAGGTTCTCGACTCGGGGCGGCGAAGTACGACTTTATTTCATCATGCGTCACACGTGGCATGGAAGATCGAGACTCGTTCTGGAATAAGAAACCACGCTATTCTGCATCGGTGATAGACAACCTGTCGCTCGCGCTAGCTAAGCCGTCCATCTTCGCGCTCTCGGCAACCGTATTTCCCGCAGCCGACGCTGCCTCCCGCTCTGCAGCAGCGAGTTGGGAAGCCTTGGCATAGGAGAAGCCCTCCTTGCGGAGCGCGCTGCTTGCCGCAAATGCCTTTGGCACAGGAGGGGACAGCGGCGGGCTCGCATCCTTTGGCAGGGCGTCACGAATCGCCGCCTTGTCCTTTACGAGAACTTTGCGCTGCTGCTGCGTGTTCTCTCGATCGCGAGAAGACGAATTGGACCCGTTCGGGCGATTGGTCTTTGGCGCGGAGCTTCTCCATGCACCTCCTGCCTCGGCTTTGTCCGATCGTTGTGCGGAATCGTTCGAGCCGGTCGCAGATAACGCCCTCGACTGCACTGGCGGACGTTCTTTGGCCGGAGCAACATCGACCGGTTTCGCTTCACCAAATGGATTCGGGGCAGATTTGCGGTCGCCTATCGCCTTGTCGCGAGCTTCGCGGTCTGCTTTGAGCTTCGTTTCGCGATCTTCTGCTTCTCGCTGGATTTTTTCGTCAATGGCTCGTTGTCGCTCGAGTGTATCGATGGGCGCCGCAGCGCCGAAAGGACTTGGTTTGCTGCTGCCCGCTGTTGTCGGCGTCGGAGGGAAGCTCTCGGCATCCGTCGAGACTGTCCTCTTTGCGAGCGCAAGCTTTCTGCGAGAGCCATCTCCCTCTGCGCAATCTGTCAGGGTAATGCATAACATTCAGCGACAAGCTGACCCGTTACGCCATTCTGTAGAGGTTCGACAGGAGTAGGCGCAGCACGCCGCCATTGATTGACATTGTCAGCGTCTGTTGTGCCTCCGAGTGTGGGCGAGAATGCAGATGCACGCCGGGAGCCAGCATCTGAGAAGCCAGAGCCGCCAAGGACTGGACTCCGTTGGGGTGCCGCGGTCGATGGCCTGAACTGACTTCCGATTCCCATACGCTCTCCACGATCTTCGTCGGGTATCGCAGCACTACCGGTGAAGCTAGCGTCACGGCTTGGTAGTCGGGAGGTACCATAGCCACTCGCTGAACGCGAGGGTGGGCCGCTCGAGGATGGCGTAAACTTTGCGCCTCGGACGGCGCCCCATTCGCGATCCTCTTCGATGGATCCGGCACCCATGCGGTCGCGAGATCCAAATCCTCCACTCGAGAAGCCTGTCCGTCCTGCAACCGGTGGTAGAGGTCCTGCACGAGTTGACCAATCGCCATCTGAACGATCAGGTGCAGTGTCTTTCGCTGTCGTGGCAAGCATGCTATGAGCATCCTGAGATCAGCCTGAGCATGCGCCTCACCTTCTGCTACAGTGACGCGGACGGCTCGTCCGTTGAAGTCTGAGCCACTCTTCGCCAAGGCAGCCTTGAGACCGTCCAGTTCTGCAAATTCGACGTAGCCATAGCCTTTCAATTTGCCGTCGACGCCTGTGATGAGTCGAACTGTCGTGACCTGTGATACGCTTGCTGATCAGTCTGATGAAAGCCCTGCTAACGGACGAGTGGCGTGCCTGCTCCTCTGCAAAGAGTGCGCGCAGATCGCTATCTGTGACTTCGAACGAGAGATTGCCGACGAAAGCCGTATAGGGCGGCTTGGTCGGCAAAGGAACATCCGCTCGAGGTGCTCGATCGATTCCGCCGGCACGATCGCCTGGGTACTCCGCATCAGCAAGTCGTGTGGACGGCAACGCGTCATGTTCTCACCATATCCGCCTGCCGTGAAGCGACCTTGACCAAAGCCTGGCTCACCGGCTACTCTTCCCGAAGCTGTCAGTTAAGAGATCACATCATCAGTATCGGTGTGGGATTCACAAACGCCAAAGGAGTCGACGGCGAATGAAGCTCTGGCATGGTATGCAAGCGAGCGCCAACGGCCAAATGGTGTCTTGCGATGATGAGGAATATGTATGATGAAGCTCACGAGCGGTAGGCAGTGAGTCCATCTCGTCTGCCCATGATCCTGTGCCTGTACGACAGAGGACACGAAATTTAGCATCGCCGGCTAGACTTGACGACGGTATTCGTCTGCTAACGCACTGGAATCGTTGAGAAAGTCGCTAAAGGCGAGCTTGGTTCCTTTCTTCTTCGACATTGTGCCTGTCTGATGAGGTTGGCAAGCTCTTTGACAAGTCCAAAAATTTGGCAGGCCAAGACGACTATTTGAAACCAAAAATATTCATCTGAACTTGGGCAGGGTACAGCGCGAGCGACGCAAGCCTGACTCGGCCTGCAGCAGCTGCTCAGCATTGCTGCCATCCCTGCCAGGCCAGGATGGAGGAAATCTCCATGGCCGACCGTACAGGGTCAGCAGAAGTCAAGCCAAAGGCCAGTCCAGATGCGACGACGTCTGTCGCTCAAGTCGACCATCTGCTCAATGCTCAAGCTCAATCAACGGCATCCGTCATGTCAAATGCTGGCGGAAGCAAGCCTGCGACAGCCGAGGAGCTCCTAGATGAGGTCAAGCCGACCAATGGGGATGTCAGCATGAGCGCGAGCTCGCCTGATGCTCCTCCTCGCTCAGAGCCCCAGTCTGGGGACGGAGCAGAGGGAGCGCTCGACGATGAAGGCCCAGAGCAGGGTGGAGAGGATGAAGATGAAGACGAGGAGGAGGAGGAGGAAGAAGAGGAGGAAAGCGAGGCGGAGGACAGCGAGGATGAGATGGATGAGGAGGAGGAGTCCAGCAGGCCAAGCAAGAAGAGAAAGCACAAACACAGCAGACGCAAGCCCAAGAGAGGCGTCAACCGCTTCGTCGATATCGAAGCCGACGTTGACGATGACGACGAGGATGACGACGAAGAGGATGAAGCGGGTGGTGCGTACCTCAACCTAACCTCAAATACGTGTGACATGCCTGAACAAGTTCCTTTGCCGAGCAGTGACCGAATTTGTAGAGCCCGGCGCGGACGAACGCGACTACACAGATGACAAAGCCCACCGCAGGCTTGATCGCAGGCGCAGAATCGATGATGAAGCGACAGCCCAAGAGGTTGCCCGTGCTATCGAAGAGCGCGACCGAGAAGCTCGTCGTGCCCAGCGCATCGCTCGGGAGAGCAACTTCATGCCTCGCAACACCCTCATGGCAGATGTCAGCAGTACCAACGTCTGGGCAGTTCGTTGCAAGCCCGGACGGGAATCGATGCTCATCCTTTCGATACTTCGAAAAGCGATCGCCACGCCAGACTCGCTCGTCCAGAGTGCCTTTCAGCGAGAGTCAGTCAAAGGCTACATCTACATCGAAGCTCCCAGCGAAGGCGACGCGCGAGAGTCTGTACGAGGCCTTATCGGCGCATACCCCAACAACACGCCTGCCAATACCGCTCAGCGTCGTGCTGCTGTCCGCAACATCTTTCTCATCGATCACGAAGACAGGCAAGCTCTACTGACCATGCGAAAAGTCGAAGAGCCGGTTCAGGTGGGTGCATGGGTGCGGCTCGTCAAAGGCAAATATGCAGGAGATCTCGCCCTCGTCGCCAACATGGTCGAGAACACGGAAAACGTCGTACTTCAGATCGTGCCTCGTATCGACCTGAACCCTCCAACGGTAGAGTATGTCGTCGGCCCTGACGGCAAAAAGCGCAAGAAGCCTGTCATGGCCGTGTCTGCGTCCACTCGCCCGTCGCAGGCCCTCTTCAACGTTGACGCAGTCAAGACGGCATACGGCAAGAAAGCAGTCACTCGAGATGGAGGTATCTACTACTTCCAGAATGACGAATACAGCGGCGGCCTGCTCTACAAAGAGTTTAGGCAGTCTGCCATCCAGACGAAAGACGTCAACCCACAGCTTTCAGAGATTACCATGCTGACCCCCAAAGACGGCGACAAGAAGAGGCGCGCGCAAGCAGCCAATGGCAATGATGCCGAAGAGGATGAAGAAGAAGAGGAAGAAGAAGAAGAAGAAGAAGAAGAAGAAGAAGAAGAAGAAGACGATGTCAGCGAAGAAGACAGGGAACGCAAGCGCGAAGAGAGAGAGGCCAGACGGAAAGCACAGCAAGAGAAAGCCGCCGCAGCCCCTGCAACCGACGTTGACCTTCAGGTACTTGCACAAGCTTACAAGCGCGGGTCAGAATCTGGCTACACCATCGGCGATACTGTGGAGGCATGGCGAGGTGCTCTTCGTGGCGCGCAAGGCGTCATCACCGCGCTTAGCGGGCTCGAAGCTCAAATCGCTTTCAATACCGAAGCAGGTGCGACTTCAGCCACGCTGTCGATAGACGACCTGCGCAAGCGCTTCCGCGTCGGCGATCATGTCAAAGTCCTGCGAGGCGTCTCTGTTGATGAGACTGGCCTCATCATCAGTATCGACAAGGATCTCGTCACGCTCATGAGCGATCTCTCACTGCAAGAATTGATTGTCTTCTCAAAGGACATCAAAGAAGCTGCAGAAGTCGGGACGACCGTCAATGAGGTCGGAGAGTACAAATTGCATGATCTCGTTCAGCTTGACGAACATACGACTGGCGTCATCTACCAGGTCGAGCCTCACTCATTCCAGATCTTGGATCAAGCCGGCAATTCACGTCGAAAGACCAGTCGCGAGATTGCTACTGTCCGCGACGGTCGGATGTTTATCGCAACCGATGCCGACGGTCGTCAGCTGCAGAGAGGTCAGCTTGTAAAAGTCGGCAGAAACAGCATAGATGGTCAGAGCAAGCAAGGGACCCTGCTGCATGTCTATCGATCTATCTACGCATTTATATATAATCGTGAGATCAGCACGACAGGCGGCGTCTTTGTGGCCAATGCGAATACGCTCGTCCCAGTTGCGCCTGTTGCAACGAAACTCGACGTCTCGAGGATGAATCCCCAGATGCTCAACGCTTTACCAAAAGAGTCTTCCGTCGTGCGAGGTGGTCGCGAACCTGCTCGCTTCAAGCGTGTCGTCATTCGCAGCGGCCCAGACAAAGGTCTCGAGGGCATGATCAAGAACATCAATGGCGATATGTGCCAAGTCGAACTATCTTCGCGAACCAAGCTGGCTTCAATTGCAAAAGAAAAGCTCAGCATTATTGTCAGAGAGTACGTATAGCGTCCCTGGGCCGAAGAGAATGCTTAAATGTCTCTGCAGTCAAACGGACCTGATGTCGAAGCGGATCACCAAGCCATTACTAGAATGGGAGGTCGAGCAGCTACAGCGTGGTGGATCTAATTTCTCGAGAGATACTGCCTCCATGCCAAGCACAAATTACGCGACTCAGACCAACGGCGGCCGAACAGGCGGCTATGGTCGCAGTGCCGCGACGCCGGGCGGCCAATTCGGTGGCCAGACTATGGGACAAACGCCAGGCTTAAGTGGGTATGACGACAGCTGCCATGCACACGCGCTGAGCTCTTGTACGCTCTGCAGGTCGATCAGCCGCTACGCCAGGTGGTATGTTTGGCAGTACCAGTCAGACGCCATTCGGAGGTGGCAAAACGCCAGGTGCTGCATCGCTCTGGAACCCGTCGTCGAAGACACCTTTCGGAGGAGGCAAAACACCGCTCATCAGCAATGCGACCGGGCGAACGCCCGGTGCATCGTTTGCACAGACACCTGCTTTCGGCGGTATGACACCGGGCGGGGCTATGACGGGCAGGACCGATGCGTACGAAGCGCCTTCGCCAGCGTTCAAGAATACGCCTGCACCCACAAGCCCTGCGTATTCTGGCGTGCCTCCTTATGATGCGCCGACACCAGCGGCGAGCTACGGACAAGCGCCTCCGTCCAGCTACACCGCGCCGTCTCCAGCGGCGGCGCCTACTCCGGCTGCATCAGGCTACATGAATCCGGCTCGCGCTGCCATGCTTGCTCAGTCTTCTGCCGCGTCAGCGCCTTCGCCAGCCGCTCCTCCTGGGCGCCAAAGAGCAGCCGCAGCAGACTTTTACGACGAGCCAGAGCAACACGTCGCGAAGCAAATCACAGCAGCCAACACTGCCCCGTTGGCTTACTCTCGTTGGGGCGCGCAAGCCAGCGCGCCTTCGCCATACACTGCTCCTACGCCCGCTGCACAACGACATGCCTACGATACGCCTTACAACGCTCCCACGCCGGGCAATGCGCTTCGGGGCTACGAGGCGCCTTCGCCCAATGTGTACAGGCACACGGATGGCTCGACTGGCTACTACGCAGCCGACACACCCGCGCATCATAGCGGCTATGGTTCGAGGCAGCAGCCCGCTGCACCGCGATCTGCCTTACCGTCAGACTGGGCAGAGACGGGCCTGGAGGTCGTGCTCATGCCTGGCAGCGGGATTTACAGAGGAGCTTATGACCGTCAGTACGGCGTCGTCTCCGGTATCGCGTCGCTACAAGGCCAGCAGGTCTGCGAAGTCACGTTCCCCGATGGCAATCGGGTGCCAGACATCCCCTCTAGACAACTTCAACCTGTGCTGCCGCGGAAAGGTGACCGTGTCATCGTCATTGGGGGCAACGACAGACATTCGCGAGGATCGGTCTCGACCGACCTGGACGCGGGCGCGTTCATGATGATCTTTGACGTATCTCAAGCTCAGACGGTGATCAATGCCGAGCTCGTCTGTAAGCTACGTTGACATGGATGCAATGCGCCGTGACATGATCTACATGCGATTTTCCAGTGCTTGCGTATGAGTTTGTGAGTGATTGCGTGAGGTGATTAGTGGAAATATTTGCTGTTAGACGGCTTGGCGACAGCATAAGCTGCATCGACGGCCTTGACAACTTCTTCGGGCAGTGCTGGCTTTTCGAGATCCAATAGGTTCTGCTCAATATGCGCCAGGCTCGATGCACCAATTATGACAGCGTCACCGTGCTCTCGCTTGAGTACGCTGTGGTGTGTCATCCAGCGAAGCGCAATTTCTGGCACTGTGAGGTCATGCTTCTTGCCGATCTCCTTGAGTTGCTCGACGGCTTCGAACATCTGGTCGTGCCAGTAGCGCGCGCGGTACGACTTGCCCTGGGCCTTCTCCGGATCGAATCGCGAGCCTGCCTCGACTGCAGCCTCTTTGCTCATCTTGCCCGACAGGAAACCACCGCCGAGCGGGTTGAAGCAGAAGAGACCAAGACCGAATTTGCGGCAGCAGGGTACAAGTTCTGGCTCGATGGCTCGGTGAAGGGCGTTGTAGATGACCTGGAACATCGTCGGCTGGATCCAACCATGCTGTCGGCAGATCATGACCATCTCTGCGACTTCGTGCGCGGCATAGTTGGAGATGCCGAACCTGTCGAATTTGCCCTCCTTGTGGATCTCATTGACAGCTCGCAGTGTCTCCTCGTACGGCGTCTCACGGTCAGGAGCATGGAGGTAGAAAGCATCCACTCTGTCGGCCTTGAGGGCTTTGAGACTGTTGTCGAAGTTCTTGCGGATGTCCTCGGGTGAGTGGGTGATGACATCTGTCCAGCCCATATTGACGGGCGAGCGGGCGGTGGGGTAGAGCTTGGTGTCCATCTGCAGACCTCTCTTCTGCCACCCGAGATCTCCCAGCATCTCCTCACATGAGCCACCGCAGTAGACTCGAGCAGTGTCGACTTCATAGTGGCCGTGCCTCTGAAAGACGTCCAAGATCTTTCCCGCCGTTTCCAAGTCGTGCACTCGCGCCTGACCTGCGCCCTCTCGGCCGAACGTCATGGAACCGAACACGACATTGACCGCCGACTTTTGCTCTGTCTTGACCATCGTTAATCGTCGTCCGAGTCGTTGACAAGCTCGGAGCTTAGGCGTTCAAGAGACTGAGCGAACGACGCGCTTTTTGCCACCGGCTCGTTGTGAGTGACGTGCTCATTGCAGTCCATCCCGACGTGTACAGCACGACAAGAATGACAGAGGAACCGATAAGCGGCTTGTCCAAGTTCTTCAGCAGCGCACGCGAGCAGGGCGGCCAGTTTGCGCGTTCACTGCCAGCCGTTGACCAGTTGCGCCATGACCTGCGCTCTACCGTGCTCACTCACTCGCCCAACCAGAGCGCACACACGCTCAAGCTCGCACTTCTCATTGCTGCCCAGAAGGGCACCGTCATTGATCATCTGGCCGTGGCGAGAGAGACAAAGGCAGTCGCAAAGGCACTCTTTGACTGGTCCAACGAACAGACCAAAGACTCGGCGACAGACCTTCGTGACGTCTCTGATCGATTGGCCTATGTCGTCTTCCAAGAGGCAGAGCTACACGCAGAGTATGCTGCCCATCTCGAACAGTCTCGCACCTTGCTGAAAGGTGAGCGCCCGCCGCTCGACTTTACCTCGCCTCTGACGCGTCACAGAGCTGCGCAACTTTGAGAATAAGTTCTCGCCCAACAGGGACAGACGATCACAGCTACAGCACCAGATTGCCAAGCTCAAGACGAGCGCGAAACCGAACGGTACTGCCAGTCTCAAGCGACAGGCAAGCTTGCAAGACGAGCTCGACACGCTCGAGAAAGCCGACGTGCCTCACGAGAAATCTATCGAGATGCTCAAGCGACAGAAGCTACGCGAGTCCTTTGACCTTCGCTTCACCGCACTGCAGCGTCTGGGTGAGAAGATGGCCGTCCTGAGCTCCTACGGCCGAGCACTCGGTGCCGACCTGACCTCCAACGACCCAGATGTCGTTCCTTACGCGGGCAAGGATCGCACGGCGGCGATTCGCGTGAACGCACAGGAAGCGCTGGATGCCTGGTCGCCTTCTACATCGTTCGTACCGCCCCCTCGTCTGGAGGCCAAGCCCGGCATCTCACTTCAAGAGGGATACACCTATGCGTACGTGGCATCTTGCGCAGACAGCATGTATACCAGCCCTCATCGAGCGTCGCACAGATCGTTTGGGCAGACGCACAAGGACGACCTCGCCGCTATGAGTTCGTCTGAAGCGACGCTGCCCGAAGCAGGCACGAGCGCACAAGCTAAGCAAGGAGACGGAACGCTCACGTCCATGCTCAACATGGCTCCCTCGCCTCTCTCGCCTGCCCCACCTCCCGAGAAAGTGCCTCGTCGTGGGTCCCTGTCTGCTACAGCCACTGTGGCACCTACAGATGAGCCAGAGTCGCCCGTACGTTCTTCGTTGCTCTCGAGAGGAGGCGTGCTCATGCAGTAGCAGACAATGGCAGAGACAGGTACGCCTATTGTCGGCGGAAATGGTCCAGTCTCTGGCCAGCTCACGAATCGACGTCTGAGTCGTGGCGAGAGCGTGCGAACATCTACAGACGGTCTCCCACCGTACGAGGCGACACATCGATCGTAGTGCATGCAGTCATCCTGTTGTTGTCTCGAAAGGAAGCGAGTGATACTACAAAGGTCTCTGCATGCTGGCGCGCGCGCGCGCGTACAGATCCGACTAGCCTACACTTCTCAATACTGCTCAAGCGGGATCAGCAGCGAGTTGAGTATGCAAAAGCGAATGGCGCACCCATGATGACAGAGTCGCCCCTCAAGAACAGCTTGGAGATGAACCTGTCCTTGTTGACTGGCTTTTTGTTCTTGCCCTTTGGTATCTCTGTCCACATCTCCTTGACGTTCTCCAAGACCTGGACGAACCGGCCCATGCTGTCAGTCGATGCTATGGGCATAGGATGAGCTGTAAGCCGACCATGTTAGAGTGACGATCGAAGGCCTTGACTCGCGCTAAGAGCTTGTGGCCATTCCTGAGGGCGACGAGGATCTGGGTATGGTTCTTGACGGATTGCTGCAGCACGTTGAGCGGCCCTTGGGAGATCTCGTGCTCCTCTAGCGCTCGTATCTGAGCTTCATCCATCTCGGATTTCTGCCAGAAGGAGCAGCCGGTCAGTACGAGGCTCTGCGCTGAAAGGTTCTGTCTACTGACCGGCTGGTTGACGAGAGTCCTGCAAGTTTGGTCGAAGCGCGCAAAGATGATCATGCCTGTCGTCAGCTCTGCCAATCTGGAGAGCAGAAAGACTGACGCCATATTGCCTTCACAAGCTGTCACACGCCGTCCTCGCCAGGCGCCCAAGTTCTCTCGGATGATGACGTGGCAGCGCATCTTCAGGCCAAAATTTTGGGAAGCCGCCGAAGCCAAAGATGCCAACGCCAGCGCTCCGAGGGGGAGCCAGCTTGTCTCGAAAGCATGCAATCGCACTCAGCTCGCGGAGTGTCGCACCTGCGCCTGTTCTGGCAGCCTCTTGTCGCTCGCCGCAAGTGTTAGCCTGTAAGCTCCACCGGCGGCGTGTACTTCCGCCAGGAGAGCTTACGTCGTCGATTAATTAACAGCTCGCTCGCTTTCGACCTCCTCGATCAGAGCGCCTCTCCCTCGCACAAGGTCAGCCGCAGCGGCTGCCCTGACATGGCAGAGTAAGCGCGAGCATCGCGACGTCGATGACAGGCTGAGCGCTCATGTCGACCGAACAGGCACCCGAACGTATGCAGCCGAAGCAGCGCAAAAGTACAAGCGATCCAAGCCTCATCTCAACATTGGCACGATCGGCCACGTCGATCATGTAAGTTTACTATCCTGTCCGGCGCAATCTCCTCACGCTCGGGCTGTGTGCGCGTAGGGCAAGACGACCTTGACGGCAGCGATCACAAAGACGCAAGCGGAGAAGATGGGGACCGGCAAGTTCATGGACTATGACCAGATTGACAAGGCGCCCGAGGAAAAGGCGAGAGGAATCACGATTTCGGCTGCCCATGTCGAGTATGAGACCGCCAAGCGACATTACGCTCACATCGATCTGCCCGGCCATCAGGATTTCATCAAGAACATGATCACAGGCGCTTCACAGATGGACGGTGCCATCATCGTCGTCGCCGCCACAGACGGTCAGATGCCCCAGACACGCGAACATTTGCTCCTCGCCCGTCAGACGGGCATCCAGAAGATTGTCATCTACATCAACAAGGTCGATCAAATTGATGATCCAGAGATGCTCGAGCTCGTCGAGATGGAGATGCGCGACTTGCTCGCTACCTACGGCTTCGATGGCGAGAACACGCCCATCGTCAAAGGGTCTGCTCTTGCAGCACTGCAAGGCAAAGATCCAGAGATCGGTGTCAAGTCGATCGAAGCACTCATGGACTCCATCGACACATGGCTCGATCAGCCTACCCGAGATCTCGACAAGCCCTTCTTGATGCCTGTCGAGGGCTGTTTCTCCATCTCCGGTCGTGGCACCGTCGTCACAGGCAGAGTAGAACGAGGAACGATCAGCAAGGGCCAAGAAGTCGAAGTGCTCGGTCTGGGCCCCCCTTTCAAGACGACCTTGACCGGTATCGAGTCTTTCCACAAGGAACTCGACCGGGGCGAGGCGGGCGACAACATGGGCGCACTCTTGCGAGGCATCAAGCGCGAACAGATCAAGCGCGGCATGGTCCTTGCTGCGCCCGGCTCGATGAAGACGACCAAGAAGTTCTTGGCATCAATCTATGTGCTCACAAAGGAAGAAGGCGGTCGGTTTGCTCCCTTCGCTTCAGGATATAGGTCAGTGCTTTTTGCTCACCAGACGGCAGCCGCTAACAGGCTTGTGGACCGACAGACCACAGTTGTTCATACGGACGACCGATGTGACGACGAGCATCTCCCTGCTCAACGATGAAGCACACGAAAAGCAAGTCATGCCGGGCGAGAACGTCGAGGCGACGTGCGAGCTCGTGCACGATGTAGCTATCGAGGAAGGATCCCGCTTCACGCTCCGTGAGGGAGGCAAGACGATCGGCACTGGCCTCGTGACCCGCGTGGGCTAGTTCTACGATTGTAATCCTCTGCATGCCTTGCGACACCTCTCAAAGCGCACACCATGGCATGAATATAGCATGCAGGCCGACAGGACATGCAGGAATGAGTACAAAAGATTGCAGCAGCTCATGCATCTTCCTCGACTGCATCACCAGTCAGTTTGACGCTTCCCCAAAAACAGCACGCGGAGACCGACCAAGTTGAGTCTGCAGACCCTTGAAGTCTGTCACGCCAGAGACGTGAGAGACGACGGTGAGGAGTTTCTCCTTTGCGTCCTCGTCGTCATTTCGCTTCCTCGACAGTCTCACTCTGATTCGTCGGGGCACATCCTTGACGCCCTTTTGCCAGATGGCAGCGTTGAGCGTGGGGTCGATCTGGACGAGCTTAGTGCCCATCGTGCTTTGCGCGAATTTGACGACCTCCTTGACTGCCTTTGGCGCGCGCTGTGATTGGACCTCAGGGATGAGCCATGATCCACGCCCATCAGAAGGTCGTGCTTGCCTTTTTGAACTGCACGCTGTGTACCCGCTTGTGCAGATGGATCGTGTACTCTCTCGTGACGACATCTGACAGAGCAGAGCGCTGCTTCTTCTCTCCCTTTGTCCGTGCCATCTCTATTGATCTGTCCGAGCCAGACAGTAGCGTCAGCATGTGCTCTTCGATTCGTTCTAGCTATGGGTGAGTTGCCGGGATTGGTTGTACAGCGGCTGGCGTGGAAGTCGTCGAGGTTGCAATATTGGCGATTCTGCCAGTCTGATTTCTAGCGACAGGCGAGTCTGGCACAGCTACAGAGCTAGCGGCGAGAGCTCGGCAGTGGCGCAGAAGCCGCAGGGGACAGAAGCACAGGACACTTACAGCTTGCACACTCGACAGAGACTTCGCCCTCGACGCTTCTCACGTCAAAGCCACACCTCAAAATTCTCACGCGCCCTTATGCCACGTCGATGGAATGTTGCTGCCACCTGCCGCATCATCTTATCAAAGTCAGCGCACCTGTAAGCTCTTCAGTGTGCACTCGCCGATCATCTTCCACCCGCGCAAAGTAGACGAGCGTGCATTGCCGACAAGCTCCCAGGCAAAAGGTGAGCCCATGATCGCACAGATACCGGCAAGATGGCTCACATGCCGGCAGCAATTCAGTCATGTTGAGGTCAGCGGTATGCACACTCCGGCGCTCTTCGACTGTAGCAGCACCGACGGCGAAGACAGCAGCAAACTCAGCTCCCATGGCCGCACCACAGGCAGCGCAAGAGCCAATGTTCAAGGTGACGCTCACACGATCGCCTATCGGTTTGCCGGAACGGACGAAGCTCTCGCTCAAGACGCTAGGCCTGAAGAAGCGCATGCAGACGGTCTACAAGCCTCATCGGCCCGAATTTGCCGGCATGATCCTCAAAGTCAAAGAGCTCGTCACCGTCGAGAATGTGACGGCAAAGGACGTACCGCGCAAGCCTGCTGCTGGCTTCGAGATCATCTGATCCCTCTGAAGCTATCTTGAGACGCAAATTCGAGCCATCGACCGTATTCTGAGCCGAGCATGGTCTATCGATCCTCGTCAGACGACTGCTTCCGGCCATCGCCGCTTCAACACCGCAGGCTACACAGGCAGACTGGAGGTGATATACAAGAGGGGCAGCACAGGTCACCTACGTTGTCAGTCCGCGGTCACCGAGGTCCACCGTGGAGAGTCACACTAGACCCGGCTCTTCTCGGCCGAATGCAATCTTCGACTTCGCCCGGGCGCGCGTATACGTTTGACGCTTAGCATCGCCCTCTGCTCGTCTTGCCAAACAGACAACGTCTGACAGACTCGTAGCGCGCTTAGCGGATGAGTAGCGCGCCCGTCCGTCTTGAGTCTCAAACTCGCTGCTTCTCCTTCTGCTTCGACAGGCCCGGCTTTGCGACACTTGTTCGTTCTGAGTGTCACCGCATCCCGTCCTGTCAGAGCGAGAGAGCCAATCATCCACCAGAGCCGTTTTCTCGGAGCCTCCTCGCATTGCCACGACCACGCGGGCGCAACTGCCATGCAACGGCCGTCTTGCTCGAGCGAGGAAGCCTTCGATGAGCTCTTGAGTCCTCACCCCACCGCTCGACTCGCTCCCTTTGAGTCGACCGACTTGCTCGAGTCGTACGGTCTGCTGGCAGACTCGCCTTTGCTTAAGGACGGCTGTACGCTCAGCCCAGCTGGGATGGACGAGCTCACGTCCTCGCCTCTGTCACCCGAGAGCGTCTACTCGCACGTCAACGAGCACCACCACCACCACCATCATCATCTCGCTCAGACCCGTTGCTCCTCGAACGACTCAGACTCTCAACCGGACCTCTTCCCGTCGCAGGACCCATGCGGCGGCCGTCGTGAATCGCTGACCGGTCAGTATGCTCGAGCTGATAACGGCTATGATGGCCATCTCTTGCCGCTCAATATGTCGCCCGACCACTCCGCTCTTACGCACGGCAACGGACATCACTCGTTCAACGAGGGGTATCAAAGCTGCATGTCTAAGCATCCCGGCAGTGTCAATCATTTTCATTTACCTGTCGGCTACAACCCCAACCAGCCACAACCGATGACGCGCTCTCTGGCCATGCCTTTCGACTGTGCACGTCAGTACGCCGCTTATCCTACTCGCTCACAGTATCCGTCATTTCACACTGTACGCTCATTTCACCGTCTCTCGCATGAGCCGGCTGTATCTCACGAGCATGCTCTCGCGCAGAGCACGCTTGCCTACCCCTACATGGGCCCCTTGACTCGCTCCACTCAAGAGCCTCTCTACTTCGACACGCCTTACGGCGGTTCTCACCTTTCGGCTTTGACCGCCAATGTCACAGCAGCCGGTCCTGCTTTCGTTCCCGCTCAGACCAGTTTCTACTCTGGCTTGCCGCTTGCTTCGTACTCTTACCAAACGCACACTGCTGCTCAGCCGGTATGTCTGACCCCGCAAGATGGGCTCTCGCCCGCTAGCTCGGTCTTGTCGTCTGCCCACACGCTACCGAGCCTTCACCAGGCCGATAATCGAGACGACGCAGAGCGAAATCACTCAGGTTCCGACACTTCCCCCTCACTGAATGGACAACCTTTTGAGACCATCAATGGCTACGCGCTCAAGCCCGCCAACGCCCATGATCTCGTCAAGCAAGGGATCTACACGGGTCTACCCGTCACACGCTTCATCTCCACCCTCTGGTTCCTCGTCCAGGTTCGTTTGCCAACCGCGTCGACAACGAGCTTTCATTAACACGCCAACTTAGAATTCTGCATTCGAGCGCTTCATTCGCTGGCTGCCAGACCAGCGCTCTGTCCTCATTGACATGGGTGGGTCTGCGCATATGAGCACGTACCACCTCCAGCTAAAATTCGTCTGTGTCATACAGGCCAGCCGCGCTTTGCCCAGTCTGTCTTGCTGCCTTATTTCAACCACGCCAACGTCAATTCGCTTCTTCGTCAGTTCAATGTACGCGCGCACTTACTTGACATGCTAGCATGTTCGCTGAGCCACACTCGTTCGAATGGTCAGGCTTATGATTTCGGTAAGTATTGCTTTGGTGCCTGTCAGGGCGTACCGGACTGACACTCTGCAACAGTCCGCTTATCCGCCAGCCAGCTGCTCGAGCAGCTCGACGTCATGCGAGTCTACAACCGCACTCTCATTGCCATTGCTGACAACCGCACAGACCGCAAACGAGCGGCAAGCCCAGCAAACGCCACAAGGGTGCCATGAGCCTCCGCGAAGAGACGCGTTCAAAGTATGGTACGTTGCTAGAGTCAGACGACTGCGACCTCTGCTCATCAGTTTGTCTGCGCACTGAGCAGGAGCTGCTTTCGTCCATCCCCTGTTCAACGTCTTGCGACCTCATCTGACGGCCATCAAACCAAAGAGCAAAGCCGGTAGGAAGGTCCAGGCTGCTCGACGTGCTGCTTCGATCAGACGACGCACCTAGACGCTTGACGCGACATTGGTCATCTATCACTTTCAGGACTGGCGAATCACTGGATGGTTTTCATGGACGCTCTGCGACGTTGCTTACTCTGCCTTATCGACACGATTGATTTGTGCCTTTCGTCTGGGTCTTTGCGACAATTCTGTGCTAGAGGGATGCATGCCGGGTTCATACTTCATGCTACATACAACAAGCGTATACTTCGGATTCATTGGCGACTATAGCTGATTGACGCCCTTCCGTACTCGTCCGAACAGGTTCATCGCAGCGTCTCTGACATTGTCCACGCCGGCTTCGAGGCCTGCACCGGCATTGCCCCCGACATTGAGGGAAAGGTTGCCAATTTTGAGATTCAAGCCTTCTTGACTAGTCTGCGGCGTCGCTTGTGGAGGCTGACTTGTTGGTCGCAAGGAAAGCGCGGAGGAAGTCATTGATGCCGGAAATCGAGCGGCAGCATCGCGAACGAGATCGAGGAACCTGCCCTCGCGGTCAACGTGACCTCCCAATCTAGCACTGAACACTCACATTGTCGAATTCAGCACGCCGGTGCCACCCAGCAGAAGTCTGACGCCTGCACCAAAGTTGTTCTGAGCCTGCGCACCGGGTGCATTCGAGTACGATGATGCCTGTGCAAATTGTTGATTTAGTACTGCGATCGAGCGCGCCTCTTCGTAAGTCGTGCCGCCGATGATGAACAAGATGACATCCTGACACCTGTCAGGTGACACAATTGTCAACACAAAGTCAAAAGAAAGAAGCCATGTCATCAACGGACCGTGTGTCTCGAGGTATACTCTGCACGTCGAGATAAGGGTAGCTCGCCTCTTTCAATCGGCCTTTGACGAGGAGCTCGACCGTCTGGGCGATGTGCGGCGTGTGCTGTGTATAGACATTGTCGACCCCCTTTAGGCCTTTGAGGGCAGATTTGCCTTTTGAGAAGAAGTTCTCGTTGCGGAACAGATCGTCCTGGCGCTGGTCCGCACCAGCAAAGTTGAGCATAATATGTACGAGCTGTCACAGAACGCTCAGCACTCGTCACTCGCGCAATCTCACAGACGTACGGCAGCTTCCGAATCGGCTATGCCATTCTGCTTGAGCAGTGCAACCACTTGCGAGATCGCATTGCCATTGAAACGCTGATACCGCAGTGCGTATAGGATTGCTATTCGGAGCTTACTGTCATTCGGAATGTCTGGAGAAGCGATCATCATTTGCGTACTCTGCAGAAATCACACATCAGTTTGCACCCAATGCGAGACGTCGTACGCACCCTGAGGTCTGCGCCGTGAGATTCGTTGCTCGCGAGACTCTGCTCTAGCTCGCTAACTTCGAGCAGCTTGCGCACCTCGACCAATCTGCTGAGCTCGCCTACAAGTGCGACGTGCTTGCTGACGTTGCCGCCGAGCTTGCGAAATTCTGGGTACTCCTCGATGAAGCGCTTCATGTCGGCCACTGTCTGGATATCCTTGACGGAGGAAGAAGCAGATCGTGATTGGTATTCGTCCACATAATCCTTGATTTGAGCACCTAGATCGCCAAAATTGTCGTAGAGCCGCATGGCAAAGAACGGATCGTGCTCAGGTGACAGCACGATTTCCTGCTCCGCCAATCAGCTGAGCCGCCATTGTAGAGCGAGTGGCAGACTTTGAGCTCATCTCGCACGTCATGTGCACCGCTGAGGTCCACCCGACCGTTATTGATACCAATGAGATCGTGTACCATCGCTTGATATGTCCACTGGCTGAGAAGAGGCGTGACGGGATCGTTCCTCCGATCCAATATCAGGAGCAAAGGTGCAATTGCCGCAGGGCGAAAGTCAAAGAGCTGGGACTCTGTCGAGATGTGATACTGTCTCCCGCGGCTTCAGGACAGGCACTTGAAAAGCGGTCAAGCGAGCTGACCAGCAAATCTTGGCCGAGTTTCCTGGCCATAGGTGACATCCGCTCATAGCGGATGATGGGCTTCTTCTTGAGACTGAGCAACACAGCAGCCAGGCCCTCGACGTGGCGGTCGAAGCTGCCCGTCTCTGGCGAGAGATCCCAGGCAGTCGGTACCTCAGAATAGAGTCTCCTCCGACTGCTTGTTGCTCAGTCAGGATAACAGCTGTCAATACAAGCTCACTTTGCCTGCACGCTAGAAGAGAGTGGCACGGGCAGAAGATTGAGCGAGAAGTGCGACTGCGTAATCGGTGAATAGTCGGCAAAGAATTCCTGATCAAACAGGCGAGATCAGGGCGGGTACGTGTGCACTGGCAATGTCGGCACTCGCCTGAACTTCCTTGACAACTTCATATTCGTCTGCTTCGGCCAAGCGCTCGATTGCAGACTTCTTGAGGACGTTGGTAAAGTCTGGACAGGCAGAGGCGAATCAGCAGACAGTCGCGTATCTCGCGGCGGGCCAACGAACAGAGCCAATAGCCTGCATAGCGCGGGTGTGCAAGCTCTGCTTCGAGAGCTGCTAAACTGGTTGCTGACGGTCTGAGAAAGCATATGCACTGCAAATGGGGCATCCTCTGTGAACGCCGCATGAGCCTGATGGCGAACATGGCAAGAGCAGTCTGTGCCACCTCGCGAGTGATATTGTCGAGCCTGTCGGTCAGGTAGACCTCGTGCGAGAGCAGATGAGAAGTTGTCGATGCAAGCGAGATGATGGGAGTCTGTCCTCGAGCTGCAGTCTCAGCACTGTGCTTGCAGTGCGCGGCAAGCCAGACGAAACCGTTTCTGTGTCGAGCAAGAGCACCTTGACGCCCGGCGCTTGGGCGAGCATCTTCGTCACATAGGTCTGAACCGCTTTGAGGACGTCCATGGTGGCCGTCTGCCCGGCCCAGCGAGCAAAGAGAGATCGGGCTGAGGCACGACAGGCGCCGAGTTCGTCGCGACGTGCAAGCTTGCAAGCTTGCCATCGCCGTCATCGTCCATGATCTTGCCGTGACTGCGCAGAGGAGGCATCTATCTCCAAAGGACTTACACGCATGATGCTGGCGCTACGCAACTCCGAGCAGCTGCCTCAGAAACGGCCTGCAATCGTCTAGCCGACCCATTCCTCGCTCTCCCAAGCAAGCCATCCACCAGACGAGGGCGACAAGAGTGCCCCCTTGCAGCCGCGAATCATCCTCATGACATACACAATGCAAGCAACTACGAACGGTGAGGTTGCGAGCAGCACACACCGAAACAGCGCCTCGACCGCGCCACAAGTAGACATCGCCAAACATCGGGTCTCGCCAGCTAGCCTACTCACCGACAAGGATCAAGCTCTGCTCGGTATATGGCTAGCCAACCATGCGCTCGTCAGATGCCGTGCTGTCGACATACTCAAACGGATGCGACACGAGACCGTTCAAGGCACGTCGCGTGGATGCGCACATCTGCTCAGATTGATCGTGACTGGCCTGGACAGAACAAGACTGCTGGTTCCTCGGTCGCTATCCCACCAAGCGAGTCGAGATTGTCGGCCTCCTCGTCAGCGCAATCGTCGACACGACACCGCGCAAGGACAACCCAAGCGTCGATCGACTGAGCATGGTCAGATACGCTGGCATGTCGCTCTTCTTTTCTTGCCCTGCCTCACTGACCCCGCTTCATCATTGACAGTCGACGACGGTACTGCTGTGCTAGAGTGCGTCTGCTGGTGCAGCGAGCTCGCACTCTCGCTGGCCCGAAAGGGCTTGCGAGGCAAGATGCGAATATCACGTGATCTAGACGAGCAGCTCTGCCAAGAGGCCAGAGAAGGCGAGATGCAGCCCAGCGAAGCATTCAAGGTCGGCACTCTGGTGCGTATACAAGGGATGCTAGAGCTCTTCCGTCAGAGGCGACAGATCAATGTCAGACTCATTGGCATGCGCCTGCACATCACCGCCTTTGCCACGCTGATGCGCTTCCGCAGAGGCGCTCGTCAGCCCATCAGCCGAGCCACGACACATCATCGAATGCGCACGACTCAAAATCGAAGTATATGCGAAGCCGGTCGATATAGGTAACACCGTCTGGGAATCCCGACGGCGGCAAGGTATAGAGCGAACGGCAAGAGAGCTCCAAGAACGACAAACAAGATCTCAATCGGCGCTTGACATCAGCATATCGCAATCGCAAGTGTCCGAGACCAGCTCAGCCAGTGAGGGCGATAGCCCGTCTGGCCTTAAGGTAAGCTGCTCGAATGCTAGGCTACTTTCGGCTGAGTTCGGTGCAGGATCCTGCGCGGCTCACTCGTAGGCAGATCGAGCCCAACAGATTCAGAGGCTACATCGAAGAATTCATCGCGACGCGTCTTGAAGAGCCTGCCTTCTCGATTGCTCGCTTGCGGGACGATGACAAGATTAGAGCTTTCGCAGCCCGTCTTGCCCGTGCCAATCATCGCGCCAACACGCTCACGCCGCTTTCCGTACTCAAATCACGCAATGATTACGTACCGATTCCCAAAACGACCAGTGTCACCAAACTCAAATCAACAGATCCGACCCGTCTGATCACCGAAGCCGTGCTGGCGCTCTTCAAGGAAGGGTCCGTTGTCCTCGCAGATCGCTCGAGCGACGCAGCTACAAATCGGGCTGTGCTGGCCATGCAGAAGGCAAACCCTAAGCTCACGGTCGACGAAATCTACGAGCCTGTCAATGTCGATACACTCGGTCAAGCGATAGGCCTCGTCTTACGCAGATCAGGCTTGCAAGCATTGTCATGCGACGAAATCAGTCAGCAAGTCCGTGCCTGGAATCCAAAATGGCAACGTGTCTCGACGGGCAGCATCGACTCGGTACTCAACGAGCTGTGTGATCTGCGTCGCGTCTCGGTCGCTAGCAACGATGGCGCAAGACTTTACCTGCACGCGGGATCAGATCTCTCTGCAATAGCCTAATGCTGTCGTCATGTTGCTTCGCAAGCATGTAAGAAGGAAGCTGTTGTCGTACTCGTCAGGAATGTAATGGCGTCCGCTTGCGTCAGATCGCCTAGAGCGATTTGATCAGATCTATCGAGCTGTGCACCCACGCTATCGACGGCAAGCTGCGTCTGCATCAAGCGAGACAGCATATCGCTGACACAGGCCCGATGCTTCGCATTCGTGGCCGTATCCTTGTAAAGCGCAGCAACACGGCGTGTGATCGCCGGCAGACTGATCGTGATGAGCTGCAGCAATTCGGCAGCTTCCATTGGGTCAGGCTCAATGGCAGTTGCATAGACCCGCAGAAGATGCTCGACACGGTCTTTGCAGCGCAAGTAATCGTCGAACACCTGTCCACCCGTTGACCAATCCGCAATGCTTCGCTCTCGCATCGGTGTCAGCATGTCGACAAGGAGCTCGATATCATCACGAATGATCGCTTCTGGCGCCAGGTCTGACACAGCCAAACGGTGCGCATCGTTGAAAGAACCGGCGTCAAAGTACAGCTGATAAGCGTCCCAGATGCGATTTTCATGTTCAGCCAGGCGTGCCTGTATGTATGTGAGTCTCGCTGCACATCATCATTAGTAGGTGCAACATACCTCTGCCTCTGCGATCCAGTACGATGGCACAGAGATGGTATTCTCGAGAAAGTCGCGCATCTCGTCAGTTAGGTCAGCGGCATTGCGCGCCAGGAGTTCCTTAAGCGCTTTGGCGCGTCTGTGAGTGACCTCATGAGCAAGATGGCATCGTCCGGAGTACAGAACCTACCCCGATTCTTCGGACAAGTGAAGCAGCACGAAGGCCGCCCATTGCCAGAGACCGATCAGTTCTAGCTGGCTGGCATAGTCCGAGCACAGGCTGTCGGCTCTAGCGCTGCCATGTCTGTTGCCTGTCCCTTCAGGGGATGGTTCCGGTACGTCGTCAAAATCTCGTTTCTTCAATGCCGTTGCCAGCAGGGTATAAAGATGCCAGGACAGTCGATAATCTGCTGCTGATGGTGTAATGCCCTGAGGCAATAAGACGGATTCGAGGTCTTGCACCGGCGAGACATAGAGCTGGATCAAGCGGAACAGCATGTCTGCCTGCGGTGCGACCTGAATGTCTGATTCGCGACCAGGCTCACATTCGGCGAACCAAGGAACTGGCGGCTGAACGCCTGGAACATCTTTGGAAGCTGCGTGATACCGCTGTAGGACAGAAGCGATCGCATCATGTTGCGGTCCATACCAGAGATGGAGGCCAAAGGCGCGCTTCCAGTCGAGGCCCCGTGACACAGAGATGGTGGCACTGGCATCAGCAGGATCCTTGCTGCCAGAACCTCGAGAGATGCCAGGATTTGCACTGAGGATCTCGAAGATCCTCCTGTACTCATCGTTGATCTGTGCGTCGGTTCTGCTCTCGCGCCACTTGACGAGCTGCTGATGAAGGTCACGCCTGAAGGAGTCATCACCGCCAGATTGAGCGATCAGTGAGGCCAAACGTAAATCCATGTGGTCTAGTGCCATTTCGCATGCTCTTGCGATCTGATAGCCTGATAGCAGCGTTGTGATCTGCTTGACACCTTGCTGCTTGCGCAGGTCACTTTCGGTCGCGCTGGCTACAGCCCGCTGGAGCCATGCAGAAAGTGCGTATCGTCGTCTCAAAGCGAGAACATTGGCCGCAATCTCAGTGCTGGGCTCGGCTTCCTTTGGCAGCTCGATCTCGTCGAAGAGCGCTTGGCCCAGCGTCCATAAAGTATATTCATCTGGATTCCTGATCGCATTCTCGTCTGTTGCCAAGTCTCTGAATCTGAAAGTGGCCAGTGTTTGCACACGAGGCACGTCACTTTCGTCCGTCATCAGTATGTTCGAATGCCTCAGCTGCACGGCCAATACAGTAAGCGATGCCTGTCTCTCCTCGTCCTACGAGCTACAATCAGCGGCAGTACGGCGGCACACGCGATGGCTCTCACATCGTCTCGACTCAATAGCTTCGGCGCGACGATCTTGACCGTGTGATCGGGCAGACGATCTTGGTTCGCATGCATGCAGGGAATTAGCAGTCGCCCGTCAGCCGTCCAGCCGGCGCGGAATGAGCGAGCCAGTGATAGAGATGGATCAGAGAAGAGCTGCTGGAGTTGAGACGCGATCGGATTGGTCAGCTTGCGTAGCTTCAATACAGGCTCGTCAGAACCGGCTTTGACAGCGAGCGCAGGTATCTGTGCCTGTCGCGCAAACAAGTGTTGCATTTAGTGACAACGCCTTACGCGCCCTCTGCCACTGACCGGCTTGATGCGAGTGGCTTCTGGCCCAGGCTGTACTTGGGAAAAGCGGTCGGATGCTCTGGATTGTTTGATAGATGGCGGAGGCCCAGAGAACAAGGAGTTCCGCATCAACGATGCTCGCTGGCTCTGTGCTCCTGCGACTTTCGCCCACGGAGAAGCGAAAGACTTTGGAGGCGGCAGCGAGACGCGACGATAGTCCGCTACTTCTGCCATCGATCCCGCGCTGTCGTCGTCGTCGTCTTGCGTGTGTTGCACTGTTCGACGACGAGGTGTATGCTCGTTGCCGCTCTCATCCTGATCCATTGCAAGCGAAGCGATTGGGACTACGTCCTGATAGACCGTGGGGTCTTCTTGTGAGCCTTTAGAATCATCTGATGATGCAGCCGAACGACTCGAAGTAGCTGAGATACTTGTCCCATCGGAAAGCGCAGAGTCCGTCTCGCCATCTTCAGAGCCGCTCGCTTCGTCATCCTCTGATTCTGGCGCGCCATATATGGAGAAGTGCTCGACGACGAAGATCCATGCACCGTCTTCGACTTGATAGTCAACGAAAGCAGAATCTTTCGTCGCTTTGAGAGAGTTGATATACTTCTTCAGCTTAGGGTTAGATAGGTCCTTGATGGGCTGTCGCGTTGCTTTGTCCTTCGGCCAGCAGCCGTAGAGCGTAATCTCGGCTCTCGTGTTAAGGCCTTCTCCCACTTGTGGCTTGTTCTCGCGAAACTCGCCACCGTAGACATCACATGTCTTTGGCTCGAGACGCACGACGCCATCGGCTATGTCGGTGAGCCGCGAAAGTGTCGTCAGATCGACCGGCTCGAGATAGCTGAGCTTGCCAAGCCCTTCCCGGCCGACGACAAAGTCCTGGACAGCGTGTAACTCCTCGCTGGGTAGCTTGTCGAGAGTCTTTATATCTGGAATGGTATAGTAGTCTCCGTGCTTGAGCTTACGCGCCGGTGTGGAGGGAGTTGAGTCGCCGTGAGCGGGCGACGAGCTGAAAAGCGTGCTGGGATGCTGTGCCCGGCTCGGTCGAGAAGGGGTTGCATCGCCCAGATGTCGTGACTCTTCTTCTTGCCTTGCCTGAGCTTCTGCTAGATCTGGATCCAACATTGGCCTGCTGCCTGTGCTAGGGAGAGATCGGTTGGATTTTGGAGGACCAGCAGAAGGGGTATCGTGACTGCGACTGCGGTCGGCAAGGAAGCTCTCGCTGCTTCTATCGATTGTAAGCTTCTTGATGCTGGGCCTCGGCGCAAAGGCACTGGGGCTCATCGAGCCAGCAGCAGGATTGAGCGACGACAGCAGGCTGAACGGAGAGTTGCGGCCATTCATGGGAGATGCAGAAGCACTCGAAAGTCCAGCGTTGAAGGACGCGCTTCGACCAAGGGAGCCTATGACGGGGCTCGGTGACGCAAAGCCGCGCAACTTAGTGATCTTTGCAGTCGATCTAGGCGTGCTGCTCTTCATAGACAAAGCGGGTTTGATCTTGTCGCTAGCAAACAAGGGCGTCGCTTGCGGCCCTGCAGGCTGCGAATTCTGCGGATTCGCAAACAGCGGATTGTTGCCATATGGATTCTGGTCCACAGAAGCCTGCAGATTTTGCTGCTGTTGCTGTTGTTGGTTCGTCTGACCAAGCGTATTCTGTCCGCCGAACAAGCTAGACCCACCGAATGAATTGCCCAGGCCCGGGTTCTGGTTCTGTGCAGCCCCGAAGAGAGAGCCGCCGAAACCTGTATTCTGAGGCTGAGCACCAAAGAGACCGCCAGAAGGCGCTGCAGGCTTCGTGCCAAAGAGACCTCCTCCGAGCGTACTATTGTTAGTGTTGTTCTGCTGTTGTTGCTGCTGTTGTCCAAACCCTCCAAAGGCGCTTGTCCCCGTGCCGCCGAAGAGTGACGGGGTCTGATTGTTCTGCTGCTGCTGAGCAGGCTGGCCAAAGAGACCGGTAGATTGCTGCTGGTTCTGTTGGCCTGTGCCAAGACCGGTAGAGGGCGTGCCGAAGCTGAATTTGGGCGCTTCGGGCTGACTCTGTGCGGGCGTACCGAAGCCTCCGAAAGCAGGCTTAGCCGCATTGTTATCTGTCACATGATCATCAGCAACGGTCTGGAATTTCAGAGAAAATGCATGACTGACTCGCGCCGAAGCTGAAGCCTGTGCTAGGCGTCGCGGCAGCTCCGAAGCCTGTCGCGGGCTGCTGGTTGTTGTTTTGACCGAACACAGATCCGAAGCCACCGGTCATGTTGCTCTGGCCGAGCGTGTTAGACGGCGTGCTACCGAATGAGAATGACTTGGGCTGATTGTTCTGTTGACCAAACGCTGAGGTATTATTGTTGTTCGCGCCAAAGAGGCTTGAGCCAAAGCCAGTGGTCGTGCCGCCCGGTTGACTTGTGGCTGGCTGACCGAAAAGGCCGGTGCTGGCTGTGTTTTGCGCGGATTGACCGAAAGCCGAAGTAGTCGACGCAGGATTGCCGAATAAGCTCGTTTGCTGCTGCTGGGCAGGCTGACCGAACGGATTAGTGGCAGGCGTCTGCTGCTGCTGTCCGAACAGACCACCTCCCCCGCCGAAAGGATTCGAGGCAGGCTGCTGCTGTTGCTGCTGAGCTGGCTGACCAAAGAGAGAGGGCGTTGCACCAAATGCGCCTGTGGATGGTGCGCCAAAGGCTCCAGCACTGCCAAAGCCGCCTGTCGTTGTCGCGACTTTGCGGTTCTGCTCATAATCTTGAAGTCGCAATTCCTGAACGTATTTTACTTTCAGCCAGTATGTAAAAGCAGGAAGAAGGTCGAACCTCTGGCGAATAGTTCTTGTACTGCGGCATAGCGACGATACTCTGATAGACGCTCGTCAGATTACTGCCTGGCGCGTCCTTCTCGCTGAATGTCGAGTATGGCGGGTTTGCCGTGCCGGTAGTGATAGTTGGCCCTTGTGCTTGCGCACCGAAAGCACCTGTGCTCGCGCCAGTATTGCCAAAGAGAGAAGTCTGCGCAGGCTGCTGCTGCTGCTGTCCGAAAGGCGTAGAGCCGAAGCCGGTCGTGTTGGCAGGACGGCCGAAGGCATTGGAAGCGCCCAGACCGGTATTGTTAGGCGTGCCGAACGCGTTGGTCTGATTGGTATTTGCGCCAAAACTGAACGAGGGGGCTGCAGGTGTTGCTGCGGCCGTGCCGAAGGCATTGGTCTGAGCTGGCTGGCCGAATGCCGAGGGCGCGGGTGTTCCAAAGGCAGGCGCAGAGCTCGCACCCGCACCGAATCCGCCTATGAATTCATTATCAGACCAAGTCAGTCACGTCAAGACTCATCAGAGACTGAATCGCACCGAATGTAGGAGCTGCTGGCGCTGCCGGCTGGCCAAAAGCAGACGTGCTGGCTTGTTGAGGCTGGCCAAATGCTGCAAGAGCGCGAGCAAGATGAGGAGAATCAGTACGCGCTCACACTCAGGGCACGAGGTCCATCGGACACAAGTCGACCTACCTGACCCAAAGGTAGACGGCGTGGACTGCTGCTGGGGCTGACCGAAGAGATTAAGGCCTGGCGTTTGCTGCTGCTGCTGCTGTTGCTGCTGGCCCGATTGATTTTGCTGGCCAAAAGAGCCGAATCCTCCTGAGCCCCAGCTCATTGTGCCGCTCCAGCGAACGCGGACGGAAGCAGCAGCGAGCGAGCGAAGAGGAGACTGGGCAGCAGAAGCGAAGAGAGAGGCGGCGAGCTGCCTTACAGCGTGCAGCTGCTCGCGAGTGACCCCGAGCACGCTTGAATTGACTTAGACACGACCAAAATTTGTCATCAGCAGATTTGCCAAATTGCTTGCCGTCGATGGAGCTCGAGACTGCGTACATCGCCCCGCCGACGCAGGCAGCATATGTGCTATGTGCGCACAGTCACACTCGAGGCTATGGCTAACCGTGCTGATCACGCTCTACAGGCGCCGACTGTGGCACGGCGATTGAGCCCAATAATTCTGGTCTCTGCGTGAACTGCCTCCGCAACACCGTCGACATCACAGACGCCATCCCCAAGCAGGCCAACATCAACTACTGCCGTAACTGTGAACGCTATCTCTCCCCGCCACAGACTTGGGTCATCGCCGAGCTCGAATCAAGAGAGCTCCTTGCCATCTGCCTGAGAAAACTCAGAGGACTCAAGACCGTCAGGCTCATCGACGCTGGCTTCATATGGACCGAGTCTCACTCGAAGCGACTGCGCGTCAAGCTCACCGTTCAGAAGGAAGTCCTCGCCTCGACCGTGCTGCAACAGATCTTTGAAGTCGAGTACATCGTCCAGTACGGCCAATGTCCAGACTGTACCCAGCTCGCAGCCAAGCAACACTGGAAGGCAGTCGTACAGGCAAGACAAAAAGTCGACCACAAGAAGACGTTTCTTTTTCTCGAGCAGCTCATCCTTAAACACGGCGCCGACAAGGATACCGTGTCGGTCAAAGAAGTCAGAGATGGCCTCGATTTCTTCTATGCTAGCAAACAGGCTGCCGCCAAGATGGTCGAGTTCCTGCAAGCTGTCGCGCCGGTCAAGTGAGCCCATCCTCTAGTCTATTCGAGGTTCAGGACTGACACACAGACAGGATGAAGCAGTCCGAGCAGCTCATCTCGCAAGACACGCAGAATTCAACTTCAAATTACAAGACGACCTTTTCGGTCGAGATCTTGCCGATATGTAAGGACGATCTCGTCTGTCTGCCCCTCAAAGTAGCCCGATCGCTGTCCAACATTGGCCAGATCGTCGTCTGTACGCGCGTTGGCAATTCGATCCATCTCATCGATCCCGTCACACTCCATACAGCCGATATCACCGCGCCTGTCTACTTCAGGGCACCCTTCCCACCTCTAGCGCCCTTATCGGGCGCTGTCGAATTCGTCGTACTCGATATCGAGCCAACGCAACATCCGCCAAAAGTGGCCGGCAAAGGCAGATTCATGCTCGCAGACGCACAGGTGACCCCGATATCAGGCACAATGGAGTCTGACACCATCTATCACACGAGAACGCATCTGGGCGCAGTGCTCAAGGCGGGCGATACAGTCATGGGTTACCAGCTCCACTCGGCCAACTTCAATAACACTGCCTGGGATAGCCTCAAGACTGACCGCATACCTGAAGTCATCCTCGTCAGAAAGACCTATCCCAACCGCGCAAAGAAGAGCAAAGGCCGCAAGTGGCGGTTACGATCGATGGCCAAGGAGGCCGGCGAGGATGGCATCGGACTCGGACGAGAGCGCGCTGTCAAAGCAGGGCGTATGCCCGGTCATGCAGAGCAGGCACGGGCTGAAGCAGATTACGAAGCCTTTCTGCGCGATATCGAAGAAGACGAGGAGATGCGCCAAGGTGTCAATCTATACAAGAAGCCTAAGCCACAGGCTGCGGTCGATACAATGGACGTCGAGAGTGTGGCAGATACGGAAGCGGATGACGACTTTCCTCGCATCGACATGGACGAGCTTCTGGACGATATGGACGGCCTGCAGCTCACAGAGGACGATGCAGGCGAGGAGATCTCGCCCGAGAACTAGATCGCATTGCGTGCTTGTTGTATGCAGTTCAGCAAAATGCAGTACTATGAACAACAACATCAACTTTTACCGAGCGATAGTGCTGATATGTCAGGCGGATGATGCGCAGAATTGGCAGACTGAGTCGAAACAGACACGACAGGCGAGGTCACCTCGCAAATTGGAGAGGGTGGCGCCCATAGTGACTGACTTCGATACATTCGCAATCGACTATCGCCATTGGTAGTCGGACTACTTTTTGGGATCTGAGAGACCGCGCTCGATAGATCCAAGCGAGGCGCAAGCACTTCACGACGTATGCTGTCTGTACGTGTTGCTCTTCGCGCATGCAAAGGCCGACCGGAGGAATTGCTGGGCACGCACAGCTTATCCGTGTTATTCGATTGGTCGGTTTCGAAAGATGAGGCCGACTTGAGTGAGATCAGGGAGCGTGGCCGTGGCCGCTGTGTGCGGGCATCTGCATATACGTGCAGATTGGAAGGCTGAGGCTCGGCCAAAGCCGGCAAGGAGGTCAACAGACTGGCCGCCTCGGAATTTGTGCGTGATCTGCCCGAGATTAGCTCACCAGTATCCGGCGAATTTGATACGAGATTGAGCGACGTGACACTGTTGAGTCTCGCGCGACCCCAATCCCACCAAGTGGAAGGCTGTTGATTTGACTCTTGACTGCCCTCGCCAAGGTCCGATCGACGCGGGAATGGCGAGGTAGACCTGAACGAGTGGCTATTGTCCGAGGACGTGCCTTGCGACATCATGTTGCGCCACGAGTCAAAGCTAGCACGAGCAACATGTTTCGGGGGAGAAGCTGACGAATCAAGCGTGTTCGTTGTCATCCATCGATTCAGTGCCACGCTGCGAGCTTGCTGCCCCAGTAGCTCCTGACTCGATGCACTCATCGGGTGCGGACGATCGCGCTTTTGCAATTTATTCGCTCGCGTGTCGAGCTGCAATCTTGGCCTGATCGCCATTGTGAGGTCAGACAAGCGTTCGCGAGCCGCGCCGTCTACGCCATAGGACGATCGAGCCCGTAGTGGCAATCTGTCCGGAGGAGGCATCTCCGAGAAGGGACTTGAGTCGTGCGACGAATGACGACTGAATGAGCCCGAAGGGCGTGAGAGTGAAGCATCGTCATCGTCGAGTGAAAGACGAATGCTATCTGCAATTGTAGCCGAGCTTCGATGCGCCACTTGTGACCGGCTAAGGTCTCTTTGAGACAGCTGATCGGCGGGCGTAATTCTGTGCTGAGCAGGTTCCCTCGCAGCTTGCGAGGCAAAGGGATCTAGTCGCACGTAAGACAGCGCGGTCCTGAAAGTAGCCAGGGCCCATCTGAGAACGGGGTACGTCAGACGAGCTACATGTCAGCGTGAGTAGTACTGACTCGAGCTGAGGATCTAGATCGGAAGTGATTCCATAGGTGCGCGCGTAGAAGACCAGAGACACGAGCTCCCGGAGCCCAGCGCGACAGATGACGACGCAAAGCATTGCGATGACCTGATCGGTCTCAGGCATATCGCCATCGTGTGTTGTCTGATACGCAGCGAAAGTTTCCGAGACCACCCTTGAGATGATACTGATGCAGTCCAGAGGCGTACGTGCAGCCAAAATCGCGCCCAGCCGGTTACCTCGTGAAGCAGCGATAAGTGACTTGAACATCGACAGAGCCTCTGAGCTGAACGCAGCAGTGCTCATTGGGTCGAAGGTTGATTCCTTGCGCTGCAAACCTCGCAGTGTAAACACTGGCTTATCTAAATCGACTGCGTTTGCCGCGGCCGTTGCGCCAAAGTCGGTCGGCTGCAGCCCTTGGTCACGGTACGCCGACATAATGCGATACGCCGAGCTGTTATCGTTGCGATGCTGTATCAGCACTGAAGACGTATATGCTTTGGAATTGAGGAAAGCGAACGTCACGCTAGGTCCCGCGTCAGCTTCAATCTGGAAGAGTCGATTGCCGCTCACTTCTCGACGATCTGCAGTAGGCGAGGGCCCTCGACGGCCAGAACAGCTGGACCGATACCGCTGAGATCTTGCTGCAAAGCAAAGCATAAAGTGGACCAGGCTTTACCAATAACTTGCTCTCGGATCAACAGGGCTGATGGCGGTTGAGCCGTCGAGCGATAACTGGGGCTTCGATCAACGATTACCGAATAGACGAGCCGATCAATTGATGCAATTGCTTCATGAAAATGCGACTCGAGCGAGCCAATCTGAGCTGGCGGTAGCAAGAGGAATTGCAGATCGATGAGCACGTCGCGCGTGACGGGCACGCATTGAAGCGCTAGATTGTCTGAGGCGAAGGGAAAGCCAGAGGTTGCGGATAGAATGCTGCTTGCTCTGCGACTTTGGCCATACGAGGTTGGCTCCGTCGACGATCGTGGCGCGTCTTCTGAGATCGCTTGACCCCAATGAGGTTCTGAATCGGCCTGCATCTCATCTGGAGTGCCCCACCACTCGACGACTGGTCCAGTGACGCAGCAGACGCGGACTCGCTCTAGACCAGATCTTTGCTGGACGGCAGTTGACAGCAACGAGCCTGTCGAGAGTCTCTTGTCGTCCTTGCGAGCAGATACCTTCTTTAGCCATTTCGGCGCTCGGAGCTTCGATTTGTCCTTCCTTTGAGTCTCTACATTCTCCTCCTCGGCGACAGATAGCAACGAGCCCATGAGCGACGCTGTCGAATTGAGCCGTGATCGTCTGTACACCATGCCCTCGGCGATAACATGAATCTGTCGGCTCGGCACGGCCTGGGTCTCGTGTGGCAAGCTGATGTCGCCAATCTGCAGGGAACTTGAGCGGGGCAAAATGCGCGAAACGGGCGGCCGTAACGAGTCTGCAATCAGTTTTGCGTAGCTTCGCGACTTGCGAAGCTTAGGCTCTGGTGGACTGCCATCTAGCTCTGCAGCAGTTTCAGAAGGGCCTGTCGGGCCGTCATTGTCGCTATGCACACTGGCAGTGAAAGACGGCGCAAGGGGACTGCATCCCGTCAGATGATCATCATGCTGCAAGTTGATAACCGTAGAGCCATCCCGGGTCTCGAGAACCGCCTTGACAGATTGTTGATCCGGCACAGCGTTGATGTAATGGTCCGGCGCTATCGCTTGTGGACAGAAGGCATGCATTGCGACCCACCGTTCCCAGTCTTCAGGCGCACCCGGCTCGCCGACATACGCTGGATCGATCCGTGCGATTAGACCGAGCGGTAAGAACGATCTTGAGGGAACGAGAATAAGTTTAGCAGCTTGCCAAGCTGCTCGGATATGTGCAGACTGAGATGTTGACATGACGATGTATAGAGGATTATAGTCAGGATCGTCATCGACGACGGAAGCAGCGTACGAACGCTGATCGGACTGCTCGTGCGAGATGCGAGGAAACGCAGGCGCATTTTCGCCACTCTCCGTCGAGGCAGGGATATGTGCAGGTGTTGAATGCCGTGGCCGAGGCTTTTCCTGCGCGAGCGTCTCAACTTTGAAGCGCTCAGCCTCAGACATGTCCAGATGATTCAGCTCGAGGGCATCGCCCTCGACTTGTAAGTCTTTCGGCGGTGGTTCGGGCGGCGATGTAGATGCATCGTCAAGGTTGCGCGGTAAAGAATCTTCGGTCTGCGCGCTGAATTGTGCATTCACGGCTACTGCCGAGGTCGTCATTGCGTGTGAGGCTTCAAGCAGAGTATGACCGCGCGTATCCATGGGTGAGATCGCTACTGCTGAGACATCGCAGTCCTTCATGCTCAGAACCTGCGTGGTGAACGGATCAACAAAGTATGGTCGAATCGGACTGACGAGGGCATGCTTTATGGGCATTGCGACCGGCAAGACTTCACTGTTAACGCTGTTAACGCGACCTGCTCGGGCAGACATCAGCTCACTTACTAATCACCGACGTATTGCGTACCTTCCGATGATACACCCGCGGCTGCAGGCGCTGACAAGCTCCTGTCTGTACGAAAGACCGGCTCGGGCATACTGGACGCTAGGGGCGCCTCGTCCACACTGACAACCTGCAACGCTGCCTCATCGTAGATGGGTGATGCTGTCGATGTCATGCGATCATGGCACTGCACGATTGGTACATCGATGACTTCTGTCGTCGTCGCCGCCTTGACGTATGCAGGGCATTCGGCGCTCGTCTCAAGCGTGGTCTCGTCCGTGCTGCGTGACAATGAAGATGATAGTCCGCCGGGTGAGAAGTGCTGAGAGAGCGTAGGACTGGCCAGCGCAGATGCTGCAATCATCGAAGCGAGCGAAGGCGAAGCCGGCAGTCGAGGCAACTCGTCAAGCGACGGGATCGTTAAGCTCACGTCGGGACGGAAGCTCTCGCTCGTCCTTGGCCCACGCACTCGCACAGCCTCTCCTTCCATGATGTGCAGAGCTACCGCCTACTTTGGGGCAGTTGCGACCTCATAGCAGCTCTTGAAGCTTGAAGTACGGCTATTTGTGCTTGGCGGTAGTCTTCGCGACGCGTCCGGTCACACCAGTCACATGTCACATGTCAACATTGTCAACTTGCATGCATCCACAGCTTCGACTTCACCAATCATCATCATCCGGCGTGTTATCCTTCAACTTGTTCGCCGGTGCCTCATCCTCGCTTCCCTCGTCATCTTTCGCCATCTTGAATATACGCTCAAGTTGCTGTTCTGATTTCTGCGAGTCGGTTAGCGTTGGACCCTGCGCGATCTTGTTCCTCGTTGAAATTTGTGCTTGCGTAGGCGGCGCATTGGATAAGTCTGTCATGTCGACAGGCCTCAAGTCGAAGCGCGGCAGCTCTGGTGCTTCGCCGGCAAGCCATTGTGCGGACGTGCATGCAGGTGAGTGTGTATCGACTGTAGGGATGTAGATGTCATCTTGGAAGTACTCGAGCTATGAGCCGATCAGTAGAGATCCTGACTGTGGATCTGGCAGCTTACCCGTGCGCGTGGAACGGTGAAAGTGACACGCTCGACAGTCTTGCTTGTCAGACGCAAAGCAATGGCAATTTCAGCCCTTCTGACATCGACCGAAACTTTTGGTAAGAAAGCGATGCCCAGGGTTGGTGAGCTGCTTGGGAAAGGTGATAAGCGGGTGATGCTCGGCTTTGACAGATCTACGTCGAATGCGAGCAATGTTTGCTCGCCTTTTGCGTATGCGAACAGAATAGAGCTGTCTCGATCGCAATGGAGGAACAAGGGTGCGGGCGAGACTTCAAGTGACAGACGCGCAACAGTCTTGATCTCATGATCAAGTATGCGGTGGACAGAGATCTCGCGACTCGCCGAGCGCGAAAAGCCAGCTGTGGCGAGTGTATCGTCATCGAGGAAGACCATCCGCGTGCTCCGTACACTGTCGTGCGATGGCCCGACTGCCTTGTGGTCTGGCTGACGCGGGTCGAGCACCTGCAGCGTCTTGTCCTTGAACGCCAGCGCTATCTTGCTCCCGCTTGAATTCCAGACTGTTGAATGGACAGGCCCACGCAAGGGGATACTGATGGAAACTGAGCGAGTTGCAAGGTCCCATACTCGAGCATTGTAGGCGCCACGGTCCTCGGAGACTGTCAGCAGTACGTGAGAAGCGACTGGGTTGGGATGCAAGCCGACGATCTTATCCATGCCGTCTTCCAGAGCAAATTCGGCTATTGTGATGTCTGCCTCGTTGTGCTCGTCTGGAATGTGATAGCTGTGGACCTTGCCGTCCTCACAAGCAACGAAAACGCGATGAGCGTCGAAAGGGTCAAACGAAAAGCCTTGTACAGTCGAGCCAGCGACGATCGCCGGGATGTGTGTCGGAAGGCGACCTGTCCGGCTCAGAGCGTGCACCGCCAGCTTGCCGCCTACGCCGGGCAGAGGGAACGCGAAGAAGTCACGATTGCTCTGTTATGGCTGCTCAGTGCGCGTGCCAGACGTGTTCAGATGACGCACCTGCAGCAATGGCACCTCTGGGCTTGTAGTCAAGTGCACGCCGGCAAGGCCTTCGTATGCGGCCAGCAGAGGAGCCTTGCCAGATAAATACGCCCTCGACCAGCGTTGAGCTGATTTGGGGTTCGTAAATGGCTTGGGCATTTGCTGTGCGGGCGCAGTCTCACGGACGGTCGCTGCATTGGCAATACCGGCACTTCGTGACGCCGGTGACGGCGAAGACCTTGCAATGCTCTCGCCAGCAGCAGGTGTCGCACTTGCCAGTACGGCTGCGGGGGCCATGCCTGGAGTAGCCGAGGCTTTCGTCAGGCTTGACACTGATGTGAACGTTGGTGCAGACGCATGTTTCGTGTCTTGCGCTTTTGCTGACGTGGGCGCTGGAGATTGTGAAGATGAATGCAAGGAGACTTGCGCGACCTGCGCATCCTTTCCTGATAGCCAGTCTGATGCATCCTGGGCAGACTCTTGGCTAGCTATCGCGGGGTATAGATCGGCATGGAAGTCAACATAGAGCCGTCTAGGTACGGTCATGCTGATGGGTATGATGACGTGATCTGTCGAGAGCAGAAGCAGTCTGCTGATCTCTGCCTTCATCAAGGCCAACGTGCTTGCAGAGGGCGGCACCAGACAAGCAGAGGCAAAAACCGCGGGCAGACTTGCAGACAGGCCTTCGCTGAGCGTAGAATTGGGCAGTATTTCTATCTGTCTCAACGTCATATCGCCTTTGCCGAGCAAGTAGACAATGTTGCGACTCGCGTCTACGTACGGGCAGAGAGCGCCCGTGCCGGAATCGACTGATTTCGTTGAGCTTGGCTTCTCGATCGAGAGGTTCAGATCATAGATTGAGATCTGTCTTTCTCTGAGTTTGGAGAAGCCAGTCGTGAGGAAGCGTTTGCCAGACAAGGCGATCAGACGACAAGGCTTGACGAGATCCTCGTGGCCTTTCAGACTATGCAATTCGGTAGTAATAGAAGCTCGAGGATCCCAGATCTTGAGCTGGCCGTCCTTGCCTAATATAGCTACAGTACGACCGTCTGATGACCATACTGCCGACCAGACACCTTTCGATTGCGCGTCCCAGCTCAAGCTTGCCCTTAGTGCATCGGTATCGTAGATGACAATCCTGTCGCCGTGTACGGCTAGTAGGAGACCACGCGAATGCGGATGAAAAGCCAAGCAAGTCGCTGATGTACTCTGCTGTTCCAATGATGTAGTCTTTGTGGGAGCAAAGGGCTCCGTGATTCGGTCTGGCAATTGCAAGAGCGATACTGATCCGTTTGGTGAACTGACCGCGAGCGTGTTGTCGAACAGTGAGCAAGCTAACGCTACGGCGTCATGAGAAAGATGTAGCGTGGGTGCAGCATGACCATACTTGCGAGCTGCTTCGGCCTCATAGCCAAGCGCGATCAGCGTTCTCGGCGAACTGCCTCGAGCGATGACATAATGCCGTGAAGCGACGATGGACTCCACTTCACCCGCCTGAGCCGAGGCCGGTAGCTCACTATACCATGCATCCTTCTTTGCGGGCGTGGCAACTGCGTTCTTGAAAGGGGAGACGGCTGCAAAGCGCATCGACTGATTGGCCAGGAGGGTACGCTACGGCGCGCTCCTTGGGAGGAAGCAGAGTCGCCAGCCGTGTCCATGTCGTCTTGCAGCCCACTCAGACTCGGCTAGAAGAGCAGCATGCCATGCCCAACACATCAGCACCAGCCGGTGGTAGCCCGCGCTATGTTCCTGGCTTCTCTGCAGGTCGACCGTCCGATCTCAGCACGCCTCGCCACACGCTAAGTGTCAATGAGCGCTTGTCGGTCCAGAGAGCCGAAGATGCGCGGCGGGTGCGTCACTGAGCTCGGACATGACAGACTCTCGCTCACCGTACAAGAGCGCAGGTGAGGAATCAACGGGGTACACCGCTCGCCACGCAAAGGCAAAGCCAATGCTCACCCGGCGCAATCTATGCGGCCTACGAGGCACGCACGCAATTGGCGAGGGAAGCCATGCAAGCAACGAGAGGCTTGCCGTACTTTGCAGGGCCAGCTCCTCCGCCATCTTGGATCGAGAAGCCTGCGCCTGTGGTCGAAACGCTGTCTGCTCCTCCTCAGCTGTCCGATATAGCCCTGACGAGGGCCTCGCCGTCGTACAAGGAGCGACGACTGGTCTCGGGCAATCTTGAGCAGAGCGAGAGCACGCTCGTTGAGCACTGTGCTAGGCAGGTTGCGTACTGCCTGGACTGCGCCGATCTAGGCGATCTCCCTGCCCATGTCAGGCACGAGATCATGAAGGCAGCCGTCCTGTGGGCACCCCTCAGGCCTGACGGCTTCCTGTCGCTCTTCCATCACATCCTACCGAGCGAAGTCCCGAGTCGAAGGACACAGTGGACCTGCGAGCTCGTCGAGCTTGATGTTTCCTTCAGTCGGATCCATCTGAGCGTCCTAAAGAACTTGCTCTTCGACGATCAGGGCTCGCTTGCATTACCCTCTCTGCGAAGAGTAGGCTTGGCGGGCATGGAATACATCACTCTCAACGCTAGTCTGATCAATGTCCTCGCTCGTCTGCCTCTGAGAGCACTATCGATGGGAGCCCTCCGGAAATCTGACCATATTGACACTCATTTATTGCTCAAGAAACTGGCAGCATCGACGCCAGCGCTAGAGACACTCAACTTGAGTCATTCGTCCTGGCTTGAGCCCGAGCTCGCTTATAGCTCGTGGCTTGCCTGGCCTCGTTTGGATGAGCTCGTCCTTCGGGGTATGCTCGTCGAAGCGTCAGCATACGAGCGCGAAGTAGCCAGGCGCAGTGCCCAGCCTCGGCCTTGGATCACTGTTGTTTCTTAGGCGACGCTCGTATTGCTTTGGGAGATGACGGTCGTCTGAAGCCGAATTTGCGAATAGGGTAGACGACAAGCGAGACTCCAACAAAGGTCCAGAAGAGCTTGACATGCAAAGGCGCAGGTTCCGGAAACTCGCCCGTGGACCATTTGATGATGCAGAGTCCTTCGAGTATGACGGTGGCGAGCAGAAGCCAAGCGTGAGAGCCCATCCTCTTGACCTTCTTGCCGTGTGTTGTGTATTCATAGAACTCGCGAGCTGCCGGGAAGGCTGCCAGTGCAAAGAGCCCGAGCCGGATGATAACGAGGGGGTGCTCTGGCGCCAATCTGATGAGAAACTTCAGATAGAAGACATTGAGCTGTATCAAACGCATCAGTGAAAGCGATGACTTGGAGCAGAGTGGAGTGAGCACCTCGGCTACGAGAAAGAAGGCGAGCAGCAGCACGGTGGAAAGGTAGTTTCGGAATCGCTTGGTCGAGGCCCACTCGAAGCTCGTCCAGTCATACGGCGTAAAGACCTTCAGTCGGGACTTGATCCCCCTCGATCGCGTACTGAGGCCACGCCAGGAGAAGGGGGTGACTTTGAGGTAGGCGCACGTCTTCATGCCGATGTAGGTACCAACGAGGTTGCAGACGAGGACATCGAGGATGAGATGGTCCCACCAACACTCCTTGAAGTTCTCGAGCTGATGTTCCAGGCTGAGCTCGCAGAACTCAAAGACGACTGACAGGATCGTGCAGAGCCAGAAATCGCGCAGGATCATGCTCTTGAGGAACCAACCGAGCGTGTGTGCGAGGCAGAAGATGTCAATATTCGCCCAGACGTTACTTGGCGTGAAAGCACAGTTCTCTGCGTATGACTTCTCGGGCAGAGGCGCGCCTATCGAGCTATCAAACGTTCGCAGCAAGTCTCTTGCGTGCTCCTTGTCCTGAAAACAGGCGTAGCACAGCACGAGAGCATAGATGAGATTGCAGCCTAGCACGAGACGCCAGAGAGCCGGGTGGGGGCGTGCAAAGGGACCATCGCGGCAATTGACGACGACGAAGAGTAGAAAGGCCGCTGCTGCCGCCAGCAGACCCAGGTGACGTTTGAGCCTGTCCGGAAAGGAGAGATTCTCAGAGTTGTAGGCGACGAGGGCGGCAAAGGCAGCGGCGAGACCCCAGCTGGTGAGCGAGGCGGGTGAGTAGAACCAGCGCACGCTCGGGTCGTGAGACAGCTGGAAGGGAGCGAGTGCGGCTCCATGGGGACGATCGTCAATGTCCTCAGTCTCGTCGCCCGTCGTCGAGTCACGGCGCTTGAGGAAGACCCGACGCTCGCTGAGAGGCGTGGGCTGATCCTGCCCTTCGTCGCTGGTCATGCCATGAGTGTCTATGCTCGACAGCGAGGGGGGGTGGCAGCAGTCCGAGCGCCAAGCTGTCCTCGTTCTTTCCGTCGCGCAATGTCATCACGCGACCGAGCAAGCGACCGACGAAAAGCACCCTTGTCATGGAAGAGGCAGCCATGGAGAGCATGCTCACAGACGCTCGCCGTCATACCATCAACATGGGCGCAGGGCCGAGCTCACTGCCCACCCAGGTCCTTGCACAAGCCACACGAGGCTTGATAGACTACGCCAACACGGGCATTGGCATCACAGAGCTATCCCATCGTTCCTCGACCTTTATCGATCTCGTCAAAGAGAGCCAACATGACCTGAGAACCCTCTTCGGTCTGCCAGAGCGATACGAGATCTTGTACATGCAGGGCGGCGGATTGACTCAATTTTCGATGACTTTCCTCAACATGCTCGCCTGGTACAAGCACAGCCACCCGACAAGCGACGTACCGACAGTCGACTACATCGTCAGCGGTAGCTGGTCTGCCAAAGCAGCCGGTGAAGCGCGTCGACTCGGCGGCGCCAACATCAATATCGTCGTCGACGGCAGGACATTGTCACAGGATGGCAAGACTTTTGGCGCCCTGCCCGATCAGTCTCAATGGAACTACTCTGAGAAGCCGGCCTGGATCTACTACTGCGCCAACGAGACTGTCAACGGTGTAGAGATACCACCGCCGAGCTTACCTGACAGACTGAAGCAGACACCCCTCGTATCTGACATGTCGTCCAACATCCTCAGCAGATCCGTCGATTTCGAGTCCTACAACTTTGCCATCGTCTACGCTGGCGCTCAGAAGAATATAGGCCCTTCTGGTCTGACTGTCGGCTTTGTGCGCAAGGATATCCTCGTCGACGTAGACGAAGCGGCAAGACGGGGCGGACCCATCATACCTGCCATGATGGCCTACAAGAACCTGGCAGACAACGATAGCCTGTACAACACTCCTCCCATGTTCAGCATCTACGTTGCCGGCCTCGTCTTCAAGACGTTACTCGACCAGGGCGGCATACCCACATTAGAGAAAGTGAACAGGGAGAAAGCGCGGCGAGTCTACGAGGTACTTGACGACAGCAAGGGCTTCTACATACCACGAGTACAACAAAATATCAGGAGCAGGATGAACGTCGTCTTTGTGTGCAAGGGAGGGCCCGAAGTGGAAGCGAGATTGATATCTGCAGCCAGCCAGGCAGGCATCAAACAGATCAAAGGCCATCGATCGGTGGGTGGCGTACGAGCATCGCTCTACAATGCCATCACGCTCGAAGCTGTCGATCAGCTGGTGCGTGTCCTTCAGGACTTTCAAGCCGGAGAGCAACGATGATGATGAATGCATGGCCTGCCACGCGCGTGACTTGACGTGTCTTGTCAGCTGCGAGCCTTGGATGCGCATCTTTCTGAACAATCTGAGGCAGCAGACTCGTAGGAAGAGCTCAGTCTCGAGCAGCGACGGACATTCTTCGTTCGTGAGAAGACACTATGCACGACTGAGAGCACGCCATCCCGATGCAGATCCAGTCTCGCTCTTTGCCTCGTTCGCCATCTTGCACGAGCTGACTGCCATCTTACCCGTCGGACTCTTCTTCTACGCCTTCCAGAGTGTCGGGTTAGGCGAAAGGATGGTCGCCACCGTCGAAAGGCAGCGACAAGATAACGATCAGGCCGATGTCTCGATGATCCAGAGATGGACACAGGATGCCCAAGCCAAATCTGAGCGGGTAGCCAAGCGTTACGGCCTCTTTGGCTATGCAGATGACAGCATAATTGATGAGGACAGCAAGCGACAGCTCTCCAGAGGCGCAACAGACCTCGCGGGTGCCTATCTCATCGTCAAGGTGGGCAAGGCTCCCACTTACTATGCCACCGCTAAACGTTGTCGACACAGCTGCTCATGCCAGTGAGGCTGGCGGCCTGCTTCTGGCTCTCGCCGCCTCTTGCCAATCTGGTCGGACGATCAAAGCTCATCAAACGCTGGTTCAGGCCAAAGACAAAGACGACGCAACCGACAAAGTGAATTGCATCAGGATGCCTCACTTAGCCAGCCCTGGACAAAGGCGACTATCTCGCTCTGTACCTGAGCGACGGGACCAGGAAGGATGTTGCTCTCCTTCGCTGGCACGCCGTATCCGTCAAAGTGATGAATCGCGCCGGATATGAATTTGTACGGCTGAGAAGCAGTATCGAACCGGTTTGGCACCTCGATCGCTGCCTGCGTAGTCTCGCGCCAGGGATCCCATGCACCGTGGATGCTCGCTAGACGTGAACACCTGATGTCGAAGCCGCCGTAACGTGCAGGTAGATATCTGTTCGGGGCTTCGCAGGCACTCTGTTGTACTTGCCAACAGGGAATGCTTCTCTACATACGATGGACGTATATCCATGGTCAATGAGCCGCGAACTGAGCGATAGCTGTGTCGATGGCACGCCGGAGCCAGTCTGGGTCCCCAGTCAGCCGAGATTGCAGCGCTAGCAAGCGCATACCTGGAAGGAGCCCCATCGCGTGCAATAATGGTACGGCCGAGAGCGTGATTCGGACCGTGATGGATCGTGCAGCTGATGCTTTGTCGTGTTGTGGGTCGAGTAGCACCCGTCAAGCGTCGAACCATCTCAGACACAGGTCTGTACGAGTGACATATTGACCCAAGTGGCGTAGTTCGCCACCGCGACCGTCAACATCGCCAACTTTTCATCTGCATAGAATGACGAATTTATATAGCCTGATCTGCTCATGAGGCATTATATGAGCGCAGTCGAGCCGTTGACGAGCCCATGTGAGCTGGTGATATTGTTGCAGTATTCGTGAAATGAAGGATCGTCATCCTCTGGCGTCCACACGACCCTTTGCCAGCCGCCAATACCGCATGAGAATGCTTTGACAAATCGTTGGCATGCCATAGATCTGCAAGATTGAACAGTTACTCTGATTGCTTTGACGGTCTTCTTCGAGCCTTGCTGCAGCAAAAGATCGATGATGGATATCAGCGACTTAGTAACCTGAACACATTGTTGCGGCGCTGAAGCGCTGGGGCGCGCACTGGCTCGTAGTAGCGCCAATAATCATAGATTGACTTCGTGAATCCGCTGCTTGAGATTGCGCCAAAGGCTGTGTCTGAATATTGCATCCGCGCAAATGCGACTAATGCACCTGCATAAGAGCCTCTATAGAGGATATGTCTCGACTTGGCCGAGCTAACGTCGTTCGATATATTTGACAGCTTCAGGTCTCTACTAAAGTACTCAGCATCGGCCATAGCTGTCGACAGATCCTCTTGGGGCTGGCTCGTGCCGTGATAGCAATTTTCTTACACAATACCGATACCAGCGGTAGCCTTTGCAAGGGTATGCAGGTTGCCAGACCTCAGATAAGGTAGCCGTGAGCTGACAGCGGTCTCGCCATCATAGAGATCGGTCCATCAGCCTTGTAGAAAGAGGCATCAAACCAGTACCTCGGTGGGAAGCGGCCACTGACATGTGGCGCGTAGATCGAATCATTGTGAAAGTGATCGATGGATACGCTCATATTGTGCGCGATACCGTCACCAAACGCATCGAGTTGTAGGTTGACTGCATGGATTCGGCGCTCTCTGTGAATGGAAGCCAGAGTCCTGGGGCCTCGCACAGGGACCGCCGGCGTCGAACGTCAGCGCAGACACTCCTGCGGCGTTGCGATCCACTGAGCGAGCTGTTGCCAGCGCAAAGGACGCGAATGCAATCAAGATCATCACAAGCATTGCTGTCGAGGAATTTGATCGGTAGCGAAAGGGTTGAGCAGACTATGGGCATGACATGATACGGCGGTATCAGCGGGACAGTGCTGATCCGGCGATCGACCGTGAGGGGGCAGCCACGCGCATGTTTCCCGCCTCGTTAGCTTCTAGGCAGGCCTCTTCGAGTGAGGCACACGGGCTCGCTCGCTGAGCGGGCATAGCAAGGGCAATGCCAGACTCCAGGCCGGCGCACAGCGATGCGGACACAAACATCACGCTCGAGACGGCCCATGAGCTCTCGCTGGACTTTGACTTGACCAACTTGCGGCTCCTCAATTCAGCGCAGCTTGCCATCGTGCAGTATCATCCCGATGCAGAAGAGGTGCATGTCCAGGCTGCCGAGGCCTTGTGGATGCGCCGGAGAGCCAAGGCAGACAAGCGCAAGCGGGACAGCAGGACTATGCCCGCCCCGCCTCCAAACGCACTCCCCGCCGGTCCAGTGCCTGCCGTGCCAACGTCCAATGACAGCGTTATGCAGACGATCAATGAGCCCGAACAACCTGTTGCACCAGTCTCGGACACGTCAGAAGCTCCACTCGGTGCGCTGACGCAGGCGGACCTGCCAGCCCCTAATGCTACGGCAGCTATCCCCACTCAGACGGCGTCAGGATCACTCCCAAAGGCGGTCGGCACTCGACCAACGCCTAAGAAGACGAGTAGTCTGACTCAGGCCAAAAAGGCAGAAGCAGCTCGGCTGCTCAAAGAAAGCGTTCAAGCCAAACAGGCACGTACGCTGCCTCCGGTCGCAAGGTCCACCACCGAAGGATGCGAAGCCGCGACAGAGATCCGCAAAGCCTATGGACAGGTCTTCAAAATACCCCTCGAGGCCATACCCGCCGAGATCAGTCGCATCAAGCAGAGCCTACTCGAGCTCGTGGGCTCGCTCCGCGAGACGGCGCCTGGTACTGCACGCATCGTTTTCGTGCAGCAGCTTGACAACGCCATGACATCACTCAACATGCTCGAGGATCGTCTTCCGCGAGAATCCGTCAAGCGTCTCGAGGAGCGCGATCTGCAATGGCACAACAGGGTGGAGACAATTAGTGAGCCCGCAGACTTGCTCGATATGATCTATCTCCTCGATGAGCAGCTTCGTACGCTGGCAGCTACGCAGCCGGCTACTGCCGAATTCCATACGAACATGACACAATGTCGAGCTGCTCGCTCTGAGCTCAGGAAGCGCTTGATAAATTTGCCCAAGGCGCCAAAGATTGTCGACAAGCCGCTGCCACAGTCATACATACGACCAGCTGACGTACCAGCGCAACGTAGCAAATCGGAAGAGCGCTATCTGGCGTTGCGCGCTCAATTGAAGCAACGGGTTGCTGCCCCTTCTTATCTGCCAGCAGCGCCCTCGCATCCAGCGTCTCCGCCGGTCAGTAACGCCACGCCCGGGCGAGCGACGCCAAGCTCCTCTGAAATCCCGCTGAACTCATCGGCAAGCGCTACCGAAGCGCCTCCGCCTGCGCCTCTGCCCTTGCTGGCCAGAATCAGCGATGGAAGAGCGGGGACAGCGACTCCGCCAGAGACCACTCCTGCTGCTCATGACCAGGAGACGACTACTATTACCCCGTCTTCGAAATCGCTTGGAAAACAGAATGCCGACTCCGGCAAGTCTGCCCCGGCTCGCATCAAGAGCAAGACGATCTTGCTCAAAGTAATTCCCAAGTTCATCAAAGCAGAAGAGGAAGAGGATGTCATCTTCGTTGACGCCTCGAGTATCAGCAAGCGGAAGCGCACTACATCTCGGCGCACCGCCAGTCCTGCTTCTGCTCAGGCAGGACAATCCACTTTTCCTGTCAATAACGCTCAGAGTCTGAGTGCTGGCGCGATGCCGGTGACGGTTCCTAACGCAGACAGGCGTAGTGTTGATAGCGGCGAATCTATGGACATGGAAATTGAGACCGATCTTCAAAATGCGCAAGCAGAGGCACGACCTGCACAGGCGCCTCACAGCTCTTCAGTGACCACTCAAGCTAGCCAGAGGGCTCATAACGCCCAGACACCCGTGGCTCCAGGTCCAAAGCCGTCTACGCAAGAGCCGATGCCAGCCGTTCGGCAGGCCGAGCGATTCCAATCAGCAGCGCTGGTTGCGCCGCCCCGGGACGCTGCCATTCATCGCAATACGTCCGGAAGGTATGATCGCTCCCTATCGCCCAGCTCTTCCCGGACGGCTCGCTCGCTTCGCGACAGATCGCCCTTAGGCCGCAGGCCGTTTGGCGACCGTGAGCGATCGCGCTCGCCTCGCAGATCATTGTCGCCTTACCCATCTCCTCGCCGACGGTCACGTTCGCCTCGCAGAAGATCGCCTTCGCCTTATCGACGACCGAGATCGCCTCGGCGTAGGTCAATATCGCCTCGCAGGCGTTCGCCCTCGCCTCGTAGACGCTCACCTTCGCCCAGAAGACCGCTACCACCGCGGAGACGCTCGCCTTCGCCTCGTGACTATCGACCCGGCCGACAGATGCCGAATGATGCCCGCTTCGTGCCAGCTCAGAAGTCTATGGGTACGTCAGCTCCTGCGCAAGCCGCTCCTCCGTCAACCACTCCTGTGCAAGCTGCCTCTGCATCTGTCGCACCTGTACAAGCCACAATTCCGTCGGTCTGGCCGGTGATTCCGGCGAAGGCTGCGACAGATCCGAGTCTCCTTGGGCAAAACGCTTCGGCACCCATCTCGGGCGCTCTTCCTCCCGTACCAATATCTGCGCCCGTTTCGACGTCCGCACCCTCGGTAGCGCCCTCAGCAGCTGCAATGCTACCGTCGCCGGCAGCACCGATGATGCCCAAAGAGCCGCCCGTGCCCATCCAAACAAGATTGGCGCCGCCGCCCTTATCCAGCAAGCCCATTCCCCAAACGGCAAAGGCTCAGGTCAAAGAGACATCCGCAGCATCGGCTACGTCTAACAACGAGTTGACCGCGCTGAGTCGCTCTGTTCTCAAATGGCCTGCCGTCAACGAGCTCAGGCCTATCATTCCAGATGATGGCAAGGTGCTTCCGGCAGACTTACTGGAGCGATATTTCCCCATCACGATCGACGCCATACCCTCTAACATGACCGAGAAGCTCATGTGGAACGTTCTTTGCCGCGGTGATGGGGTTGACAGGCCACTGGCGATGAAGCTCAGCAAGGGCGCCAAAGCGACGATGTGCACAGCGCTGTATGCAACTGATGCTAGCGCTGGGCGAGCTGTCGTTGCGCATAGTGGTATGTTGCTGAGTTGGCCGCCGCAAGGCAAGACTCATGCGTATCGAACAATTCCCCGTAATTTGAATATGACCTACAATAACGTCGGAAGGACCGGTCTGGCGGCGATGTCATCGCTCCCCCAACATTTACTGCCTCCCAGCGTGCGCAGCCACGTTCAGCAAACAGGGCAGACGCCATTGGATCCACGCGCTAAGCCCTCAGTGCAAAAGAATGTGCCGCAGCTTCAGATTTACGCTCGTGCTGACCTGACGAACCGAATTGCTCCGCACACATCTCCGCCGAACGGTCCCTCACCCAGATCCGTACGACAAGACGAGCACGCCTCGCTGATGGAGCGTTTAGGTTCGCCGAGTACGCGGCCTCCCGCACCTGTGTATCAGCCAATGCATCGCGCGGCACCCAATTTAGCAGCGCGCGTCGCACCGCGGTCAAACCATGTACGTACTCTGACCGATATCGGAGGCAATGCTGAGAGCCGGTGCCTCAGCCCATGTGGAACAATTAGAGACTGAGTCGGCTTGACCGGATTGTTGTACATAGATGAACAACAACATGCGCCCTAGTGGCAGCCTACTAAATCCTCACGAACTTGCTTATAGTATGCGAGGCATGCAGGATTGCGGAGCGTGCTCGCATTGATGGACGATAGAGGAGCGCCATTGATGATCTTTTTGACCGGGATCTCTGACTTCTTAGAGTTGGTCGTGTAAGGTATCATGTCAGGCTCGACCTGGATAAGTAGCGCAGGCACATGTCGCGGTGAACGCTTCTGCCTGATCTGTGTTTTGACTGTGCGCTGTAGCGCATCGGTAAGTTGTGTGCCCTGGCGTAGCTCGACAAAGAGAAGCACGCGCTCGTCCATGCCGTTGTCAATCTTCTGGCCAATTGCGAGGGCGTCGACGATCTCGACAATGCCCTGCAAGGCATCATAGAGCTCGCTCGAGCCGAAGCGCACGCCGCCTGGGTTGAGAACGGCATCTGATCTGCCCAGCATGATCAGCCCACCTCCGTTGCCAGATCGACTGGGCGTGAGGACGACATAATCGCCGTGCGCCCAGACATTCGGGTATTGACTGAAGTAAGCTGCTCTGTAGCGCTCGAAATTTAGGTCGCCTTGAAAGCGAAGCGGCATCGAAGGGAATGGCTTTGTGAAGATGAGCTCGCCCTCCTGACCGATGGCGGCCTGTTCGCCCTCTGACCAGACCTCGACCGCCATGCCCAGATTGCGACACTGTATCTCGCCTGCATAGACGGGCAGAGCAGTGTTGAGCCCGACAGCAAGACCGCAGAGATCCGTGCCCCCAGATATGCTTGCCAGACACATATCGCTCGAGATCGCTGTGTAGGACCATTCGAATAGGCCAGCAGAAAGCGGTGAGCCGGTCGAGTGCAGCTGGCGTATGCTGCCCAAGTCGTGGTGATCTTTCGGCGTATAGGTTTTCGAGACGACGTCGAGATATTTGGCGGACGTGCCAAAGATGGTGACCTTGAGTTCCTCTGCCATTTGCCAGAGCAGCTGTGTATGATATAGAGGTGAACCATCGAAGAGTACTAACGTCGCACCTGCCAGGAGACCGCCCCACAGGTAATTGATCATCATCCAGGCGGGAGTCGAGTAGTAGAAGAAGACGTCGTCTGGCTTCATGTCACCCTGTATGAGCAGCTCGCGAGCTGACTGGACGAGCATGCCCCCTGCCCTATGGACGATGGCTTTGGGAAGCCCTGTTGTGCCTGAGCTGAACAAGATCCATAATGGGTGGTCAAAATCGGCTTGATAGAATTCAATCGTCTTGGCCGAACCATGACCTGCGACAAAATCGGCATAGCGGTATTGCTGTACGTCTGATTGGAAGTGCGCGCCAAAGTTGATTTTCTCTCCATCCGGTAAGTAGTCATGGATGATGAGATGCGCTGGACAAGCATCGTCTTCGCGGAGCCTCTCGATGACTCGTGCAAGCTTGTCGGCTTGTGAATGAGATTTGCCATTGTAGCGCACCGCATCGACCGAGAAGAGCACCTTGGGTTTGACTTGTACTAACCTGGAGTAGACCGCGTCTACGCCAAAGTCGCTGGCCACGCTTGACCATACCGCGCCGATGGCAGCAGTGGCGAGAACAGCGACGAGTGTGGTGTAGCAATTCGGACCACAGTAGCATACTGCCTCACCGGCCTGGATGTTGCGAGCTCTGAGCGCCAGAGCGAGCTGGGCGACATCGCTATAAAGCTGTCTATACGTCTTTGAAGCGTACTCTGGCATATATGAGGCTGCGTCCACTGGCGCACAGATTGGACTCACTCAGCTTGAGCTTGCCTAGATGGTCTGCCGGCTCAGCTGCCTCGGTGAGCTCATGCACGGCGACGCGGTCGCCAAGCGTGACGCAGTGTCGCAGCATGTTCTCTGCCCAATTGAGCTTCATGCCGACAAACCAGGCGGGTATATCTTGCATAGCTACATCCTCTTCGTACACTTTCGTCGCAGGGACGGAGCAGATGAGGCCTGTAAAGTCAAACACGTCCTGCCAGAAATTGGAGATGCCTAGCGACCATCCGTGGAGCTGTTCGTACGTCTCAAGCGAGAGTGAATGACGATCGTTGACGGACCGTCGAAAGCGATCCATCGCAGTCGATTGCGGATCCCGAGGGGTCCAGAGAGGCTCCATTGTGAGCAGAACGAGGGATGCGGCTGCCAGTCGAGTCAAGGTTCGGCGCGCGATTGACTTTGCCCGCTTGCGCTCCTTTCCTGGTTCGTCATGGTCTCTGCAGCAGTGCCGAGATCTAGTCATGGCCTGAATGAGCCGGTCGAGATCCTAGCGACTAATGGCTTGCCAATCGCGACTGTCCAGCCCTTGCCGAGGCAGACCCATCCAGCAGGCGGATTCACGTCGAGCTTGTCTGTCAATCTGCCCTCGAGCAGTCCTGTAGCGAGCACGAGCAGAGCGCACTACGATGACATTCAACGGACGAGTGAGCACAGAGCCATCTCCCGCCTGCAGAGCTCGCTCGACCTCATCCTCGAGCTGAGCAGCGCTCCTACCAGTCGAAGTCGACTGAAGCAGTCTGTCCGTCTTGCTCGTCTGTCCCTTCAGTGAGTCTGGCTGAGTAAGACGTGTCATGTACAGGCGGATCTGATCAGCCCTCAAGACTATGCGGACATCCTACTCGAGCGACACGCCAACGAGCTATGTGCATATCCGACTTGCCACCACGCGCCCTCGCTGCCGTTCGATCCGGACGATAAGCCCGTCTACCGCATCTCATCACGCAAGCACAAGGTCAACGATGTCCGAGAGACAGGCAAGTACTGCTCGCCCACCTGCAGAGAAGCCTCGCAATTCTTTGAGCTCTACACCTTGCGCGCCAATTCGCTCAAGACGCGCGACACCATCACCACGCTCGCTCAGGGAATCGTCAGAGCACCAGATGAGCCGGTACGACTGCTCGATGAGATGCAGCCGAGTTCGGCTCCGCAGCGAGAGCCAGAGCCACCGAAGCTCTTGCCAAACGAAAAGGCCGTGCGCGACTTGCTCGCCACGCTCAAGATCCTCGAACATCCTACCCCGCATGTGCCGCCTGAGCCACCGGCGCCAGGCAACCTTGCAGATGCCCCTGAGCTCATCGCACGAGCACGGGCTGCCAAGGCTACAAAAGCGTCAACAAGCAAGCCTGGCGACGCTATTCTCGGCATGCCCCTCGACGAAGACGAAGAGCTCGACGAGGAGACTGCAGCCATCATGAAGACCGGCATGGAGCTCTTCAGACAGTATAGAGCGGGCACATTATAACGCACACCCAGAGGCCTTTTGTTGTTGCTGCAATGCTAATGTTGATGCAAGAAGCACACTGATGTACATCAATCCTTTGACATGTTCGCCCCGCTACAACTTCGCCGTGATCTTTGAAGGTTCGAGAGACTTGTAGGCAATCTCATACACTGTCCTGAAAAGAGGGTATTCGTCCACCCTGCCACGTGCTTGCAGGAAATTGTGGACCTCCCGCGCAGTCTCGACGCCTTGCAGCTTCTGCCCATTCAGAAGCTGTTTCTCTAGCACATCGAACGGCTGCTTTCCTTCATCAGCTCATATCTGTGCGGTAAGGCGGTGGGACTTACCTTTCCTGTTTTGACATATGCCTCTGCACACTTGCGGTTCCGTCCACCGAAGCCTGATACAGGACTTAGCTCGAGCGACATGCAATGCAGCACTGACTTACAGGTAGTGATCAGATCAGCGACGCCCGCAGACTCCTGGACGAAGGTCTCCGGTCTGACGCCTTGAAAGAACTCCATCGAGAATTTCTTCATTTCGAGCAGACCGATCCGCATGATGGCCGCTTTCGAGTTGTTACCCCAACCCAGTCCATCTGAAAAGCCTGCAGCAACAGCGACGACGTTCTTGAGTGCGCCGCAGAGTGAGACGCCCGCTACATCGTCGATGATCTGCACGTGGAAGTTTTCGTTCTGGAAGAGCTTCTGCCACCTGCGCATGACAAGCCGAGCGTCAGCAAGTGGTCTCACGTCCCCTTGCGCTGCCTACATCACGCCGTCAACTTTGCGTCTGTAGCCTACTGTCGTCTCCGAAAAGGCGCCCTTTGCGACTGGTGGCCTGGTTCAGCAAAGGCGGCGCGTATAGCATGGCCGACGGACCTTCGTCTGCAATATTGGCGCCCGACAACGCGCTGCAGCTGACATTGAGCAGAGATTCGATGACGTCTGCAAAGATGGCGATATTTGTTCCTTTGACGTCTACGCCCTGCTGATCTGTCAGTGTTGTGCCGATCAACCAAAGTATGGAAGCCCACTTTGATGAGTGAGATGGCCTTGACGCCGTGTTTGGGTATCTTGCCGCGCAGGTCACGACAGATAGAGGGAATAAACTGCAAGTCAGGCATCATTTCGCGATCAGACACTAGTCTGGGCTGCCGACCTGATGTGGCAAGACGAATATAAGTGCAGTAGCGCCGTCGACGGCTTCTGCCAGATCGGGTATCGCCTGCACGTTATCGGGAAGCTTGATGCCCGGCAGATATTTGACATTCTCGTGTTCCTCATTGATGATCTCTGTGAGTTTGCGTCCATTTATCTGCTCTTGTGCTTCAATGAGGATCCTCGTGCGCGGTGGAGCATTCTGACCTCTTCTTCGTGCACATACATGGGCACATGGTCATCGAACGAGTCGGGATGCGTCAGGACATTCTGACCTGCTCGAGGCGCGTCAACGGGCTCCATGCGGCTCAGGCAGCTCGCTCACCGACGAGCATAGCGATGGCAGATCCCCTGCGAGCATGATGTCATCTTTGTACTATGCAAAAGGCATATGCGACACACCAATTGCCAGAACCTGGCAGTGGGGCATCGTTGGGTCAGCGGTGTGAAGCTCGTTTGGCCATCTGAGCTCACCAATGATGGCGATCTTCTCCTTCGCATGATGTCTCGGCGTGTCTGCATGTCTGCGACGTCTGACGGTATGGTAGGCATCCGAGATGGCCTCCCTGGCAGACGAGCGATAACCCATTGTCACGAGTGTTGGGGCAAGCGTTTGTCGGGCCCTAGAATGATAGCAGTGCCCCGAGAGCGTTGCAGTCCGAGTGCGATGTGTGAGCAGTGGGCCTCTGGATGTTTGCAAGGACCGCGCTAAGCTTGCTTGCATCCAACGAGTCGGCGAGTGTCGACTCGAGCTCGAGAGCCGGCGCGTCCCCGCGTGCCCCGCGTCTCTCCATGGCAGCGCAACTCAGCTCAGCTCCAGATTCGGTTGAGTTTGCCCTCAAGCATACGCATTACGACGAAAAAGGCCTGGCCAAGCGTAGATGTGGATTCGACTGCTCACTTCTTGTGTGGAAGGCAAAGGACTTAGTCATATCAGGAGGGAGATCGCGAGGATGCCTGCGCGTGACTCCGTCGAGACCTGCTCAATCGCGCTCATGAGACTTCAGAGATCCACAGCACCAGCGCTACGTAACACGCGTGACATTAGTCAGAGGCCTGGCACTCTGCGGAATGCGGCCATCACTGATCCCTCCCCAGACTATCGTATCAGAGCAACAGTATGAGCAACGGGAAACAACCGATGTAGGTGGGCATCAATCTTTTGAAATCAGATGGTGGCAATTGTTTTGTTGGTCTGTTGCGTCGTGTAACACATATCCGTCCTCTGCGACAAGTCGATTAATGAGGGGGATGGCAGGCGTGCGCGGCAGCTAGCGGCTCTGCGCTCGAGTAAATATCGAGGCATTCGAGTTGCTGACTGACTCGCGAGCGGGCGCGCCGTATGCGGGAGGCGTTCCGGAAGCGGCATAGATCAAGAGCTGACGACGAGCCAGATCGCGGGGCGGGCGAGTATTCGGGTGAGGCGGTACTGCGAGAAAACCATTGTTGCGTGCCATCATCTCGAAAAGCTGCTCTGCTCGTGCTTGACTTTCGGCGAGCGATTGCTGTCAGTCTTTTTGCTGACGTGCTTCTTGCGTACGTTTTGCATCTTCCCGACGATCTCTAGCTTCCTGCAACTCTTGCGCTTGATGAAACGACGTCTCTTGCTGTTCTATGGCGCGGCGATGACGAATCTCCTCGAGTTCTGCAAGACGTCTCTCATAGGAGTCCTGTGCATCTTTAGCTTGACTTGGAGCTTTTCGAGCTGGCTGACGTGCATGGCGTAGACTCGCTGCAGTACTTGGTCATGAGCAACGGCTTGCGCGTTCAAAACATTCCTGAACTGATTCATTGACTATGCGACTGCATTGCTTGCCGTACTGGCGGCCGCTTCGGCATTTTGCAGTATGCGCAGGCACGGGCAAGCCTGCTGGGAGTGGCTGTCATCATGCGATCGATGCCAACAGTCTTTCCGAAGGAGTGTTATCGAAGTAGCGTGTTCTTCCTGACTATTGCATGCGCACTGGTGCGTTGTGGACGACCGCTTCAGATATAACCAATTCCGACAGAATGCAACGATCGATGTGACGCGGCCGCAAAATCACGCGAACGGCGGTCCATAGAACAGACAAGGGTTTGAGACCGAGTTCAAGGCACTGAATGGGTACTCTGATTGGCGCGTTGGGGTGACCCACGATCCTAATTCGCCTGGCTGGTGAGCCATCTATCCATGGCGAAAATGGAAAGGTGCTCGATCATAATGTTGCTGCTTCGCTTGCGGACAGCTGGGGCGGCGCAGATGGGCTTCGGGCCCCCTCCCGTGAGCGATCGGCTTTCAATAAGAGCAGGAGAAGTCTGCATGCAACAGCGCATAGTACTCAAGTTGCCCTTTAGTGAACGGAGAGGAGGCTTTGGCCGGCCGAAGCCGAGTCCATGGGCCGCCTAGCTTTCTGGCTGATCTTATGCGTCTACAGCCCGTGGTGGAAGCTAGCAACGCGTCTAACCAAGCGGAAGCTTTGAGGAAAGGACTGAAGACTTGTCTATACTCTGTATAGCCTTTTGCGTTTGCAGTCGAATCCACGGTGCTTGCACTTTGTTTGAGCCCACAGTAAGGCCAGATGAGAGAAGGGTGCTTGCTGACACAGTGGCCCGCGCTTATCGCGAAAGACAGATGGCAGTCAGCCAAGTCGCTACGTGGTTCTAGCCCGAAGCCCGATCGTGAGGGTGGATCACGTGAGTTGGTCAGATTCTGACGCGGACGGTTTTGGGGATGCGCATGCGAGGCGGCAACTGCTGATCATGTCAGAGAGCTACATCAACCTGCTGCATGATCTACACCTCCCGGCCTCGTCGCCGTTACCCGCCAGCTTGCCGACTGTGCTCGCTTACCACCTAGCGACGCTGCCCTTGCCGCAATTGACCCATCTCTGCCGAGTCTTGCTCCAGTCGGCCTGCTTGTGGTCAAAGACGGGCGACCCTCAAGATCTGGTGCACTATGAGAGGGGTCAGGAGATCTATCGAGCGATACAGCGAGGCTTCCTGGGAAGGGTGGATCACGTCTCACAAGAGCAAGGCCCAGGATGGAGAGGGAGACGACAGCTCGCAAATTGTCTTGACGCCGTGCTGCAGGCGCTTGATGGCTCAGACGAGAGCGAGCAAGCATCTTCAAGCTCGAAGCTGCAGATCAACCATCCAGTCAGGAAGCTCGTGGTGGCCAGCGGCTGTCTGTCTGCTCTCCAGGCCGTAAAGGAACGACAGGACAGCCTCTACGTCGGCGGCAAAAGTCTCATGGGTAGAGCAGAGAACGAGACATTGATACTATGGGCCGAAGTGCTCGAGTACATGACGGGGACGACGCCGCAACTGGATTTGACTTGGACCAGCAATGATCATCGTCGTCAGTCACCACAGACTCGATGAATCATGACGCTGATCGGGAAGCAGGCCCAGGCGACCTCTTGTCTAGCGGCCCGGCGGTCTCGACTGCCATGTCATTACCGACCTATCTGGCAGCTCAGACATTGCCCATCGTCGATAGTGCCAAGCTGGGCGCTCTCCCCGTCGCAGTAAGCGCGCTCCCAGCTCGAGCTTGTCCCAGCTGACCTCGCGGAAGCCACTCATATCGATGCTGACGACAACCATTGAGAGCTGTTTCGATAATGGTCGACTTTTCGATGGACTCGATGACGATCTTATCGAGACAGTGGATGGCCTTGCCTGGAACGTACGCATGCCTTGACTTTTGATGAAGGACCGTGTGCTGACACGAGGCTTCAGTCGCCCTCGAGCTCGCAAGATCGCCTAGATTCGCTGCTACGCTTACCACTGTACCCTGAGCTCGGCAGGGTGTCTCGTCTTCTTGGCAACCTCTTTGCAGCTCCGGGCGCCGAGCTCGAATATATCGAAAGCTCTTGTCTGCGTCTGCTCAGACTAGTAGCTCGTGTTGAAGCCAGCTGGCGACGGTGTAGGTGGTCAGATGTCACAAAGGATACCGAGCTTGCAAGTACCACGCGCTTGGCAAAGCAGCCATGGACGCATCACAAGACGCTGCTGTTCACGCTCACCATGATCCATTCCGCCCTCATGACGTTGCTTACGTCCACACCGAGTCAAGTCGGGAGACCTCCAGCAGCTGTACTCGACTTGACCTCCCTTACGCTGCAGACTTTCAGCAAGGTCTACTTTGTTACACAACGCTTCGGCCCGGATGGCTTTGGAGCATATCTCAATGCGTGGCATGGTGCGCTCGATCTCTGTGCAAGGGCGAGCAGCGATGATGCTCGAGCGATCATCACTAAGCTTGAGCCAAGACACGCTAGCTCGCAAACAGACCGCGAAGTAGACAGGGCGTGCCTGACATATTATCTCAATGTTGCCGAGCAGCTCATGGAGACTCTACCAGACGACTATGTCGAGTCTCACATCATGCCGATGACGAGACGCTACCTCGACGATGCTCGATATGCCGATGCTTTTGATTCTGCGCACTCGGTCGTGCTGGCAGTCTTTGCGAAGAACAAGCGCTGCTCAATCGAGCTCATGCCATGGTACTCAGACCTGGTCTTACGAGTCAGCTCTAGTCCTCCCACAAGTAGGCTCGAGCTGATGTCGTACACAGAGTTATCCTGAGATGATGACCTCTTCGCAAATACGGCTGGCGTACACGACCATGGTCAAGCGAGCCTCTGAAGTTGACGATGCACTGGCCTGGTACTGCGTAGCGAAGCTAATCAAGACAATCCAAGACATACCACCCCACGCGCTCGAAGATACCAATGCGCTCGCTGCTTCGGATGTTCCCCGCGAGAGCAATCTGGCCTCACTGTCGAGCTCGGAGGCGGTCCAGGACGCACTGGGTCGATCACAACATGAAGCTCGGTTCGAAAGGGATTCAGAGAGTGACGACAAGCCAGAAGATGTGTCGACTCGGCTAGACGACGTCGCTGGCCCCAGTCCGCTCGAGAGTCACGCTCTGAGTCTGCGACGGGGTCATCTGCTTCTCGTGCTCATCGATCTCATACCGGCAGTCAACTTGACGCTCTTGCTCACTCTGCTCGACACGATCGCTCAGCTAATCCAGGCCGAAGGTCATACCGGCGAGCGAGCAGGCGCGGCACGCCTGGAAGGCAAAGACGCAATCGTCAAGGTACTCTTCGCCACGCTGGGCGAAGGTATGGATTCGATCAAACGGCAAGCGGGCGCACATTGGTGGATGCAGCACCGCACTGAACTCTGACAGCATTCGATGCGAAGACTGCTACATCAGGAGGATTATCAGTACTCAAGAGGACGCGCGCTTTGACGGCTTCGTAGTTGTGTCGTGACTTGCTTCTCGGTTCTGCCAAATCTGTTGGGATGAAGTGCCCCTTTAACTTGAACACAATGCATCTTACTATAGGCTTAGTGATCTTTGTCTTCGTGAAGCAGCAAGCTATTGAGACACTTCTGAGCTTCCTCCGGACGCCTTGATGCTATCTTTGGCCGATGACATGGCCTGTGAAGCTAGCATGAGTCACCAGACTGCAACGCCCGCAAGTTCGCTTACAGAGGAGATATCGTCCCCTGCAGAGCCTTGCTCGGAGCTGTCACCGCCCTCGAAAGAGCCGCCGCGAGTCTCGCCTTCGTCTGATTGTCCTGTCTGAGCCTCTTTGCCGATGGACGACCGACCCATAGGGCTGCCAATGCTAGTCAGTCAGATCGCTAGCCCGGACGAGTCGCTCACTCTGCGCCACCGGACTGGCTCGCACTACTGCTTCAGCTTCGCATGGCGTGCTTGACGTACAGACGCACCTTCTCCAACGGCGGCGAATTCGTGCCTGATGTCGCTGTTGCAGACATTTGCGGATGTGATGAAGACAAATCGATAAGGAGCGCGTCCAATTGCAACGCTCAACGTCCACCTGTCATCGATCATCGGCCCCTCCTCCACACAAGAAGGCCACGTCAACGCAAAAGCAGGCAAGCAAGCTATGAGTAGATACAACATTGTCCGCTGTCTGTTCAGCTGTAGTGACTGTCTTGAAGTTGAATAAGATAGTCAATCTGAGTCTTGCGGTAGTTGTCATTTCCGGCCACAACTTTGTCCGAGTCAAACAGGATCTGCTCGCCTCCTTGTCCACGAGGCTGCCAATGAGGAAGTGGAGTGACCGGCTTGACAGGATTGGGGTTGAGTGTAGCGACAAAGGAGACAAAGTACTGACGCATCGCTGCGCCCATGCCAGTCTTGTCCCAACTCTCATACCACCATGCAGGCACGTCAGACGCGTGACAGGCCCCCAGGACCGGTAAGACTCTGGTCGCGTTCCACTGATAGGTGTAAGTCGGTACGTTCTGGGCGACACGAGCTTCCGCAAAGCGTCGACGACTCGACTGAACGGAATAGTCGCCTAGAAAGCTTGCCACTCTTTTGAAGAGCGGATTGACGACCGGCATCGATCCGCTATCATAAGGCGAGCCATTCGCTTGTTCGTCCGGATAGAGCCTAGCAACATTGTCACTCTCCTCTGCTGTGAGCTTGTTGCCAAAAAATGCAGAGACCCAGACGGCGAAGGAGGCGGCCTTTGTAGCTATGTATGCACTGTTGAGGGCGGGTAAGGTGCCTTCGTCCGTCGCGCTACCACTGATAGAAGGCACGTGCGAGAAAAGGCCGTCGTGGAGCGCTTTGGTTGCAGTCGAGGTGAGCCAGCGGTTGTCCATCTTGATACCGAAGGGCTTCAGATTGCTGTTGTATGCCACGCGCCCGAGGTAGCGAGTGCTGGCTGCATACTGGTCTGCAGGTACCGCTCGGAGGCAAGCAATGGGATCCTTGGCGTGGCCGCACCCGCAGGCATGAGCGAGCGTGTCGAATGAGGCCTGGCCGTCAGTCATGGTCCCGATAAAGTATGAAGGGTCGCCGCTCTGTTCGATCGTCGCTCTGAAGAGGTGTGAGAGGTAGGCTGTCCTGCCGTTTGCGAAGAGGGTATGATAGCCGACACTGGCTGCGCCGGCTGATTGACCGCTGATGGTGACCTTGAACGGATCTATGCCAAACGATCTCGAGTGATAAGCGATCCAGAAGAGGGCCATGCGCTGGTCCATGAAGCCGAGATTGGACAAGAGAGCATCTTGCATCTGCTGACCCGCCAGGAAACCATAGGCACCGAGGCGGTAGTTGGGCACGACGACGGCGATGGGCGTGCCGAGTCTGACGCTCATGGCGACAATGTCAGAGCCATCGTACAAGGCTGACGAACCGGTCGTGTAGCCACCGCCGTGATACCAGACGAGGACAGGCAGCCTATCGGTAGCGGTCGTGCCTTTGGGACGATAGATTGACAGATAGAGACAATCCTCCGACGTGGGCGCTCTCGAAAGTCCAGCGACGGCGGTTTCGAGGCCTAGTCGTACAGTCTGAGCCCGTGAGAGACTGTCGCGAACGTTGAGGACGGACCTAAGATGCCGAGCTCCTGACCGATCTGCTGCTTGATTGCCGGGGTAATCTCGCTCGACTGCGTAGCCGGGGTCAGATCTGAGCTGACGCTTGCCTGGCAACGGGACTTGCCATAGGAGTATCGAGCTGCGGGCATGCTGGTGCCTGCGTGGTTGCCGATCGAAAGGCGGGCACAAGGGGCCCCTTGAGTGTTCGAGGGGCTTCCAGCCGTCCTGGCTTTTCGACGTAAGGAATCGAATGGAACGTCTCGACGCCCTTGGGATTGAGCGATCCTGCGAATGAAGGTGAGCCTGCTTGCCCAAGGCTGACTTCACTCGCTTGCCTCTGAAAGTGGCCAAACCGTCGACGTTGACATCGACATTGATCGAGTTGGCCTGACGTTTGCCGTGTGTGTGACGATGTTGTAGGCGAGCGTTGGCATGCACGAACGAGAGCGAACAGATGACCGGCACCAGGCCGAGCAGATGAAAGTGCATCCTCTCTTGAGCAGGATGCAGGCAAGTTTGAGCGAGCCAAGCAACCTCGGCAAGACAGGGTCAACCCGAGCCATCGTGTGAGGCTCTTGCGACGCCCTCAGAGACGCGCTAGGCGTTGACCGAGACGTTGCTGAGCTGGTGCGAGGCTGGTCCGCTCGACATCGCTCGTGAGGAGGAGGGACGCCGAGGATCTGGTCATGGTGCGACACTGTCTTGTTCGTTTCGAAGGAGATGAGTTTCATGCTGGTTCAACGTTCGATGGACATGGCCGAGCCTCTCTGAATGCTGCTCGTCTGAATATACGGGGAGCGGGTCTGGATCGAGGAAGGAAGTGAGCACCAAAGGGAGGCATATCGCTTCGGCTATCAAGCGCTATCGAGCATTTCCAGCGTCGAGCTTCGTTTGCAAGCGCGCGCCAGTCAAGACACAGCAAAGCAGGCCGAGCAAGCCTCGACATGGCGACAGGGCCTGCTTCCCCTGACCTTGAAGACGATGCCAGAGCTCTTCACCGATCGACAGAGCGCAAGATGGAAGCGGCGGTCCAGCTCCTCGATCAAGTCTGCGCCTATTCCTCTCAATCCCTGCTTGAGCCTCGCAAGGTCGAATCCTAGTCCGTCTCACTCACTCTGAGCTATCCATCTGCCGCTGATCAGACGGGGGAAACCTCCAGCCGTCAGCCGGCACAGGAGTCCACCCCGGCGCTCATGAAGTTGCTCAATCAGAACAAGCGACGCAGGATCTCCACACCGTCAGACACGAGCCCCAGCTCGCCTGACATCCATTCCCTGTCAGGACTGCTCTCGAGACTAGCAACGTACAAGATCGCTACCTATACGCCCAAGCCTGACGAGATAGGCCCCGTCGCTGCTGCGCGTCACGGCTGGATCTGCGATGGCGGACGAGACCGTCTGGTCTGTCAATGCTGTGGCAAGGCCTGGCGCATCGATGCCCTGCACAACACAGCAGACGCATCTCAGGCGTGGAACAGTCCTGCAGCCAAGCAGCTCCTGACGATGTATCAGGCTCGTCTGCAATCACACCACGCTCGTTCGTGCGCTTGGTCGCTACGGTCTACGCCGGGTGGGTCACACCGCCAGTCTCACGCGGGCTTCCAATCTCACGATCTGAGCTTTGCAGGATCAATTTACAGACTCCCTACTCATTCAGCGCATCTCCTACTAGCTCGCTACTTTGATCTGCTTTCCACATATCACTCGTCCGTCGACTTAGCGCTCGACTCGCCGCTGAGCGCAGATCAGGTCATCAGGCTCGTCAACAGACTTCACAGCATGGTCTCCGCCGCGACGGCTGATACAGCAAATCCTTATGTAGACCCTTCCTTTGTGACGACGAGTCGCATTCTGCGCGCAGCTCGCGGCGATGTGTCGTTCAAGCTCAACAGCGAGCAAGAGACTATGCCTACACTCGCCCAATGTAGTGCTACCCATGTCGTCCTGGCGCTCTTCGGATGGTCGCTCGCCAAAACGAGGCTGAAGCGATCGGGCAGCGTTGCCGACATTGCAGCTTTGCCTCGCATCCCGCCGAGCGCACAGAACATGGAGCACACGCTGTCGTGCGACATGTGCTGCAGACGCGTAGGCCTCTGGTCGCTCCCTTCGCAAAGTCTGTCTGTCCTGACAGAGCATCGCGAGTACTGTCCTTGTGCACTCAGCTGGCGCGCTGTGGCTTCCTCCATCCTGGGCGACAAGCCTGCCTTACCATCGAGCGTAGGTTGACTTGCTCTGGCAGCCCTGTCTGAGTCTCCAACTGATGATCTGCGTTATCATTTTAGGGATCTGCGACGATCGTGACTTCATTGAAGCAATTGACGGGAAGCCTGGGATTGCGGGGAAAGGCAACTTCGCTTCGCAACGTCTGAATCTATCCGCTCCTACACGACATGGTCAGATCCAAGCTGCCAGACGACCCGGGCAAGCAGTCCTCCGGCTATCCGTCCAAGCTGTCCAAGAACCAGCTCGAAGCACTCAAGCAATGCTGGATCAGACTCGACGAGGTACTCCAAGGGAAGCACGACAGAAAGTCTGGCGCAAGCGACGAGGATGTCAACATTACGGGTGAAGGCGAGGAGGATACCGGAAAGGGAGCCTTCAAGGGGATGGCCAAGGAGGACTCGGCGAAGGAGAAGCAGCGTCGCGAGCGTGAACGCGCAATGACTGCCAAGATTCTTAAGGATATTGACCCAGAAACCTTCCGGTCCCATGTCTGGCGAGCGGTGCAATGCGACTCTCCAGACGCTCTTCTGCTGCGGTTCCTTCGTGCGAGAGACTTTGACCCGGACGCAGCTTTTCAGATGTATGTGCCCGCCAGTCTGGTCCTGTTCAAAGTCTTACCCAGCTGCTTCCGCGCGCACAGGCTATGCGGATCAATGGCTTGGCGTCTCAATCTCGACGTGACTGGCATCCTCGAAGAAGGCGAGATCGGCTGGGGCGGCTATAAAAACGGTCTCAAGAATTCCGCTCCGAACGAGAAAGAGGCAAAGCGATTCATGAAGCAGTTCCATGATGGCGTGGTAAGTCCATTTCGCTCTGTTCCAGCCGATGGCCGCTAATTGATCCGGCAGGTCCGAGCACCAGGGACAGACAGGGAAGGCCGACCGGTCGCGCTTATCGCGGTCAAGCACCACAAGTAAAGTCATTCCATTTTCCCGCCCAGCCGCATCTCACGCGTCGGAACAGGATTGGAGGCGTCTCGAGCATAGGTCTGCAGCGGTATGCCTGCCTATGCATCGAATCTATGCGCACAGCGCTGGTACCCCCAGCCGAAGAGGCGACCATGATCTTCTCGATGATCGGTTTTGGACCGATGAATATGGATTTCTGGGCTATCAAGCTCTTGATCGACATCTTTGGCTCATACTACCCTCAAATTGTGCACACGATCCTGATCTATCAGGTACGCAGTCGTGAAAGCCTCAAACGCGATAACTGAACGTGTTCTTGGCAGCCTCCCTTCTACTTCCGACCGTTCTATGCATTCGTCGAGCCATTCTTGCCGGCTGAGATCCGCGACAAGGTTGTCTTTGTCAGCAATCCAAAAGAGCTCGACAAGTATGTGTCTCTTGACAATCTGCCGAAGTCACTTGGTGGCAATGTCGAGCGCGAGTGGGACTACCACGAGCCGAGCGAGTCAGATGAGCGCACAAAGGGCGAAGACGACGAGAAACGTCGAGCTTTCTTTGACGAGTTGGAGGAACTCAACGTTCAATTCGAGGATCTGACGCGAGCCTGGATCTACGATGGCGACGAATCTGCCCGCAAGAAGCGAGAAGGCATTCAGAAACAGCGATACGTGCGTCGAGTCCGCTCTTCATCATGTCCTATTGATCAGACAGTATCCAGGTGCTTTCTCGTCGAGGCGACGAGTGGTGGCGGGCGTCCACCTGGCTGCATCGTGAGGGCACGGTCCTGCAGTACGGAAGGACAGAATGGACGTACAATGATCGCAAGGAACGCTGGGGAACTCGCAGCGAGTTGATTCTGCAAGAGGCTAACAAACTTCTTGGCAAGGAAGCGCCAGAGACAGTTGACAAGGACGATGCTGGACTGCTGAAAGAATCGCAAGAGCACAGACCGAGCAAGTCGAAGCATTCACACTCGCGGAGGCACAAGCATGCGCACTAGTCGACACTTCGCCAGACCTTGACAGTCTTGTCCTGCAAGAGCATATATGAGCTCAGCACCCATTTTTGCGTTATACTTGCCTTGTCGAGGGCGCCTGATGCAAGCAATCTGCCGTCGCGGTGGATCTGTCCAGCAATCTTTGTTTGTGAGCCTGTTGTGCTGCGACTGTATTGTTTTGGTGCGCACAGCGATTGATGTAACCGTATCTACGGCAAACGTCAGCGCGAGGTGCGAGCGCAGGACAACAAGGACGACTTACCCGTATGCGCAACCAGCTGCCCTACTTTGGCAGTGCTGGTGACATCCCAAGACCAGATGGTGCCATCCTCGCTGCCGCAAAGAACACACTGCCGTCCGTCGGAAGCAAGGAAGAAGGTCGCTGTGCATGCGAATCTGCGTTGCGGTCAGTGACTCTTTCCAGTTTCGAGGTTGCGGACTTGCTTGGCATTGGTATGTCCTGTATAAGATTTGAGACATTTGTCGTCGTGGTAGCTCCACAGTCGGATTGTCGAATCGAGTGAGCAGGCTAAGATGACCTTGCCGTTTGGTGAGAAGCGCGCAAAGCTAGCAGGCGGATTGGTATCATCTACGAGTGTCTTGAGACACTGTCCCGTCTCAGTGTCCCAGAGGCGCAGGAATCCGTCGTGGGAGCATGTCAGGAGCAAGGAGCCATCTCGGATAAAGTCGACGGCAGAGACAGGGTCACTGTGAGCCGCGAGGGTACGCAATGCACGCGCTGCCAGCACGTCCCAGATGATGACTGTCTCGTCGAACGAGCCCGACGCCAGCAGATTGCCCTGCGGATTGTACGCGACACAGCCAATGTAGGAAGTATGTCCTGTCAAGATGGCATCGCAGAGCGCCTGCCAAGCACCGAGTCAGCTGGCCGTCTGCAGACATTCGGCGTATCAGATACAGTCTCTACAGTCCATACCCGTACCGTCGCATCGTCTGATGCCGTTGCAAGGAAGCGGCTGCACGGGGACCAGCTCAGATCGTTCAGTCCGGCGGTATGGCCGTCGCGCAGAGCGCGCAGAAAGTGGCCGGTAGAGACGTCAAAGATGAGTGCTAGACCATCGGCGCCTGGTACAATTGCGCTCAGCGGTGACTCACGCTGCGCCGAGTCAGTAGCGTACCGGCAGAGGCAAGCAGCTGTCCGGAGGGACTGAAGCTGACTGCGCAGACACCCTTTTGGTGGCCGGTGAATGTGTAGACTAGCTCAAATTGAGCGTCTCCTGCTTGAGCGAGCTTCGTCTGACGGTCCAGATCATGTGTGTCTCCAGCTTGATGGCCGTTAGTCAATGGAGGTGGCTGTACACCTTGGTGAGCGTCACCGTTTGTGGTCGTTGATTGAGGCGTCGTGGAGGCTTCATCCGGCCGCCCGTTGACTTGGACTGGCTGTATGGGATCAGGATCTACCCTGAGGCGCTTGGGCGAGCGCTCAGCACTGCTCATAGACCGAGCCAAGCTGCCCGCCAGCGGTGGCCAGTACAGTGGCTGTTGCGCGCGTCTCCTCGTTCGCTGTCGAGTACCTGGCCAGGTCTGCCAGCCCGTCGAGCGCTTCAGTCCAAGATCAGCAGCGATGGCCATCGAGATGAGCAACAGAGAGACGCAAGCGAGCAGCTCAAGCAACGCAGAGTGGATCAGGCCACTGTCAAGACCTGAAGCGATTGATGCACTCATTGCTGGCGTGGACCGCTACAATCCTTCAGTATGCTGGCTGCCCCTGCCTGCGGTCGTCGACTCGAGCTGACAGTGTGCTGACGATCAGAACTTCACCCTGCTCGAGGCATACGTGACCAGCCAAGTCAATGACAGGACTTATGACCCTCTGGCGAATTTAGCAATCCTCAAATTGTGTGTACTCAGCCATGACGTACCGCTCAACGTCTGACAGCGCAAGCAGGGTGCAATTCAATCCGGACCTCGTTCCACAAGAGGAGCCAGCGATGATCTATACGATCTTGCTCAAGGCTATCGCACATCAGCCCTTCGGCAGCGACTACGGTCTTTGCCTTGCCCTCCTTGCTGACCGCTTCGTACGTTTCAGTGTCAGCATCGACCAGACGAGCGCTGATGGCTGCGTCCAGTCTACGCTCTACTCCACGCAGGAGACCCTCGACATCTTCCGCTCGCTCAGTCATTTCTCTGCTCTCCTCAATGCGCGACAGTTCCAGCAATTCTGGTCAGAGGTGCGAACGGCAACACGGGTGTTTTTTTTCCCATCAGGCTTATTCATGCTTTTCATGTTGCAGTTGCGAGCAGCCGAGATTTCAGCCAAGCTTGCCCCCGCACTGAGCACAGTGCCAAGCATCGAAGACATCCTACGCGAGAGCATCGCGCGCTCCGTCGTGTCCGCATTCAGATCGATTTCGCTCGTCAGACTGAACAGCTGGCTCGGCTTATCTGGCGACCAGGTCACTGCGCCTCTCGAAGCTATCATCAAATCTCAAGGATGGTCGCTTGATGGCCATCTGATCCGATTGCCAACGACGCCCGAGAATGATCCAAAAGCGACACTTGTCAAGGAAGAGATGGCGCTCGAGAAGCTCTCGAAGTTGCTACGCTCGTCATAGACCCCAATGTAATCAGCATTGCATGTCCTGGGCCCTGACAACAGCAGACCGTAGCTCGTCACTCAGTCCAAGGCAGATCATCAATTGCCAACATTCCAAATCAGCGACGAATTTCACATCGTTGCAAATTGCGCCGACATGGTGCAACTCGCCAATCCTATAAATCAAGCGCACGAATGTCACTGTCGCCTGCCCGATCACTGCACTCATGACAGAGTCAGACACGCAGCTCCAGTCGAGCGGACAGTCACAAGCCGGGCTGGGCGCGGTCATCGCCCATGGAGCGCAAACCAACAAGCTCGAACCGAGCTCTGGCATCGAGCTCGAGAGCAGACCAGATGCTGGCATGCACTGTACGACCGATGAGATTCCCAAGCTCAAGGGTCTTGCCTTTCTTGATCAGCTCCTGTTCGTCTGGATCTTGCTAGCGATGGTCATTGGCATTCTCCTGGGCAATTTCGTCGACTCTGTCACCGTCGTCCTCAATCAGACTACTTTTGTTGGCGTCAGCCTGCCACTTGCCATAGGCTTGCTAGTGAGTTCACCTTGTGTACAGCCCGATGGGGCGTTGACACGGGCACACAGGTGATGATGTGGCCAATTCTCTGTCGAGTGTCTTATGGCTCGTTGACGCGAGTATTCACTACACCCAAGATCTGGTGGCACTTGCTCTTCTCGCTCGTCATCAACTGGCTCATCGCGCCCTTCGTCATGCTCGCCCTTGCCTGGGCTTTCCTACCAGATCGTGAGGCGCTGCGAAATGGTCTCATCCTCGTTGGACTTGCTCGCTGCATTGCCATGGTCATGATCTGGACGGACGTTGCACTAGGCGACACAGACTATGCTGCCGTACTCGTCGCTTTCAACTCTCTTCTACAGATGGTCTTGTACGCCCCCTTGGCAAAGTTTTTTATCATCGTTATCGGCGACGGCGATTCTGACATTGATATCAACTATGCCACTGTAGCGAAAAGCGTCGCTGTCTTTTTGGGAATTCCCTTGGCAGCTGCCATTGCGACCCGTCTCCTCTTCATCTACGTCTTCAGAGCCAAGACATTCTTTCGTACCCGGTTTCTACCCATCATCAATCCGCTCAGCTTGGTAGCGCTGCTCTTCACGATCATCATCATCTTTGCCGGTCAAGGCAAGGAGGTTGTCAGGTCGATCACTACAGTATTGCGCGTCATGGCGCCATTGATCGCCTACTTCATCGTCATGTTTTTCTTGACGCTGTTGATCTGCCGAACGGCTTTATTCCGCCAGAAGCTTGGCTGCACCTACGAGCTCACTGTTGCACATAGCTTCACTGCGGCCTCGAACAATTTCGAACTCGCCATTGCGGTCGCAGTCACTGTATACGGAGGTATCTGAGTTCTCACTCAAGGCTTCGTCATGCTGACTGTGCTTCTGTAGCCGGATCACAGCAGGCCCTAGCGACGACCGTTGGGCCCCTGGTCGAAGTCCCAGTGCTCCTCGCGTTAGCGTACGGTCTTGTGTGGTTTCGGAGAAGGTACGGCTGGGACAGCAAGGCCAGCTCAAAAGCCACACCCGTTTCAGTCCTCAAGGAAGACATCGTAGCCAAGGAAGCCAGCGAAGGTGATTTCAAGACCAGCGTCTCGCAAGTATAATTCACTTTGTTACAGTACTAGATGACAGATGCCTATTGTCGTATCAACAACTGTTCTTGTTACATAGAGAGCTCTTAAGCGTGTGTGCTCTCGCCTGCCTCTTGCGCTGCCGCCTGAACCAATAGCTTGAGCACTTCTTGTACTGCGCCCGAGCAGACCACCAGGCCCTGCGCCTCGTCTACTTTCACCAGAACATCCTTGGCTCCCAGGTTGGTTGCCTCATCACGCGAAACTTGGCCGAGCAAGGCCATCATACGACCGATGTCCGAAGGCCCGAGAACAACTTTGGTTTCGCCAGATGGAAGTGCGGCTTGTTGTCCGGATGGCAGGCTGATGGTGTGTCTCTGGTTCTCGCCGAGCATCTTCCACGCGATCTTGCACGGTATGTAGTCTGCTCTACTGTCTCGCGGTGTCTGGAAAGGTGCCGGCGTATTTTCGATGCTGCCAGGTAGAAATGTAAAGGAGGCGAGCGTATCCTGCTCTGAGGAATTGAAGAAGGCTTCCAGATCGCTGAATGAGTTGAGCACGGGGGGTGCTTCCTCTGCAGCCGCTTTGCTCAGATCGGCTGACTCCATCAAACCCTGTGATGCGATTTCAGCTCATGCGCTCGGGCTAAGTAGCAACGGCCGCACCTTGCAGAACTCCAGTTGTTCGGCCTTGTTGGGATCAGATGGATCGATTCGACAGCATTCAACAATAGCACTTTCGCTCTTGACAGACGTAGATCCGCTAGCGTGATCTTCGGACTGAGACTGGCTAGGCGTAGACTGATCTTTGATTGTCTTGAGGGGCGGTGACAGCTCGGCGGAAGCATGCCTGAAGCTCGTCTGACGGTCACCGAGCGTCACCGGACGGCTGCTCGGCAGGGTGTACTGGCCTGTCGACGTCGCTGTGCTGTAGCCATGCTGTGGCGTATAAGTCCCGAGTGGGCTGGTTGTCGGCCAGCCTGATTCGTTCGAATGAGGATAGTAACGTCCGCCGGCGTGATCGAGTGCCATGTGCTGCTGATATGCCGGATGGCGTGGAGAGTCGTAGATCGAAGGACCGTTGGAGCCTGCCAGGTGAGAGCCCGTGCTGAACGGCATCGAACGCGCTGAATGGACGTCACTGGCGGCAAACGGTTGAGAGTGTGTCTGACCCTCCCATCGGGAATGTTGTGCTGCAGCGCTGCTTTCGCTCTCTGACCGGCTGGGCAGCTGACTGTGTCCATGAGGCGAAAAAGTAGCCCCGTAAACTTCGTGTGAGTGAGCAGCAGACAGTGGCCGTGCGGCATTGACGCGCGGGACAATGTGTGACGTATGCGATGGCGTGGGCGGCATACTGATGCGCTCAAAGGTGCTGACGCGGTCGTGCATGTCTAGATTGGGTAACGGCAGCGGTGGATGGCTGCTCGAGCTCGACAGACTGGGCGGTTTGCGCTTGGAATCGAGGAAGTGATCGAGAGCGAGTGAGGGGAGTGGCCGGCCCATCATGTCATGTGCGTTCGACGGTGAGGCTTGGCTCGAGTGGGTGCCCGAGGGACCGGCCATGCCGGATGAGGATAAGCTGGCGGATGTCTTTGGGCTGTAGGACTCTATAGCGCCCGTCGGTCTCAATCGCGCCAGGGGACCATACTTGCCCTCTTCTGCCTCGTGCACGGTCTTGTCACCGGGAGGCATGCCCAGTCTGGCCCGCAAGGCGTCATTCTCTTCCTCGAGCTCCTTGACACGGTCTTGGAGGGAGTTGATGTACTCTGCTCGTCTCGCCCTGAACGCTCTCTGGATGTCTCGACTCCGCTGTCGTCATCCAATGTCATCAGTGTCGATCAGCAGTCAGGCTTGCAAGGTACTCACCGATGGTGGCAGGGTGTCATCCTGCTTACGACCTCTCTTGACGGCCATTGCTCTCGAGTCAGGCCGGCGCTCTGAAATTGTCGCTGATCCTTGTTTTGCCAATGATTTGAAGTCGAGCACGATCTCTTGATTTGCAATCTGCCACTTTGGCTTCCTCTGCTTGCCGTACAACGACGCGCTACGCTGAGTGAGTTCCGACGCAGGCCAGACGTCCGGTTCGTGGATCGAGTGCCGGGTGCCGCGAGGGTGACCGTCAACAAGCCAACCGGAAGGAATTCTCCGATGGCTCGACACACTTTTCGCGCGTGCTGACACGCTGCGATCATAACGGCCACTGGCCAAGAGGAACCTCATCACGATGCAATCACGCGGGGTCAACATGCCGTTACGGGCTTCCATGTCCACTTTGGCTCGTTGTCGTAGCCGATGAAGCCCCAGCCACTCAGATCTGCATCGCTCCAGATTTGCCAAAAGTAGCCGATCGAGTTTGCACGGAAGAAGGCACACTTGGAATCGAGGAGTGCAGCGTAGGCAGCCTCGGATGACACCGAAGCTTCGGCGTAGTCGTTGTTGGCTTTCCAGATCGAGGTGTCCGACGGCCAGCCGGTCTGTGTGAGACGGATGATCTTGCCCAGCCCTCGCTGCTGGAAATACGAGATCGTCCAGGAGAGCGAAGGCCAGGCCTGACCGCCCGTTGTGGCCGTTGCGTCAAAGAACGGCAGCGCGTTGACAGAGATTGTGTCCATGGCTGCAAATACTTGTGGCGCGTTGTCGTGGATCTGGTAGCCGTACGCCATGTCGCTCAAGGTGACTTGCATCTTGTACCGCTTGAGCGAGTTTCGGACATGCACGATCTGTGCCGCCAACTGATCCGGTGTCAGAACCCAGTCGAACAGAGGTTCTGAGCCGACAGCAATCGAGCGGATCACAAAGGGAGCGCGTGGATTAGTCTTGACGACATCGATAAGCTCGGCCATGCGGGCCTTCCACTGATCCCCGCCGTCGAACCCGAACCAGACGAGGGCGTACACGCCTATGCCAGCAGTAGCGGCAGCATCGACGATCTTGTCATAGTAGCGCGTCGTGTCGCATGTGCTGTAGATACGCACGTATCGACTGCCGAACGAGTTGCGCATCCGCGTAAAGTCGGCAAGCAGCTGGGACTGGGACGGACAGGCAGTGATGTCGTACGAGAAGCCCATGAAGGCATGCTCGCTCACTTGGGGGCACCACCACGCTGACAGATAGCTCGCCGTCGCGGTGGCATTCTTGGGGACGGGCAAGGTGTGCGACTGCAGACGATGAGGAAAGCACTTGTGGCCGATCCATTTGCCGCCCGATCCTGTGCTGTTGTTGAAGACGCCAGGCGAGGTAGCATTGGAGACCGTGGATCCTGTCTCGGGCGTGATCGTCGTCACATTGTGTACCGTCGTGATGTTGTTGGATGACGTCGTGCTCGTGATGACAGACGTCGTGTTGACGCCGTTCTGGACGTCGGTCACGGTCCGAGTGACATTGCTGATCACGTCCGTGGACGCTGTGGAAGTGACGGCATGCACTTCTGGCGCTGAAGCCGAAGCATTGCCAGTGACTGCGAATACCGCCTGCAGCCGGCCTGCGTGAGACCGGGCGACGCAAGTCGAGAATGCTAGCAAAGTGAAGATCTTCATCGTTCAGTACCAGCAGCAAAGTGGACTGTCCCTCCGAGTAACGCAACAAAGCGCACCGAAGATGCTTCACCTGCAGCACAAGCCGCTCACTTGTCGTCGTCTTCAAGGACGAAAGCTCGAGGGAGCCGGTCCGCGACGTGTCGGGTCAGTGATATTGATCGTGTAGAGAAATCAATCAACGCGACTTGTCCCCATATCCACGCATTGGATGATCGGATTGCATGTTTACGGTTTTCATAGATGTGCACATAGGTCTGCACACGTCAGGAGGCGCAGTATTCGGATAGTATGCTAAAAGAAAGTCGAAAGCCGGCGAGCGACGGGTGCACTACATAAGCGCATCGATCAGCATCCGCTCGAAACGAGCCTCCTCGGGATGGCGGCCAGATGCGTGCTCGTGTTCGTGCGAGATGTTGAAGGGTGGCTTGAGCAGTGTCGGAATGACATGAATGGCCGATGTCCAGGCAGGCACGTCGGCGGCAATGACGTACGTCTTCGCAGGCTCTGCCTCGTCGTGTTCCTCTTCGCCAGCGCCGCCAACATAGAGTCGACGAGCGATCGGGCCTTTGTTGTAAAGGAGCCGGTATTTGTAGAGATCGACCTCGAGCATGCTCGTTTCTCCGGTATTGTTAAAATTGGGCTTGAACAGCGTAGGCAGAGTAAAAGTTGTCTTCTCGACCTTGTCGGCCTCTGCCTCGAGCGATGGTCGGTCATCTTTGCCGTGAACGGTCAGGCAATCGGATGACTGGCCGAACAGTGTCGCAGCTTCGACTCGCAGCTGCTCAAAGACCTCACGAGAACCTTCGACAGGCAAGCGAGTGGGCATGACAGCAGATGTCTTTACATCTGTCAGATTGCTGATGTGATCCGAATGAAAGATGATGTGCGGCACGACTGCGTTTCTGCATGAGCATGACAACGCTCGTAGGCCGACTCAGATATACCATGGTAATACAGAGCCCGCTTGAGTAGACCCCGACCAAACGGCGAGAACAGGAAGATCTTGAGAGGCGTTGGCAGCCGTTTGAAGGCGCCATTAGTAGGTGCAAAAAGCGTGTAGCTGCTTATCGCATTGGCATACTTGTCCTTCTGCTCGTGCACAATCTCGCGAAGGATCGATTCAGCATCTTTGTTCACTTCGTCATCAGACGGCGACGGCGTAGGGCCAAGATCGCGCAGCCAGGGAGCGAGAAGCTCATCGATGCCAGTGTAGAGCTGAGCAGAGGAAAAGGCAGAGAATGCGTCTGGGAACGCCAAGGCTACACTGAGGGCGCCAAGAGGAGGCAGGAGCGGCTCATCGATGATATGTATGACGCCATTCTTTGCGTTCAGCTGGGGTCCGACAATCGCAGCGTAGAAGTTCACGCGCACAGTCGGCTTGAGGAATTTGAGAGTTGGCTCCGTCCTGAGACGAAAGTGTGGATTCTCTTCGTCCTTGCCAAAACGAGGCGGCTCGAGAATGGTCTCAATCGTTGCAGAATCTGCTAGCTCAGAGGTAGAGTATGTCTTGGGTGCGACGTGATACTTCAGGATGTAAGTAGCGATCTTGCGCAGCTTCTCCTTGCGCTTCTCCTTGTCTTCGTCATCGTCTGCCGATAAACCGGTCTGTTCGCTTGCGGCCTGTGACAAGAGGTCGTCGAATGCAAAGAACGGATGATCGCGATCGACGGTCATTGCGATCTCATCTTCGCCTCTACCATGCTTGCCATGGTGGCCATGACGCCGATGAGGCGGGCCATGGTCCCCGCGGCGATGCGGAGGCGTGAGCGCACGATCATCCGGGGCAAAGAGCGTCAAGGTGGCCGATGTATCATTGAGTGCGTCCTGTATGGCAGGAATCTTATTGATGACATAGGCGAGCTTCTTGAGGTGTCCTGAGCATGATGTACTGCTCAGTCCCCGAGATCATCTGCTGCGGAGACAAGGACCTACCATGTCCCTCGTGCGAAAGGGAGTAGTTCAGGATCTCGGCGATGGTGTATTTTGTCAGATCGACTACTGGCGGTGGTCCGCGGTTGAAGCCAGTGTGTCTAGCGTCATCGACACGGATGATGTCGCTCAACTTCTCGCGGATACCGCTGAGCTTATTCGACAGATCAAAGCTGAATTGATGAGTCTCAGCCGTGCCTTCGTTAAGTGTGTAGGAAGGTGCAGCCAGTGCGCAAGCTGCCACCGTGAATAGCAGCACTGTCTTAGTCAACATCTTGCCCAGTCGTCGACAACGTCAAAGCAAGAGTCACGCAGCTATTGCTGACTCCGGGCGATTGCGCAGCGCGCAGCATCGTAATCTGATGACGCGGTGATCGATATCGATGCGCGTAACATGTTGCATCATGATCATAGCTGTAGATCTCTCCTCGGAAGCCTCGAATTGCACAAAGCCTGCTGGCAGCTCTGTCAGCTGTACGTAGGACGCAAAAATGTACATAGCACACGAGGCTTCCACGATATACAGATGTGTATGTCTCTTATGCTCATATGTATTTAAAGTCTTTCGTAATCGTTCGTCATCAGTCGTTGAGTATTGCCTTCTGCTGTCACAATACGAGGCCCGTACGCATCAGAACTCGCTTGCCTCAAAAGGTGGCCAACGTCAAAGAGGGTAGGTACAAAGTGACGTGATCTGGCCAGGGTTGAAGTTACATAGAGATGCGAATCATTCCAACCCATATTTGCTCGCTACGAACGATCGGCAAGACCTGATCAACATCATGCGTCAGCCTTTCCCTTCCCCCGCCGCCAAGTCGACCACGTAATTTCATCCGTCAAGGCAGAAGCATGAACAGCTTCGCCTCTCGATGTTCCCCACAACAGTCAGAACTCTACCACAACTAATCGCACGGAGCTCGACCCCATCATATCACAATCGAGAAGAAATATCGACTCGACGTCACGCGGACGTATTGTGACTCCCTGCAGTATGGCAACGATCCACGCCCACCCATGAAACGCCGTTGAACGTAGCAAGAGAGTTCACCCGAAACGACATCTGTCAGAATCATGCGAAACCTCAGCCCGTGGTTCCCGTTGCTACCAGTGGTAACCGCTGCTATAGTTTTGTTCCCGGCGCCATCGATGTCGGTCACCTGAAAGCGCAAGTCTGTGCTTCAATCGCATCTGTCAGAATACATTGCATTTCACGTGGGACAAGCCTCAGCCAAGTCTGCCGTAGCGAGTGTCGTCAGTCGCGTAACTCAAGCACTTTAGCATCGATGCAGTCATCACTGACGGTGCCATCGCGGCCAGGAAACGATTCGGTCCGCCCATCGGCTCGTCGACGCTGTCTGGCCAGCTTCATTCTGCTGTCGATGCAGCTGTAATGCCTGTTCTCAGTTATGTGACGGCTCGAATCCATCAGCTCGGCAAGCGCACCAAAGGCACGGAGTGATCAGCGACCCAGCGTGCATCCTGTGTATCCGTGTGGCACCTTCTGCGCAAATGCTCATTCCCATTACCGACAACAACAACAAGTGAGATCGCTTCGTCCGATTGCGGGTCTACGACGAAGATGACAAGCGACACGGAAGAGCTTCTGAGCAAATGACGTGGCAATTCCTGTTTCCTGATTTTGCATCCCCTGTACTGCCCAGCTCGCGACTGTATTCAAATGGCGCAGAGAAGCTCCCATCAGAGCTGAACAGGCTTGCACTTCTTGCGTTTTCGCTTAGCTGAACGCTTGTCGGTCGTATGTGGCGTCGAGGCGTGCTCCTCTTGAGAGTCTGACGTTTGGCTCGGTTCTGTCTGCTCTGCCCGTTTGACCGGCTTGGTTGTGTCGAGCTGAGCAGACACTGCTACTGGACCGCCATGCCGAGCTGCACGACGTTGTGCTCGAGCTAGTCTGCGGGCTTTGCGAGCCTTGCGACGGGCTCGGCGCTCGTCTGCTGTCTCTGCCGCGATGGGGACAGGTGACAGTGCCCCTTGCGGCGCGGCTGAAGGTGAAGGAGCGGTGGAAGGAGAGGCAGAGTTGTCGCTAGCCTCGTGGCTGCCCGTCAGAGTTGCGCCGCGAGAGAAGCGCGAATAGAGATGGGCTTTGGCGCCTGCGCGTTTGGCTTGGGCGATGACGTCTAGCTGGACAGAGGCAGAGGGGATCGAAGTCCCAGCAGTGCTGAGTCCGCTGTGCGAAGTCGCTGGCGCTGGCAAGGGTGATATGAGGCCAGTGACGGTGGTATGCCGTCGTGCATTCTGCGTACGCCGTTTGGTAAGCTCTGCAGCAGGTCAATGTCGGCGGCCACGCACAGACTGAGGCGACACTGCCCCTGCTGAGACGGCTGGCTTGCTAGGAATCTTCTTGGCCACGTTCGCAAAGACATCGTCCCACCAGGGATAGGCCTCGTCTCTGTCCTTGCCTAAGCCAGACTGATCCTTCTTCTTGATGAGCGTGATCGGCTTGGCTCGTGATCCCGCTTGCAAGCCTTGCCCGGCACCCTGCCACCCCTGGGCTTGCAGATAGCCTGCCGGACTGAAGGACATGCATGCGCCTGCCCGTAACAGTAGCTGCGAACGAAGGGATCGATCTCTGGCCGACTCGCAGCTTGCAGGAAGGAGAGATTCGCCACATTTTGCGCGGCTGCTGGTGGTGGATGCACGCCAGCAGAGTCTCTGGCGGCAAGACGATGGCTGTTCCCTCCCCGGATGTGGCCGTACACCGACTGCATCTCCAGGGCTATCCTTCAGAGATCAGCTCGGACGATCTCCTCCGACGGTTCTCCGGCTACGGCAGCCCAATCTCACTCGAGGGACATGCTTCTTTGGACGCTGTCGGTCCGTCCATGCAAAGACAGCTGGCGCATGGGCCTGATATCTGACTGCAGGCAATCAGCGCAAGTACTGTTTCCTGAGCTTGCAGACCACTTCCGCTCAGCTCGCTCGATGCATGAACACGCTTTCCGGCACGACTTGGGCTGGCAGCAAGCTCAGAATCGCTCTTGCTCGCGCAGACTATCGAGCCAGACTGGCGCAGGAGCGTACACTGTCTGTGTCCCATGACCGATCAGGGGAGGCGCATCTGCAGTCGGGCCAATCACACTCTCAGAGGAGCGAGCTCAAACGTGTCAATCGCAAAAAGGGCAGGCACCGTCACCTTCCCGGGGTCGAGGCTGTCAAGTCCGACTCCTCCGAGCTCGTGACCATCAGGAACGCAGCGGGCAGACTCGGCTGGCGTATCGCGAATCCTCCATCGCATTTTGAGAGCGCGGGCGAACAGAGAAGCAAGCTCGCCAAGCCTGCCGGCGTACCGACACCCATCTTTGCTCTCGTTGCTCGTCCGGACCGTCCACTGCCGCCCCTGCCGTCCAAGAGCAAGCCATCCACTGCGAGAGGCAAGGCGGTAGGCACCAAAGATCCGAGGCCTGTAACCCGTGCATATAGACAAAAGATTGATCCTCTCAAATGGCAACGCGCCCATCTACGAGGCACTCGCGCAATGACCACCCAAGCCCCGACTCCGAACATTGCATCCCTCAAGGCGCTCGAGTCGTCACAGGACTATCATTTCGAAACGGACGGCGCTCAAGACGTGGGCAGATGGGTGAGGCGCGATGCATCGGGCGCAGTCCTGCGTGAAGAGACGGTAAAGCTGACGCAGAGGACGAGGATACCCTTCATGCGCATATCCGAAGACGAAAGCTGGTCGGATGACTCGTCGTCGAACTCGGATGCCGGCGCGACTGACTTATCGACGCCGTCAGACTCACACGTGTTTATCGCAAGCAAATCCTCCTCCTGCCTCAATCCTGGCAGCACTGCTTCGAGGATCTCATCGACAGCATCAGCTGCGGAAGCCCTTGCAAGGCCAGCTGAAGATGCTAGCTCTGCCTCTTCAGCAAGGTCCGCTGAATCAAACGCATCTATGAGCACGTCTGCCGATAACGGTGCATCATCGCCCACGACCATGGAAGATGTCACGGCGGCACGATCGACGGAGCAGGCCACGGAAACTCGAGATAGCGGTGAGGCCAGCGATGATGGATCTGCCGATGAAGCAGACGGGTCAGGCCAGGATGCCAGCTCCCCATCTGACGACGATGATAATGACGAAAATGTCAGCGACGAAGAGGACGAGGACAACGACGACGAGGAAGAGGAAGAGGAAGAGGAAGAGGAAGAAGAAGAGGAAGAGGAAGAGGAAGAGGAAGAGGAAGAGGAAGAGGAAGACGAAGGCGCAGAGCAGCGTGGCAAGTCTGAGGCAGCCAAAAATGTACGCGAGGTTGGCGCAAAATCCAAGACGACTGTTGGCTTGTCTACCTTGACAGACATTTTCAAGGCGAAGGACAGATTGCCAGAAGGTGCGCCAGAATCACGCATCCTTGCGATGGAAGCTGATGCCTCGCGACGCGCAGAGACCTTCACCTTGGCCGACGGGTTAGATGATCATGAGCTAGAAGAGTTGCCAGAGCAGCAATCCCTTGCCTTTTCTGCGCCAATACAGTCTCCTGAGCGTATCCTTGCGCCTCTTCCTGCGCGAAGAATCACGGCCCAGGCGAAAGCTGTCTTTGACGCCGAAGGACCACTCTTCTTTCCTTACCCGTTCGACGCCGAAGACGCACGGTCAACGTTAATAACTGAGGAACACAAGCAAAAGCTGATCAGCCGTAGTTGGCTTGATACTGGTTCGAACGAGCCAGAGTTCAAGCGATTCCGGACGATTGGAACGCCGTGCGTGTCCGTGCTTTGTGCCTATGCTAACTGATGCGATGTGCTGCAGAGCCGAGATAGCGGAGAGGCACGTTGCTCTGCGCAAGGTACTGAACGAGCAGATCCGTCGCCGCCACAAGGAAGGCGTCCGCAAGGATAAGCGCAATTATGGGCATGTTCGAGACATGGACTCGGAGATATGATTACCGACTGCTGCAGCAAAGTCTACAACATGTACATTCCTCTGTTGTCGTCATAACGAGCATCTTAAAGGACCATCATCTCGTCTTGAGCGGCAGCATTGGGCTCCTCGGGCTCATTCTCATCCTCTTCTGTGCTAACGTCGGCAGAGTCGATGCCGTCCTCGGCTAGTGGCTCGGCTCTGTCTAAAGCGGGCAAGGGCTCGTCCCTTGCGGGCGCACCCAACTCTGGCGTGCGCGTGCCGATCTCCTGCGCGCTCGTCTGCGACGTGCTTACTGGCGTGTTGGCAGATTCTGGCTCGCTCCTCGAAGACTCTGTTGGATTGGCAGCGTTACGGGCTGCGATCTCAGCTGCGATCCGTCTGGCGTCCTCGGCTGCTCTGATCTGGCTCACTAACCTGTCACGGCGGTCGAGGAGCTTACGGCGACGCGCTTCGACTTCTGGTGACAGAGTCGAGACAAAGAGCACGAAGAAGATCTTGAGTGAGAGCAAGAAGCGGGCAAGAGAGCGCTGCTTGGCTTCGGTCGAATTGGCAGGTGGCGGAGGAGGCCGAAGCTGCGCCAGAGCGGTCATTGAAGTACTGCCTTGTACGATGCCAATCTCGCGCGATTCCTGGCCAAGCCCGACAGAGGCCGCCAAATGGATCCAGTACTTTGGACGCAATGGTGAGCGCCGGTGGGAGCGATGCTGGCGATGTGGATCGTTCGCCGCTCGCGCGATCCGACGCAGTGCGCGGGCATCGTCGGCGGCACGACCGGCAGCCGGATTGACCTGTACCTCTCGAGGCTCAGCGGGTGGGGGCGCGCCTTGATCGTTGGCATCATTCTGCGGAACTGCGGCACCGTTCGGCGCGGCACCAGGAGCCGCGCGAGCATTTACACCTCTTTGCAGATCTCGAACGGCGTTATTGAGTCTACGGGCACGAGCGCGGGCTTCTTCCGTACGTCTGCGGCGGCGTATCGATAGACCCTCCCAGATGATCCAAGCGACGGCGAGCAAGCCCATGACTACACGCTTCGCCACCGAAGCATGGCGACCGAAGATGTAGAGCAGGACGGAGATCTTGAGCGTCAAAAAGAATAGCGGGACGAGCGTCCTGCCGAGCTCGTCCAAATTGATGATGACCGCGACTCCTGCGCCGTTCTGACCTGCTCTTCCAATGCCCGCGTCGACATTGATGATCCTTGCATTCTGACGCTCTAGACGGGGCTGTCCCATTGGCGGCATGGGAGGTCTTGCAGCTACATCAGCCATATTGACAGGCCCGCCTTGTCCGTTGAAGCGAGCATTTGCACCAACAGATGCGTGAAGTCCTCTTGAGTATGTTATTGGGGTGGCGGTCCTGCTGGCTGCCGACAGCTTGATCATGCCGATCATATGATCAAGGTAGCCTCGATAGACATGATCTCTCGCAAGCCTGCTTGCAGCAGCATGACCTTGTGAAGACGGCCTCTCATTATTATAATCGGGCGGCAGCTGCAACAAGAAGGGCATGCCGCCAATATGCACCACTTCGTAGCCCGCATTGGAGCTTGCGGCACGAGCACCACGCTCGAGTTCTGTCACCGAGGTAGCCATACCGATGGCGATGACGGACTCCAGAAAGGATATGTCCTTGTCGATGAAGAGCTGGAGGCCCGTCCCGTCGAAAAGCGCCGAGACGCTTCGTTCGAGAGCCTCGTCCCGTTCATGATCGCAGCGTGATGCGGTACGATCGCTCTCTGCATCGGCAAGACCCGTCTTGACTTGCTGGGCATAGTAGTTCTTGGCATTACTGAGCATTTCAAGCAGCTGGGCTTGCTCTCGCAATGTCAGCTGTTGCATGAAGAGACCGAACATGCGTGGCTGTTGCAGCTGGGACGCGGAACTATCAGCGCTGGTGAGATAGGGTGCGCCGAGCGAGGCTGGGCCGGTCAGACCGGCGGCCAAAGCAGCCATTGGCGATGTCGTGGCTGTAGCCTCGGGTGCGCGTGCCATGGCGGGCGCTGCTGGTGTTGTGGCCGGTGGATCCACGGCAGGGACATCTGAGGACGCTCTTGCGTGTTCGCTACGCGCGACTGGCGTCGGCAGTGTCTCTGTGTATGCGGCCGGCTTGACGTAGGCAAGGATGTAGTGTATCGTCTTGCGCTGAGCCTGATCACAGGAGCGCATCCACGTCATCAGCTTATGCGCTCAATGTATTCGTGCAGGACGCACCTCGTCGCCTTGTATGAAGACCTGTTCGAGCGTTTCCGAGTCGCTGAGGAGTCTGCCTCGCCAGAAGAGCTTGATGCCATCTGCTTTGGGCTTGCCAGGCCATTCGATCAAGGCTGACTGCTTGAGCTGAGCGATAGTAGCCGAAGCTGGCAAGCGTTGCTTGATGAGAGCCTGGCTGTCCGAAGGCTCGATGATCAGGCTCAACTGGCCATCGTCCTCTGCTGACGACGAGGATGGGCCCATCGACCTGGTAACGAGCTCAGGCGGTGCTTCATCTGCTGGCATGCTCGAGTTGACTGAGCCAATGGCCGGCTCGGCAGAGCCTCTGTCCGAGGTAGACGAGCCTCCTGGCACGGCTACCGGCGTCTGGTCGGCCATGACAGGCGTAGCGTGACCGGTGACCGGTGACGAGGTCGACGAGGCTCGGTCTCAATCAGCGCGTCGGCACCTCCTCGTCGTCATCACCTCGCGAACCCGGAGGCACTCACGCCCATGTGACCCTCTTCAGCCTGTCCCGTCCCTGCCCTGGATCCTAGCTTGCCCATACATGGAGACTTTGACATTTGCATGCACTGTCCTCGGTCACTGACCGACCACATCAGAAATGAGACACCACCGAGGCCAAGACGAAGGCAGGCCGATGCCGTCATGCCCTCGAGCGCGTCAGGCTCGCCTGAGACTGTCACGACAGACTTCTTGCGAGCCTGTCCGTATCGTACGAGATGCTCAAGCCTGTGCTCAGCTTCCTGCCCACTCGATACGATACAGTCGGCAATTTTGCAAGGGAGGATGCCATTCTTCTGCAGGCAGATAGCCTCTCGCCGCTCTCCCCACGGGAGCTCGCTCTCGTGCAGCATATCTACGTCTTCATGAGTGTGACAGCCTATGCGATACTGATCTGGGACTGGATCGCCTGTCTGCCCCTCGAGTCAAAGCACTTTTGGCAATCACGATCACCAGAGACGACAGATCGCAAATCTCGTCACTCTCAGGTCACACTCGCCGGCCAAGTTCCTATGAGTAGCAAGATCAATCGTTACATCTTTCTCTCCGCAAGGTGACTTTGCCATACGTCGACCAACCGTAGCTTCACTGAGCCTACCGTCTTAGGTATGGCGCACTTGCGCTAGCTAGCTTCATTATCGCTATCTGGGCAAGCCTCTTCTGGTCCGATACTGCATGCTCGATGGTTCAGTACTGGTACTTTGGGTACGTCTGCAATGCCTCGTCTTGAGAGTTCCTGTCTCATAACGAAGCAGCTTCGCTCTTGTTGGCCTGGCCACGCACACTGTCATGGCACTCAGACTCTATGCCATTTACGGCAGAGCTCGCTGGCTGCTTGCTACGTCTACGGTCATGACCGCCGTAGACTTTGCGGCAGAGCTCGTCGCGGGTCTCTACTTGCGTCGTACGCAGTCTCCATCGGTTTTGACTGGATGGACTCACTTCATCTCATTGCTGCAGCCATACTGCTCGAGCAGAGCGAGCGATCAGTCTGTATCCCCTATCCAACCTCGAGTATCTTTCTGCTAGCATTTATTGCGCCGACTATACTACACCACACACATCTCGTCCTCATCGCTTGGCGTGCGTTCACCCACTTCCATCACACAGAAACGCTAGGCATCTCCGCCGGTCGAAGACTCATGCAATCCATCAGACAGCATGCCATTGTGCTCACGTTGGCCATTTGTCTCGTCAATTTTGCTAACCTCGTTCTTTGCGCACAACCCAATCCGTTCGCCTATAAATTAGTGTGTTGCTTCATAGTCTTAGTCACCCTACCTGAATATCTGCAGGTCAATCTCCTGCCATCAATGTGCCTGACTCAAGTGCTGCTGTCCCGCATTGTCTTCTCGCTCAAGTCATCGTCATCGGAGACCAGACGGACGACGACCTCATCTCTACTGGCTGCTTCCCTGTCATCAGCATCATACGGCGAAGTCAGTAGCGAGAAGGCTTCGTCGCCTACAAAGCCATCTCGTGAGCGCTCATATCGCATCGAACAATTCATCACACGGAAGCGTATAGAGGTATATCAGCAAGGCGATGGTGCAGCCTCTTTAGAGAGCGATCGGCCTACATTGTACATCTCTCAACCCATGCACTCTGCAGCGCCGGGACCGACTTCTTCCGCGCGAGCCAGAGCTAATTCTATCTCGACAAGCCAATCTTCGTTCATATCTACACGCTTGGGCGAGGGCATGCACTTCCAAACCGAGCAGCAATTCGGCAGAAGCTCTATGACTGTCTGTCCGCCTGGCGATTCAGCGGGGATGCTCTGTGCGCGACCCATCTCGACCTATGACACGTTCGGCCCCGCAGACTCGATCTACGCGACTGGTTCAGACGGCTCCTCGCTAGTACGCATTCGCCCGATGACTTTCGACTCAATCAATTTTGCCGCCTTCGACGCCTGCACCATTGATGATCCCAATGCAAGCGAACCTGGTCTACAAGCGTGCAACAGCGCTCTCAATATCAGCTCCACTGCTGCCAGCAAGCCTACGCAGCTCAGTGAACCTCATCTCGATGACGAGCACGGTCGCAAAGCGCAATTGCATCAGCTTTGGAATGAGATGCGCGGCATGCATCCCAGACCCTCGATCGAATGTGAGTCCGGTCGGCCCGTTCAGGTTTCGAACACGACGCGCTCTCGAACATCAACGCCTCTGTCGCCTTCTGTAGACTCAGAAAGCGACAATGTCGCTCGAGTCAATAGCTTGACGAACAGCATTAAACAGCTCGTTCTGCGTAGGGCTGAATCATCAAACACTTATACGACAGCGCGGCCCACAGTAATGTGATGTTCTGCAAAGTGTGTTACAAGAAAGAGTGGACGGCACATAGTATCTTGAGGCTCGCTTGGATAACTACGGGCACTGAGCTAGCAGGTCAAAGTCGTGCTCAATCGAAATTGCGTGCGTTGGCTGAGGGTGCACCAGACCGTTGGCGTATTGGCCGCGTTCTTCCGCAGAACTAGACTGAAGTGGCAGCGGTGAGGGAGACGAACTCAATTTGGTCATGTCCAGAAATGCGAGACTGTCCGAATGAGCAGGTGACAAGAGGCCGCATGGAGAGCTGCAGGTGCTAGCATTCGCGCTGGAAATGCCGAAGCTGCTAAACGCCGAATATGTCGCGGGATCAAGAGACAGCACAGAGGGGTTGCGGCTCATATCGAGAGCGTTATTTGCTGGTGAGCCAGTGTAAGATGAGTGCGCTTGACTGATGTAGCCGTCCGGAGGAGCGCGAAAGCCAGTGTCAGTGACGAAAATCGGTATACTGTCTGGCTCGCTGTCGTTGTTGGAAGCTTGCAGGGTGGTGAGCAGATCAGGCACTGTATAATGGTCTGTAAGCTGCTGGCAAAGTATTAGAAGCATGACTTACGGGATCCAGGAAATTGCTGTTGGAGGAGCATATGCATTCCACCACATAGATCGAGTAGGATTGCCTCTCGGCGTCTCGTCTCGGCGATTTCTTTGTAGAGCGCATCGTAGCCTTCTTGAAGCTGCTTGAGCCGCCATTCTTGCTTCTGCTGCGTTTTGTGAAGCAGTTCTGGCGATGTCTCAACGCCACGACGAGTGCTCAAGTTGCGATTTGTATTGGGCGTGCTCAGTGAACGCTTGAGCTGCCCTTTTCTCGCAGCAGTCTCTGAGCGTTGTGACGACATTGACGGCGGATGACCGTTGCCGAGATGACGTTGCGTGTTGCGGCTCGCATGTTGACTGGAATTTGCAGACTGTGGTGTGGGAGGGAAGAATGAGGTCTGCTGTGGCATTGGCGTGATGCTTGATGAAGGACCCTCCTCGCATGATGGCGACGTGTTTTCTCGGCTTGGCGAGCTCTCTGGGCCTTTGCGCTTGATTTGATCCAGCAGGTCGATACGACCGCGTCTGAAGTCGGGGTGGGCGAACTCCCATGCCTGGAGCTCTAGTGATCCGCGATGACCGCGAGGTGTCTTGTTCGTCTTTGACCAACCATACATATTGAGCTGCCGAACAAAACTCGAGAAGTTACTGCACGGATAGCTCAGCTACGAGCAGCAGGCTATACTAGATCGGCTGACCTGTGCTTAAAATGTCGGGGCAAGACCAGCTTGCTGAACTCGGGGACACAAGTCACGACGAAGGTGTTGCCTTCTTCATTCCAGCAGATCAGATGCTCGTAGCAAGTGTCGAGAAGCATCCTGTTCTCAATATCAGCCACTATGGTACTATACTGCAGCTAAACGCACTGATAGACCTTGTAGACGAACGCACTCGTGCCGGACGAAGGTACTTTGCCATTGATGATCATCAGCGCTTCGAAGCCTCGATCTTGTTCACCTTCACCGAAGGCGTCGTTCAGCTCGATGGGAGTATCGAGCAAGCCAGTACGGATGGAGTCGGACATGCAAGCATCTGAAAGACGTCGGCCAGCCGTCGAAGGTGTATGGAGCATGTCAAGTGCTACAGTCTGACTTGTCATACTATCGAGGACATCCTCTAATTTTGACGAGTCGGCGAGATCCTGTTTGAGAGTGCTGTTGGTAGACAGGTGCCATATTGCGTTGTCCAAGTCGAGCGATGCTTGGGCGAGTGAGGTCTCCCCGTGAGCATGTTGCTGCCTGCTCGTCGATATCTTGAGTGCAACAGGAGGCGCGAGTGCGCCCGCCGTGCCAAAGGATCGCTTGAGCCTCTGCTTCGCTGCCCTATCGAGGGTGGGAGAATCGAGGAGACTGCCACTGCTGCCGGCCCGGTGACGAGGGCGGCGCTGGACTGAGCGCGGGCTTGCAAAGGCACTTGCGCGCTCGAGCGAGAAATGACTGTCGCTCTCTGGACTGACGACAGTGTCCGATCGCGCTTGCTTGCACAGCATGCGTTCCTCCAGGTCGATAGGACTGTAGCCCGTGTACCGCGGCGGGGTCCGGGGTGAGCTCGCTGAGGAGGACATGCTCATTTTGTGTGCGAGCGTGTGCTTATGAGCAGCCTGTGGAGCGCTGCTGATATAGCTACCCGATGACGACTGTGAGCACCTTCTAGTGTGTGATGAGCAAGATCCGCACTGACCTGTGGCGCTCAGTACTCAGGCTGCGTACGCAAGCGAGCAGTCGATGAGGTGCAGGCGTACGAGCTAGTGGGACTTGCTGTGCTCTGTGTAGCCACACTCGGCAGAGAGCGATACAGATTCAAAGATCGAGTACCGGTGGGAGGCTTTGGCGAGTGCGACGTGGTGCTGGCGCAGCTGAGCCTGGAGGTGTTGCGCGGCGCCTGTATGCGTGCGTGAGTTGAGGCCCTCTCTGTGATCGCGCTCAGGCCTTGCGATGATGGAGCAATCACAATCTGGCCGGATGTCGGTATGGTGCAGTTTTGCGCAGTCGGAGCATCTCAGCAATGTTCACGAGCAAAAGATAGCAAAGTGCCTTTGATGGGCCCACAAAAGGCGTCTCGCGTGTCTCTTTTTGTGAATACCAGTCCCTGAGCCATAGCGCTGGTAGTTCCCGAGAATGTGATCGCTCTGCGTTTTGTAGCGTGAACAGATTGGTCAGGATCACACCCGCTGGTACCGTCAGATCATCATGATCGTCAGAGGTCGATCATTCTTTTTTGTGCGCGTAGGGCGTCTGTCATCATCTGGCTGGCCCTGCTCGTGATCAAGCATTGTCTATCCCATGACGTCGGCAGAGGATGCGCGGCAAGTCAAGGAGACTACGGACGCCCTGCTCAAGGATGCCTACGCCGCCAACTACGACAAGGTGATCGCGCTCAAAGAAGAGCTTGCCAAAGGCCATCTTGAGTCCTGTACGAGTTCCGCCTCTTCGACTTCGCTCGCTCTGACAGATCTTTCGCAGACAAGGCCAAAGTGAAGGCGCAGCTGCCCGCTTACAAGCAGCGCATAGCCCTCACCGAATCCATACCTAAATTCTGGCTCACAACGGTTCGTCTGCGCGACAGCGAGTCAGGTTGTGCTGTGATCTGAGCACGCGCAGGACAGCTTGACAATACGCCTACTTTTGCCTCGGTCATCGATGGTGGCGATAGAGACGCGCTCGGTAGGATCACCGATATCTGGATTGACTATGGCGCAGACCCGCGAGAGTACGATGTTACCTTTGTCTGTCGTCGTTTCGCCTCCCACAGTCTGCCGCACTGACAGTACACGCACGCAGACCTTCGCCCCCAGAAACCCGTACTTCAAGCAGAGCAAGCTTACAAAGTCATTCAAGATTGACCGCGAAGCCGCGAAAGCGGCAGGCGTGGGCGATTACGAGCTTGAGATCCCTCTCAAGACGACGGCGGTATCGATAGACTGGAGCGACGATAAGCATAATCTGGTAGCGAAACGACCGGCGCCATCTGTTCCGTCCAACGGTCATAGCGACGATCTGACTGATGACTATGGCAGCTTCTTCAACTGGTTCACTCAGGACACAGACGTCGAGCAGCTTGGCGATTCGCTCGTTCAGATGTGGGAGAACGCTCTGGACTGCTTTGCCGGTCTGAACAATGACATGGGCTACGACACCTCGGACGACGACGATGACGACGAAGGAGACGACGAGGGCGAGATTGACATCGAGGACAGTGAGGACGAGGAAACAAAGAGAGCCAAAAAACGAGCCAGACAGTCTCGCAGATAGCTGTAGATCAGACATGCGCACGCGTGCTGAAAACGATGCAATACGCGTGTGTTTGGAATTGCTACAGTGCAGTGTTCCCTGTGCGCGAACGCGACTCTACTACGACGGAGGGATCTTCTTCAGAACTCGGGCAGGTATGCCGCCTGCCAAACTCCAATCGGGGATGTCCTTCGTGACCTGCTCGGTAGATCAGCAGCTGTGTGCCGTAAAAGGTCACAGCCGTACCACCGCGCCTGCAGCGATAGTGCAGCCTTTGCCAATCTTCACGGGTCCAATGATGCGCACCCCTCCGCCGACCCATGTCTCGTCTCCAATCTCGACAGGATAGGCACGCTCGAGCCCTGCACGACGCTCGGCAACATCCAGAGCATGTGTCGCAGCATATATTTGAACGTCCGGTGCGAAGAGGACCCCGTCGCCCAGCGTGACCTGCGCCACGCGTCAGGCGCAAGGCCGGGGCAGTCTAAACGACATACCTGAGCGCAGTCGAGTATGATGCAGCCAAAGTTGCAGTAGAAGCTTCCTGAACATTCACATCATCTCATGAGCGTTTTGGGGCACAGCCATTGCCATGAGCATACCCTTGAAAGTGATATTATTGCCCTATGACGTGTTAAGCTAGTATGAGCTCTGCTGCAGTCAGTCAAGCTCGCAGGACGACATACAAAGTCGCAGTAGAAGGGTGGCTCGATGTAGATATTCTGAGACTTGATCTTGTCGACGGTTAGGCCGAAGAGGTCTGCAAGGATCTGCATGCGCGAGTCGGGTCCATTGGCGGGCATGCCGGCCTTGAGCTCTTCTACTGACGGCCAGGGGGCTTCATTGTAAGCTCGCTGGAGATGTCTCGCACGAAGGCGTTCTGATACGAGGGAGAAGTCGCCCATGGCATCATAAGGCAAGCCTGCGAGCCGTTTGTGAAGCTCTCAGAAATGCCGAATTCAGTCGCGAGCGTGGACCTGCCTTGCATCATCTTCTGGCGCTCGCTGAGAGCTGCCAGTGAAGCGTCGTCATCTCGCACAGGTGTATCGTGTAGAATGGAAGCCATAAGGATGAAGCTGCTGCTGCTAGAGCTCCAAACGGCCGCGGCCGTCTGCGTTGTCGACGTGGCCAGCGACGTGACGCGCGTCCTTATCGACGTGTCACAGATGCAGCTCGCAGACCATAATATAAGCAAGATGGACAAGTATGTGGCACCTAGGTCATGAAGCTATCCGACAATGCTGATACACTGGCATGGCATAGGAAGCAGCGACTGGTGTACTCCATCCTCGACTTCCTCGGCACATCGCTCGACGATGGGTCCATCAAGGATGACGACAGGGAGGGGATCGAGGTAGCCAGTCAGTCCATGGCCGCTCACGCCACCATTCCAGTAAGGCTCACCACTCCTGACAGTGCAATGCATCGGTGAAGCCTTCTCTGTTGACCCGAGCGACGCTGCGCAAGAGGCAAAGTACTCGATCAAGCCTGCCAGTCTCCTCCAGGTGCTCGAGATCTACACGAGGCAGCTCGATAAGACAAAGGGCTCTGCGGCATCGTCAGGTGCCACGTCCACGTCTGGGTCTGCTACCGCTGCCGCCTCTGCGGCACCGGCCAGTACACCTGCCAGCAAGGCGCCCGTCGTCGACAAGGCGAAAGCAGACGAGCTCAAGACGAAGGGCAATCAAGCTATGGCTCAGAAGCAGTACGATCAGGCCATCATTGCTTACTCTGATGCTATCAACATCGATGGTACGAACCCGGTGTACTATTCGAACAGGTAGATCGTCATTCACGATGCCAGGCCCACACGAGCGCTGACAGGTCGATGCCTTCTAGAGCAGCGGCGTACTCGAACAAGAGCATGTTCGACGAAGCCATCGAGGATGCAACAAAGGCGAGCACGCTGGATCCCACTTTCTCGAAAGCCTACTCCCGTCTTGGGTACGCTTGCAGCCAATGAACTCGGTGTCAGCTGACAAAGAGACGCGTCAGTCACGCTCTCTATTCCTCTGGTCGATTTGCCGAGGCAGTGGAGGCCTACGAAAGCGGCCTCAAGCTCGATCCTAGCGTGCGTGTAGTCTGCTCAGTTAAATTCCCTCAGAACTTACATGGACGTGCGCTAGAATGCAACAATGGCGAACAGTCTGCAAGTCGCAAAAAGCAAAGTTGCTAGCGAGCCTGCAGGCTATGCACAAGAAGATGAGGATGACATCTCAGCGACTGCTCCCGCTGCCCGAGCTGGCGCGCCAAATGGTATGCCTGACCTGAGCGCCCTGCTCGGTGGCATGGGTGGCGGCGGAGGCATGCCGGATATTGCCAGCATGATGCAAAACCCGATGATGGCGCAAATGTGCCGACCCTGCTCATTCTCCCCACGCAACAGAAGCTCATGTCCATCTCACGCAGGGCCCAACGGATGATGTCTGATCCGGCAGCACTGCAGAACCTCATGAGCAATCCCATGATTGCCAACATGGTAAGCTCGGCTGGACGACAGCGAGCCCATCGCTGATGCATCGCAAATTGCACAGGCACGACAATTTGGCGGCGGTGGCGGCAGCGGGGGTGCGCCTGGGGGCGGCATGCCTGACATGGCAGCCATGATGAACGATCCCACTATTCGCCGGATGGCAGAGCAGTTCGGCAGAGGAGCTGGCCGCGGCGCGGGCGGTGGTTCGGCCGGCAGTAGTAATTCAGACAACATGTACTCGTGAGCGTTTTGCAAGAGCGTCGAATCTATTTGGCCGTGAAATCTCGTCCGGTGATTTTTCGAAAAGCTTCCAGATAGCGTTCCCAGGTTGCGTCTACGATGTCACCCGGTATCTGTACGCCCTCCTGCTGACTCGACTGAGAATCGCCGAAGCCTCCGCCGCCGCTCTTGAGCCATTCGCGGAGGTATTGCTTGTCGATACCCGTCATGCGTTTGCCTTCACTCCATTCTGCGGCAGGCCAGAAGCGAGATGAATCGGGCGTGAGAGCTTCGTCGATGAGGAGCAAGATAGGCTTGCCGGCCGTCTCGCTGTTTGACAGCAAGCCAAACTCGAATTTGGTGTCTGCCAAGATGAGGCCAACCTTGAGTGCGTGTTCTGCTGCCTTGCCATACAGGTCGATTGCGGTCTGGGTCAAGACGGGCGCCCAGGAGGGGTCAGGCAACAGGCTCGGCACTGGCAGTGGCACGTCAGTCGTCTGATGCATGTACAGCAAGGCGGTCACGCACGTCTGTCGGGATGGATGTTTTCATCCTTTTCGCCTACGTCTGCCTTTGTGCTCGGCGTGAAGAGCGGCTTGGGAAGTTTGGAAGATTCTTGCAGGCCGGGTGGTAGCTTGATGCCGTGCACTGTGCCATGCTTCTCGTACTCGCTGAACGCCGAGCCTGGGCGAAGCAGCAAGGAGATGAGCTTCTCATCCTTCCTCGTTGAGGGGCGCGTCCGTCGCGCTCCAGCCACTTGCCTGTCAGGTAGCCTCGCACGATTGCCTCGCACTTGAGCACTTTGGCTTTCTTGACGAGCAGTGTACGCCCTCTGAGGATGTCCTCGTGTTTGCGCACGCTCGCCGGCATCTTGCTCACGTCGCCTGTCACGACATGATTTGGCACGACGTCCTCGAGGAAGTCAAACCAGAATTGAGAGAGCTGGGTGAGCAGCTGTCCCTTGGAAGGTATGCCCTGTGCAGTCCAACTGCGCTCAGACAGAGACACGAGCGAGCCAGGAGAGCGCAAGACAGCTGACGTTCTTCATGATGACGTCGAACGCAGAGACACGGTCGGTAGCGACAAAGAGCAGACAGTCTGGCTGCTCCGGCAGCTCGTAGATGTCTCGGACCTTGCCCCTCGTGACGAGCTTGAGCCCAGCGAGCTCTGTGGTGGTCAGAGCTTCCATTCTTCCTGTCATCTCCCCCTCTGACCGCTGGCGCCTCTCAGACTGTCGCGCGCAGCTGCTTGCCCTGGGCTCGGGCGCCGCCATGTCCATAGCGAGTATGAGCAGTGTGCCGTTGATCGTCTCACCGCGACAGCTCAGCAAGGCGCTCGAGAGCAGGGCCAGACCGATCCGCTTGCTTGACTGCTCATGGCACATGCCCAGCTCGCCCCGAGATGCACTCGCCGAATTTCATGAGGCTCATCTGCCACAAGCTCACTTCTGGCCGGTAGACGAAGTCGCCGATGTCGCTCATCCCTCTGGAGTGCCCCATATGCTCCCCCCGGCCAGCGTATTCGCACGAGCGGCCAGCAAGGCCGGCATCCAGCGCGACGATTGGGTCGTCGTCTATGACTCTGTCGGCGTCTTCGCTGCCCCGAGAACGTCTTACACCTTCAGAGTGAGCATCGCGACTGTCAAGCAGAGCAGATCTGACCAATCAGGCAAGCCAGGCCTTCGGTCATCACACCGTATCTGTCCTAGATGGCGGCTTGCCCCGCTGGAAAGCAGATGGCCAACTCCTCGAGAGCGGCGAGCAGCGAGAGCGCGAGCCTTCCGGCTATCCCCAACCTCAGCTCGATCCCTCTCTCGTTCGGTCTTTCCAGCAAATTCTCGCCAACACTCATCGCGATCCTAGCAAGGATTCAACTGCCGAGATTGTAATGGATGCCCGACCAGCCGCACGATTTGACGGCTCTGCGCCAGAGCCTCGTCCGGGACTGAGCTCAGGCCATATGCCTCATTCGATCTCTGTGCCCTTCTCTTCGCTACTCGACAGCTCGCAGGCCGGTTATACCACTTTACGGACTGCTGACGAGCTCCAGTACGCCTTCATCGATGCACTCGGCGGTGCTGCCGCTCTCGACCAGCTCCGTGCGGGCAAACGCTCGCTCATCACTTCATGTGGGAGCGGTAAGCTTGACTTCAGACCCGTCTCCAATGCTACAACAACGGGACAGGCATGACTGCGGCCATCATCTGGCTGGCGGCTAAACTCCTCGCCATTCCAAAGGTGTCCATCTTCGACGAGGTCAGTATGATTCCGGAGCGCTTGTGAGATCTGCTGATAAGAAATCAACAGTCCTGGACGGGCTATGCAGCAAAGACGGATCGGATCGTCAAGGTTTCAAATGCTTAGACATGCGATTTTCCGGCGCAGACTGGTCTGGCTTGTCCCCGCTTCCAGCCAACTCTTCTGATGCCGATGGTCGCGGCCGTTGGCTCTTCACAATTCGCCAAACGCCGATGCAAAGCAGCAAGAGCCCTATCAGACTGCCGATGCCGATGAATGTCCAAGGTAGAATGCGTTGCAAGCGTGCCGAAGGCAGTTCTGTGGCAACGCCTGCGCTCGATGACGACGCTGCAGGAGCTGCGGTTGAAAGTACTTTCGTGCCGGCGCTGATGGTACCGCTGCTGACAGCGCGACTGCCTCCGTAGCCATTGCCCAGCTCGACAGCACTAGGCTTTGGCAAGTTCAACGCAACGGGATTGTACGACATTGCAGTCAGCCCTGATTATGTTGATCCCTTGACTGCGCCGAGACTACTCATGGCAGGCGCGCTCGCTTCAGCACGAGAGGTCTGTTCTCAGATCCAATGCCATTTCTAGCTTGCATTTAAGCTACGAGGTCTGAGCTTGCATTCCCGGCTCATCGGCATTGCGGGCAGGCTGAGTGACCGTATGCAGATCAATCGCCGGATTGCCATTGAGGTGATCTTGCCCATCTTGCGACCACATTGGCGCGTCAGGTTGCTTGTTCGTACTCGGCTGCGGCATGTATTGGTAGCTTCCATTGAGACTAATCAGGCCCTGTACTGCGTCTGCACTGTGTCTTCGCAAGTCTGGTAGTGGCGCATCCGGTAAGACACGATCGAGGCCCTGCTGTCTGGCACGCAGCGGATCATTGCCTGCGAAAGCTAGATGACCTGATTGATCGAAGCTGTGCCGGTAGTCGAACTGGCGTGGGGACTCGATCGGCGCATGTCGCTGTGCAGACCAATACGATTGCTGAGCTGGCACAGGCATTCTGTGTTGGTTGTACTGCATAGGCGCTTGCGCACCGGAGGCGTCGCTCGCGAACGGCTGCGTACCGAAAGGCATCGAGGGAGCCATCGTCGGGAGTTGCATGCTGTATTCCGCTGCCGAATAGTCTTGATAGGGCAACATTGAGGCGTGCATTCCAGTGAATCCGGACGTTGATCGAGCGCCATCGGTCAGGGCATGAGATTGACGCAAGCCGACAGGCTGGAAATCCATGGCAGGTACGGTCAATCCAGGTATAGGCATTGCAGGAGCCGCCATATGCGGCGGACCGTATCTGCTGAATGTCGAATTGTCAAAGGCGCGGAATGCCCCATGAGTTGCATATGCGGGCTGCAAATGAACCGAATTCTCCTGGATGCCGTACGCTCGATGAGGCGGTGTCCATTTAGTGATTCGACCGGCTCCGAAAGAAGCGTGCCCAGCTTCAAGTATGCGATTGCTTGCACCAAGCTGTGGCGGAGTCGCACTTTGACGGGGCGAATCCTTACGGCGACTTGCGCCGCGATTTCTCGGCTGAGAGAGGAGGAGCTGACCGAAGCCGGGCTGTCCCGGCATCAGGCAGGACTGTCCGACAAGTCAGCGATCAGACATGTCAGCATACGACGAGCGAACGGACGCTCGGGAACGCCGGACCGAACAAAGGCACGAGATCGTCCCGGATTGAGAACGCAACACGACGGGCCAAGCTGAGAGCGGTGTCATATGGCAGCCAAGTCCTGCTCGTCCGTCAACACCGAGCGAGCATAGGTAGAATGAGAGCACCCTTGAATTTTGAGATAGCCACCCCTGACTTTGCGTACGCTTGCAGAGACTGTACAAGCATTAGTGTACCATCATGGTCGCATGCGAGGAGCTCACTCTCTGGCGATGATTCTATCAGCTTGACGACATCCGCCTTGGTGTGGCCGAGCGCTTTCCAGATGCCAGTAAAATGCACGAAACCCGTCTCACAGTCTATCATGATTGTCTGACCGTTGAGCGGGTATTCGAAAACTTTAAGGAGAGGTCAGCCAGGCTGTGCTGCATGGACCTGAGCTTGCCTGGAATATATCCGCGCGGATCCGTGCTCGTGGCGTAGCGCGTCATCGACACCTTGTGCGACGACGCGTAAAGGCGGACTGGCGGTGTCTTTGACGAGGACTTGGACAGCTTCGAGCTCGGCTGTGAGACTGGCATGCTCTGCTCCTGAGACGCCATCGATGATTGGGTTGGTGACGCCGAGCAAGTGTCAAGCGCATCGCCCGAGAAGCGCGAACCGGCCTGTGCTCGGTCCAACGGCAAATCGCTGATAGAATCTTGTAGATTTGGCAGTCGAGGCAATTCGTCGTTTGCGCCAGGGTCAAGAATTGGCGGACCTTCAGTTTTCTGCTCGACTTGTTGGCGATCGATGCAAGGAATGTTGCATCCCGGCGAGTGATCTGCCTCAGTACGACCGGAATACAGCTTGGCCGGGGGACCGGTGAAGTCTGCCGACTTGAGCAGACTCGCCGAGAGCATTGGAGGGTGCGTGCGCTTGCGGACCTCAGCGGCAGTGCCGTCCGCTGTCGGATGCGGCTGGCCTGTTACCGGCGCAGGGAACTGCTTGACATTCGCGAGCGGAGGTTGAGGCAGATGAGCGGACTTGGGAGCGAGCGCGGAGACTGAGATATGCATTGGCATAGATCCGCCTTGTTGGGTTGGCACGGGATGCGCTGAGCCTGCGGCATTGTGAGACGGTCGAAGCTGACAGAATGCAGCAGGAAGAGAGTTGCCCTGCAGCTGCTGCTGAGCTCGCAATTGGGCCGAGGCTTCGGCGGCACGGAGCTCATGCTCGGCTCTAAGCTTGCGCATGAATTCGTCTTGCGAAGCCTGCGCAGGCGAATCAGGCTTGTGTGACAAGGACTGCAAAGGGCGATGTTTCTTGGCGATTGGCGAGACAGCATCCCAGCTGGTGTAAGCCGTCATGAGCGGTTGACCGCCGATACGGGAAAGACTGGGCAGAGCCGGTCGTGCACGTTTCTGAGCATCTCGATGAATTTGAGGCACGGCAATGGTACCTGGCAAGTGCTGTCTTGGCTGAGCGTGGCGATAGAGCGAATGCTGCGGCTGGCCGTGACGCGCAAGGTGCTGAGGAGCCTGCGGGGACGGAACGAGCGGTTTGTGGCGAACGGTCTGGCCTCGCTTGCCATGCACAGTCTCTTCCTCATCTTCTTCTACATCTGGCAGGTCTTCATCGTCAGCATCGTCCTCTGCTTGCCCCTGATCGTCGTCAACGTATTCCGATGAGCTCTGATGGTCTGTATCAGAGGAGGACGATGCCAGCGCAGTGAGCGGCGAGCTGATGTTCTCTTGTACATTCTGTTCGCTTCCTTTCGACGTCGTGAGAGACTGAGATGGCGAGAGGGAAACAGATTGAGCCTTGCGCGCAGCCTCGCGCGCCGCTGTATCTGACGGCGAATTGGTTGCAGTGGCATCGGCCCAGGCGCCCACAGGCCGCGGCCTGGGACGGCCTGGCTGTGCAGGCGATACTGCATGCAGAGCGGCAAGCGTGACTGAAGCATCATGCTGAGGGACGCCAGGTAGCACTTGAGGTCGCTCGTCCGTCGAACATTGGCGCTCAAGATCTACCTCAACGCGAGGTTGGCTAGGGGAAAGAGCAGATGAATCTTCCACTGGCACCGCTGCGCCTCGATCAGCAGCGGCAGGCCGAGCAGGCGAGCTATCACTCGTACGCTGCCGAGTGATTACCACTGCCTTGAAGCGTCAAAACCGTACTTTTCGAAACGATAGGAGGCAGTGCTCACTCTCGATTGCTCAGATGAGGACGTCGTCTATCCTACCGCCTTCGATGGCGCGAGGATGTATGCCTCGGCGACTGCCCTCGGTCAGAGTGATCAACGATGGGAGAGCCGACGCAGATGAAAAAAAGTTGCGGCTCCTCGGGCGTCGCGGTCTCGAAGGCGTCTTGGCAAGCTGTGCGTTGAGGTGCGCTTCGGGAGATGTTGTGCGTCTGTTTAAGAGGGTGTGCGATTAGCTCCTGTGCTTATTGGCTGGACATAAGCTGATAGGCAGAAGCAGATTGTTTGACTTGGTCAAGGCAAGACTGGGGGGGTTGACGTCATGAATCGTTTGACTCCTGCGACGGGTGCATGAGATGAAGTCGAACTGACCTGCTGAGACTCGTGCGCGCTTGAACGCCGGCTCGAGGAAAGGCTCTACTGGGCTCGGGACGTGCAGAGGCGATTGTTGTCGACGAGCAGAGAAGAAAGAGGAGCCACGCTGTCGAGTTTAGGCGGTTCGCTGTGCGACGCCGACGTGTCCCAGGTCAACGAAAAGGCGATCTTTCGTTCGTTATGGCGACCGAAGGAGTCGATGCTCGCAAGGGCACACAATGAGAGCATGCGCCGAGCTGAGTGCACGTCGAGCTTTGGCCAGGGCGGCGATTCACTCCGGTCGCTCGACCGTCGAGCAGAGGTCCGCGCCGCCCGACGCCGGCTGTGCAGCGCCGGCAGCGCCTCATCGGAGACGATTGCGGCACACATGTAGCGAGAAACAGATAGCGTCAGGTCCGAGCATTGTGATCTCGGAAGCGATCGCAGCATAATGGGCATAGCGAGCAAGGCGTAGACCGAGCTTCTCGCGCGGGCTCAATCTTGCGCGAGGTCCGAGCTCTCACGGGTCGTTCGAGTGAGCTGCAATGACGACTGCGAAGACAGGCTGCACAGCTAGAGGGAGAGAAGATGGGCGACTGTGCCTACGTGTGGCACAGGAGTATCGTGACTTCGACCGAGATGGAGCGCGACTTCTAAGATCGATTCAGGCATGATCTAAACAGGCTTTGAAGTGGCACTGCTACTACATTGTGCGTGCTCTTTGCTCTCAACTCAGTCTGCTAGCGTTCTACCATGTCGTGTAACCACTGCGTGCGTATCGCGGCCGTTAGACGAGTGTCAGATGACTCAGGCGAACGAGGGCTTGCCCGTCAATGAGGATGTCCGTGCCCGTGGTGAATGCGGAAGCTTCGCTGGCAAGGTAGAGCGCTGCACCGTTGAGATCGGACACGCTGCATAGCTCGGATGAGGTTATATTTTCCATCAACGCAATCCACGTACTGTCCCATGCGGCCTGTCGGCGTTCGCTCGAACCATGCCTTTTTGAGCAGAGGATCAAACTTTTCATTGAGCAGCGTGTTCCTGTCGTATAGCCGTCATCAGCTCGAGAGAGGCTCTGTCAGGGTCGCTTGACAGACATGTAACCCGGACTGATGGTGTTGACACGAATCTTATGGGGCGCCCATTCTGCTGCAAGTGACTTGCCCAGATGGAGCACGGCTGCCTTTGAGGCATTGTAAACCTGCCATAGATTTGTCAGCATCGTCCGAATAAGCTTGTGCAATCGCGCGGCGTACGCATTGAGGTTGAGGCTTTTTTGATGGGGCGCGACGACAGATCAGCTCGGCTCGGCTGTAGCTCCCACAGAGCTCACGTAGTTCACAATGTGACCCGACATTGACGCTATAAAGATCATTGATCCTCCCCTCCCGCTCTTGATCATATGGTTTGCTACTGGCTGAGCGCAGAAGAAGACCTGTTGAGGGTGATGGACGCGCGATGAGTGTGGGCGCGCTGGCTGACGGCTGGCATGCACGTACACCGTTGAGATTGATATCCATAACTCGCTTGAAGCGATCGGCGGGGTAGTCCTCAGCAGCAATGTTGTCGGCAACGCCAGCCGAGCAAATGAGGACATCGATCCGACCGAAATCTCTAATGACGCCGTTCATGACTTCCTCGACGGCTTCGTGGTCCCTCACGTCAACCTTGTAGAAGGACGCAGTACTGCGGACAGATAGAAACTCTTGAGCAGCGTCGACTGAGGCGCAGCAGGAACGAGGCTTACAGGCCAAAGTCGGCGTGGAGCTCCTTGATGGCTGTCTCGCCAAATTCTTGGAGGATGTCTACGATTGCAATGCCGGCGAGGCCTGCCTCACACAGAGCTCGTGCCATCTCGAAGCTGCGGGAAGCAAGCGTGCCAGTCAGCTCACGTCACGAAGAGAGCGGCGGTCGTGCTGCTCCGAGCACTGCGTGGGCGTCGTCCGGACTGTCTGACAACCGAGGCAGTCTAGCAGGCGGCAATGGTGAAGAGAGGGTCAAGATCACCGGTAGGAGCAGCAGGCGCCATAGTAGACAGTACTCAAGCGAGGAGGAACAGCCTACCCTAGACCACGGGCGCCGCCCGAAATAACGGCCACCTTGCCGGCGAGCTCGAAGCGCTGGAAGATGCCGCCGCTGCTGTGTCCTGTCAGGCTCTTTGCAGCCTTGCTGTCCGGAAGGGACGCCGCCATGCCGCCTATGCCCTGCATGCTTGCTTCGACCTCGACCTTGCGCCGCCCGTGCTAGCTCGCACGCGACGAAGGGCCTGCGACGTGTCACTCCTATCGCGGTTGCAGCACGTCGCAATACATCTCGACAACAACACAGCGTACACCGGACGGTTACTTCATGCCCTCAATTGAGACTCGACCCTTCCTCGCCTCGTCGCTCTGCAAGACTCTTCGCTGGCTTGACGAGGAACGGCTGACTGAACGCATCTCTCAGTCGACGAACCTTCAACTCGCCCAAGCCGGGACACTGTACAAGCTCGCTCGAGCTAGCCATCATGATGTCCTTGAGGCTCTGTGCAGCGAACACGTCATCAGTGCCGGCTATCGCCCGTACGCACAAAGCCAGACTCACGCCAAAGTTGCGGATGAGGTTCTCGGTATCGGTCTTGTTGACGGCTCTGGGCTTGGTGAGAACCGTCTGCATCTGAGCGAGATAGTCTGTCTCCGGTCTTGCCTTGAGCGCGTCTGGCGGCCTTCGCTCTTGTTTCTTGTACTTTGACAAGATTCGTCCTGCCTCTTGCGAACTGGTACAAGCAATGAGCCGGCCGTGCGTTTCCGACAATACGAAACGCACGAAGAGCAGATCATAATGGTGTAAGCGTTGGTGATACTGATCTAGACCTCTGGTCATATGAGCATTGTTATACGAGAGATAGACGATGCGACTTGCCCGCGTGAGCTCCCGCATGACATCGTCAGATGTGTCAGCGTCGACCTGCACGAGCAGTATCCGCAGATTGTATGCCTGCCCGAGAGCCTCGATACGGCCATAGATGTATGCCGGCTCCAATTTATGGTATTTTATTCTGCGTAACCTCGGTTCGATCAGTCCGGCCTTCAGCTGCTCGCACACGAGACGCACGAGAGGAAGAGGACACCGGTCGTTGTGCCGACTTGGAAGTCCGCCATGATGTCGCTGTGCTCCCATGGCACAGTGATGTGATTGATACAGCGATTGCCCTTCTGCGGCTCGTGTATGATGTGTCAGCTTGACTGTCTGGCGTGCAATATCTGCCGGACTGCTTGCCTGCTTGGTACTGACGAGGATGTTATTGGTTGACTGTTGTACGACTCGCTTATGGGCTGACGACACCGTCGCCGTGCCAGGCGTGACAGCGACGCCAGAGGACGCCCCAATGCTGACTTCTGCCGGGCCACTGCTCGTGCTAGGCTGCTGTATCCGAGCGCTCTTGACAGCCCCTGCATGAGCCAGCAGATGTGCCATTGTCGCAGAGCGGTCAGCTGTGAGGCCAGAAGTGGCCGAACAGGGCGTCGACACAAGCTGCAGGCTCGGCCGTCAGACGCGTGACACGTGTTACGCGATACCTGCGGACGCACACTGTCAACGGCGTTCGAGACTGCTATGAAATGCATCGTCATATAGGGTACATGCTCTTTGGTCTGATGCTAAATCTGCATTGCAGCTCAAAACGTGAGTTGATTGATGCCGTTGATGATGGTTTGCATTGCAGACTGACGATACGTATCTTGGCCAAGTGTAGTAACACCGTCTGGGCCAAACACGATCTGATTCGAGGCACCGTTGAGATTGCGAGGCAGCCACTTGACAGGCAGCTTGACGCTAGTCTGCGAATTGGGATCGAGCGTCGTGGCAAAAGAGATCCAGGATGCCATGATCTGCTGTGTTGTGGGACCCGGGACGTCTCCGAAGACATACAGAATGTCCGTTGCATGCGGTGTCCCGAGCAAGGGCAGATTGAGAGGTTCGAAGAGATACGAGTAGATTGGCAGGTTCGCCTTGCGGTACAGCTCAGAAATGAACCGCCGTGGAGCCTGAAAGACAAGATCGCCCAAAATCGCCGCGAGCCGTTTGTTTTCATATAGAAGCGTCTGATTCTCTTCCCCTGTACCGAACGGCGAGCCTTGCGTCGGATTGTCTGCAACACATGAAGCATCAGCCTTTGCAGGATAGATGGTCGCACGAGACTTGCTAGGATAAGCAGTAGCAAGCGCGTTGAGCAAGCTTGTTGTGATCATAGGGAAAAAGCCTTTGATGTACGTCTTGAAGGCCGCTTCCGACGAGACATTGGTCGCGCTCAAGACGAAGAGCGTACCTTCGTCCTTGAGCAACCCGCATCAGCTGCGAGCCGCAATGCGCCAAATATCGCTTACCTTGTTGTCACCGTTGATCGCAGGTACTTTAGCAAACTTGCCCTGACTGGCGAGCTTCTGTGGCAGGTCCGGGATGATGTTGCCGTCCACACGGGGAACAAAGGCGAGAGCCAGCGCGCGATAGGCAGTCAGGATATATGGACACTGATTCACAGCGGCCGCATATGTGTTGCTACTCACCGAGCGCAGACAGCCAAGCTTGTCAGAAGACGTACCACAGCCCGTGTAGTTGGCAATCGTGTCAAAGTAAGTTTGTCCATACGATAGCGGTCCGACGGGAATGGGCGAGCCGCTCTGTTCGATGACGGCACGATAGAGCCCTTGAGTGCTACCGAGACCTTGATAGAGGAGCTGGAAGCCGATGCTGATTGCGCCTGCCGATTCCCCAAACAGGGTGACTTTGGTAGGATCACCTCCAAAGGCGGCGATGTTCTTGTTGACCCACTGCATCGCCGCTCGCTGATCTTGCAGACCGAGATTGCCTACTTTAGCGTCATACACCTCTTGTCCCGGCAGGAAGCCCCAGCCTGCCAGTCGATAATTGAGCGCGACATAGACGACAGGCTGATTCTGGGAAACGCTCTGGGCAACGATGTTCTTGCCGTCATACGTGCTTTTGCCACCGAACTCAAATCCGCCGCCATAGATCCACAGCATGACGGGCAACTTGCTGCTGCCAGACGCAGAGGATGGACGTTGTACATTGAGATATAGGCAGTCTTCGCTTTCTCCGGTCTGCAGCTCGATCAGCTAAAGCAAACTTGATGTTGATGACGAGGACCGACTGTGAGAAACGGTCCGAGGACGGACGATAGCAAAGGCGAGACGGGCGTGCCGCCAGTCGCCTGCTGAGCGAGACAATCGTTGTTCTGTTGGGTCGCGTCATAAGGATTGGCAAGTGAAGCCGACAAAGGCTGCGGAGGTTTCAGTCGATTCGTTCCGGTGGGTGGAGCGGCGAAAGGGATGCCAAAAAAGTTGTCGATGCTGACGCCGTTGTTAGTGACCTGAGCACCTTTAAAGGTGGTCAGACCAGGCACAGTCACCGTCGGAGAAGCCGGCAAGATTGCACGCTTCTCGCCCGCAGGCGCTGCATGTACAGCAGTGAGGGCGGCTAGCAAGCGGAGTGTGATCTTCATGGCGTACATCCGATGAGGAGCGAGAGCATTGCAGGATGATCATTTTTGTGTGTGTCATGCGCGCATCAACAGATGCGCGCTTTGCCCCACACCAGAGACGCTTCAAAAGTGATCGCCGGCTTTGTGTTTCGCATTGTCGATCGAGGACAGTTGCAAGATGAAATATGGCTAGGGGCGTCCTCGTGGAATGTCCAGTCTAGGCTCGTTGCTCGGCTGATCGTTGAGCCTTCAATTTGGAGAATCAAGCTGGACAATAAATCGGCGAGAGAAAAGCACCTACGTGGAAGTCCCCGCGGTTTCCCCTCTGGAGAGTGAAGGCGTGAAAAGCGCCTTGCGAGAATCGATCAACACGAATTGACCCTACTGCCGTCCAGCATGCGCTACGGGCCCAGCCCAGAGTGACCACGGCCAGGCTGGCGCGACTGCTGCAGTGCGATAGACTCTTCTACCAGGACGGCTAGACCAGACTTGGAACTGCCGGTGTGGGTCGCAGACAAGCGTCGGCACTAGCAGCCTGCTTCAACATCGTCCACATTCTCACGCACGACCGAACCGACTACCACAGCATATCGAAGCATCCTGAGAATCTCGTTTGTGTCACACCCGCCGGCATATAGCCACCTGTGAAAGAGTCGAGGAGACTCTCACTTTGTTTGCCGAGCCATCGTGGTCGAAATCTGCCGAGCCGAAGTATCGAAAGTCAAGAAGGGGGCCATCAGAGCCGCAACGCTGTCAGTCGGGCTTCATCAGTGGCCGCCACACACCGACGGCAGATTGGCACCATAGCCGGACGAGATGGTGCAAATGTTTAGTTCAGCCTATCAGAATGCGACGTCCTACGTCTTCTCGGCACCTTCGTCGCCTGATCTGTCGACCATGCACGTCAAGATACCGTCATCTGCTACACATACCGCCCATACCCGCTCGAACAGTGGCGGTGGCGGTGACACAAAGCGGGCTAAGCCTGCCCACTCCCGACAGGGCTCAGCCTCTTCACTGCACCCCGACACGGCCAGGAACCATAGTAGACAGAGCAGCGGCAGCAGCTCATCTTCGACCAGGACCCATAGGAAGACGGCTTCGACTGGCAGGAGCGCCCAAGTTGCGCCTACGTACGCCGGCTATGGCAAGGCAAAGCCAATCCCCACAGGCGGAGCGTATACCTCTTCTAGACTCGCCCCTGGCGACAGAACAGAAGCTCATGATCTCGTAGACGCCATCAACAAAGAGCACGACCTCTACCGCGTTCTCGGCGTCGCTAAACGCGCGAAGCCAGACGAGTTCAGACGTGCCTACATTGGTCGCAGTAGGATATGCCATCCTGAGTACGTAGACGTATCGGCAACGACTGCGCAGCTGACGTGTGCATGCAGCAAGTTGCCCTCGTATCCGCCGGCGACGTCGGCCTTTCAGAAGCTCTCGTTCGCCTACGAAACCCTATCGAAGCCTTCCTCGCGTCGGCTGTATGACATCTCCGGACGCAGCGAGTGGGATTCGCCAGACCCGAACGGCCGGGCAAGCCAGGCTGGCTTTGGCGACGAGACACTGCATGGCGTACTGCACACCATGTTCGGCGAATTTATGGAAGGCGACTTTGAAATGATCAGAGTCCTCGTCAGTACGTCGAAGCTGTCGTCAGCAACAAGAAACAACGCTGATCGAGACACATGCAGATGCCCTCAACGAGGGCAACCCAGGACTCAATCTCGGCGAAGAGGCCGTTGAGAATCTGGAGGGCGCCTTTCGCAAGATTCGAGAGATGCTCCTGGGTGCGTCTGCAGGTTGTTTCGAGGAGCCCTGTAGTGACGCAGCTTTGCAGCTGGCCAGAAGTATCTGCGGATTGTCAAATTCGAGTTCATCCGACTCTACGAGATTCAGCACTCCTTACGACAGCTTTCCTATTTCAACGTCCTTGGACGGCTACGCTTGACTTTGCAACTCGCACGTGTAACGCTCAGTATACCCATGGCGATCGACAAGGCCATGAAAGAGGACGACGATGATGAGGATACCGAATCTGATTCAGACGCAGATCTACCGGCCGCTTCAGTGCCCGTCCAGCAGTCCAGCTCGGCGACCAGCTCCCCATCAGGCCCAGCGGCGCCCGGAGGTGCGACCAACGAACAGCGAGAGGCTAGTGCACAAGCCCGACGTGAGCGCAAAGAGCGCAGACGGAGGCGCAAAGCAGGCAAAGCGGTCGTCAAGCGCGGCCTGTTGGGTCCCAGAGCGGCCGGTTTGCTCGGCATGGCTGTCGGTGTACTCGAGAAGGGCGAGAATATCATATAGCAGTACTCGTCAACTTGCACGACCGCGTACCTCGACGCCGTTCAGGCATCGTCAGTTATTGCCGCGAGCGCGTCGATGTGAACTTTAGATTCTATGTGGTTGTAGACATAGACGTACGCCCATCTGTAATGATTCTCACGTGCATTCACTTTACGCTAAAGCCGCGCAAGCCTAATATCCGTCGCACATCGTTGCTGAATCTGAGCGAATCGAGCATCGGCAAGAGATCCAGGAGGGCCTCATCAGACGGATCATTGATCCAACCTTCGATTGGAATGCCATTTGCTGTACCTAGATGTTAGCTCCCGTCTCAATGCTTCTGTAGGACTGACAAGGATTCTTGGCATAGCTGATCGGCGAGTTGTCAACGAGACAGACCTTGGCCAGGTCCGCATCTACTATACTTAAATCTTTGACGTACGAGCCGCCAGTATACATACAACTCTGCAAGACCCGTAAGCTCGAATGATCCGACAGCAGTGTGGCCCTACTTCTCGAAATAGTCTGCCGTCTATGAGGCCCCTGCCTTGATCGAGCCAGTCGATCACAGGATCAGCATATTCTTGCATCGAGGCCGTGAAGATGACGACGGTGTACCAAGTCGAGACCTGGGAAGTCTAGTCAGCCAGGCAATGACGCAGACTTGGTCAGGAAGCACCTTTCTGAGAAAGAAGTCCACCCACGGACGTTTGTAGACGTGGTAGACAACGCTTTTGCCGTCGAGTACGACCTCTACGACGCGTACCTTCAGTCCGTTGTTGCCGCCCCAGCCCGCAGTGGATTGTCCCAGGGGTAGTCGCGAGGTGGAGTGGATCAAAGTCTCGTCGAGATCGAGCACGAGCGTCTTTGGCCTTGCAAGAACTGTGAGGGCAGTGGACTTGAGACGACTGGGCATTGGCTGCTGTGATTCAGCAGGTGCGACTTTGCTGACCCTTTCATCAGAATCGTCATCGTCGACTTCGTGCACGGCGCCTGACGCCGACGAGAGACTTGATACGGTGGAAGGACTACGCCGACGGCGACCCAGCGTCGGCAGATAGTTCCAGCTATACAGGACGTGGTGTTGTGCCGGTTGCTCGCTGTCATGCGAAGTTTCGCTGGAACGGTCTCTTGGCTTTGGAAAGCTGAAGGGCATATAACGCGATACGAGCGAGACTTGGGCGCGGCCGATCGCAACATCGTAGCTCGGCGGCGGTGGCTCGGTGATGACCTCTTCGGCCTGAGCGGGTATCGTGTGCTTCTCCTGACGTCGCGCGTCCAAGTCTACGACGTCAACGGTGTGAAGAGAAGCGAGCTTGCGGCGCGTCGTTCGTATCCCCAGCAGGCCGAGGAGCCGTCTGAAAAGCATATAGAGCGCCACACCGATGCGGACGGGCAATGTACGAGTGACATGAGCGGCAGCGTCTGTCGGGGTGGAGCTTCCTGACCGGCTGGGAGCATCGCGTGCTGACCGGCGTCGCCGCAGAGAGCGACGCCTGATCGATCTATTGCTGCTTCTGCTGCGAATAAGCAAAGGCGGGATGTGTCCGGCGTCATGGCGGCGCTGGCCGTCCCGTCTATCGAGGGAAGCTTGTTGGGTGGCCGCCAGAGCAGCCAAGCTTGCGTTGATGCTCTCTTCGTTCTCAGGTCCAGGAGCGGCATCATGCTGCACACCGTGACCGTCGTCGGGCAGCCTGGAGGTGGAGGCCTCCGGATAGACGATGGGGTATCTTTCTGGCCCATGCGAGCTTGAAGGCGCTGCTGGTTTGGCAGGACCTTCTCTTGGGCGATCCCTTGTAGGCGTCGAGGCGCCAGATGAGACTGCGGAGGACGTGGCAGAGCTAGGCACGGTCGTATCACCCGCACGAGCCTGGGGAGGGCTCCATAGGTTGGAGAGGTAGTTGAGCGAGTTCATGCTGCCTGTCTGGAGCGCAAGCTCGCAGGAGCGGGCTCACTGTTGTTTGGCGGGGCTTAGCAGGTACTCGTGTGCTGCCCCTCGAGCTTGATGAGGACAGCGCTATCGTACGAAGGTGCTCAGAGGACCCATTTGGCCCGTTGCGACGCTGTCCTGTCTGGTCACGCTTGCCTGCCAACGCTCGATTGCTTCGACCGGACGAGTCGGGGCGTGACTTTGCTCACAAAGCGGCTGTCCAGACGGCGGAGGCAGATCTGTCTTGCTTCCTCACACTCTGGACAGACTAGGCCGCTCACGTGCACGTTCGGTCACAGTGAGGGCACAGGTGACATCACACCAGCAGCCCAAAGACGCGTCTGCCGCATGCCACACGTACAACTTTCTGGTAACAAGGGCTTCACAGAGACTGCGAGTGCCTGCTCAGCATGTCCGCCCCTTGAGAGGCGCACCGGACACGTACCAATGCACGCATGATGCCGTAGCCCAGCGTGATGACGACTGTTGTTACAATGACCGAGGCCGGAACGCCGTTCTTGAGAAAGTCATTGGCTGAGAGATACCGGGTCCCGACTTCGTCTTCTAGGTTGATGGCGGTCATGTTGGGAAACCCAGAGACAGGCAAGCCCATGCCCGCGCTACAGATGAGCGCCGTCGCCATGATGAGCAATCTCGGATGAGGCATCTCGAGTGCCGAGCCGATCTGAGCCGCAATCGGGACGATCAGAACGGCTGCAATCGTGTGCGAGATACAGGTAGCGACGATGAGGCAGATGATGGAGAAGATTGCCAGGATGGGCCAAAGATCAAGTCCCTGCACCCAGCCTTGCAGGAGCTCGTCGACATCCGCCAGCAAACCGGACGACAGCACAGCCTTGCCGAGCGCAATCCCACCTGGCAGAGGCGGTCAGTGCCAGTCAGCACTACGCCATCGAACGACTGACCCATGGCCAGGAAAACGATGGACCATGCCAAGTTGTCCCAATCAGCCTTGCGAAGGACTCCAGAGCCAAAGAAGAGGACAGGCGGTATGAGGGCTATGACGCCCATATCGCCCAAAACGCCCGAAACCTGGTGTGCGACGCACCAGAGCGCAATAGTGACGAGTGCGACGATACACACGAACCATTGGGTCATGTTGAAAGGATCGCGCGATGCCTTGACGGGATTGATGACGATGTTCTTCTCCCATCTATATGACCAGAGCAACAGCGTCCAGACACAGACGATACTGATGCCTGACACTGGTATCGACACGGCAAACCACTGAAGCCAAGAGAGCGGCGGGTCCATGTATTCCAGTGCGATGAGGTTCTGCGGTGACGAGATGGGTGACGACTGTCCACCAATATTGGCAGACAACGCAATGCCAATGATGAGCGCTTTGCTGAATCGCGAGTGTGACGGCAGTGTGCGCAAGATGGGTTCGATGAGTGAAAAGCAGAGCACTGGCGCAGCGACGTTGCTGATCCACATGGACGCAAAGCAAGCGACGCCCATGTAAGCCAGCAAGATAATGCTGGGCCGGGTGCCCGCGGCCCTCAGAACGCGTGTCGCTAGGACTTTGTCGACGTTGGTCTTACTGAATGCAGCGGCGAGCGTAAAGCCGCCGAGGAGGAGCATGATGGTCGAGTTGAACATCTGGCTGAAGATGAATTTTGTCGCATCAGACGCAGACAAACGCTCGTCGGATCCATCTGTTGAGCGCAGCACACGCAAGACGACGACCCAGAAAGGCACCATCAACGACGTGACGAAGAGCGGCACTACCTCGAGCGCCCAAAAGACTGTACAGAGCACAAGCAATGCCAGACAGTTGCCTTCTTCCGGCCGGTCAAAGAAATCGCTGGCGAGGCAAAAGACAAAGAGCAAGATTCCGACCGCACCACCGACGAAACGAGTAGTGAGCCAGAAGGGTATCCTGAAGCGACCGACAGGCGTCGTGAGCACGGATTGCTTGCTGTCTTCATGTCCCAGGTTCTGTAGGATCGGCTTGTCGACGTTACGAGACCTTGACCAGCCTTTCCGTTCGAGGCCGATCATCTCTCGCCAGATCGTGTTGCGCTCAAAGACGACGTGCTCTCTAAGCTGGGTGCGAAGCTGCTTCGTCGCCACCTCTATATCGCCGCGTGACGTGATTTTTGCGTAAAGCTGTACAAGCGAGTCAAGAGCCGTATTGAGCCGATCCTTGGCGTCCTGGGTCATCGGAACCGCTTTCTCGACAACAGACTTGAGATACTCTTCCTTGAGATTGTTCTCGGTGACTTTGTCGAATTTCTTAGTGATCTTGCGGAAGCCAGTCGCGTTGAGCGCAGCGTACTGTTTGAGCTGCCATAGCTCTCTGTAGAGCGCCTGCGTTCTCAGCTTGAAAGTGATGCGAGTGTCAATGGCAAAGTCGGTGTTGGACAGCCAGACCATGGCCAAGTCCGGCAGGCCGGCTTGAGAGGTTCGGTCAGTCACGATTGAATATCGTCGTGGCCGGCGTACAGATGACAGCCGCCCGCTCAGAGAGGGTCGCGGCGCAGTGACAACCGATTCGACCTGTGTGTCCGATCGGGTATGCGCCTGATCGGGTTCGATATCGCCGACATCGATGAGATCAGTGTCCTTGCTGGCAGATGACAGACCACGCGGTCGTCCGGTGGAAGTCGAGGCACGACCGGAGACGAACACGTCAGCACTGGAGTCCCGACGCTTCCGCCCAAGCGAAGGCTTCTTCTCCTGGGAAGGCGTGGTGAAGAGAGACCTGATGTCCTTTGCAAACTTGTTGACGCGCCTGCTCGAAGCTGGCGCTGTGGATGTAGCTGCCCTGCTCGTCGGACCAGAGTCGACCGAATCGTCGTCCGAGGCGTCATCGTCCTGGAAAGCGTGTGGCAGGTAGGCCTCTTCATCCGCCTCGACGCGGTCCGCCTCGCTGAGCAGGCTGTCTACCTCCCCGAGTAACTCCCTTTCTTTCTCGGCGTAGAATGTCTCTATCTTTGACAGCTCCTGTCCGAGCAGGCGCACAAACAGTTGAGCAGCGGCAGACCTGTCGTGACTGCCCGCAAGCAACCTCGCGTTCTCGACATCGGCAGACGTCGGCAGCTCGTGGAGTTGATCCTTCTCTATCTTGTAGATAGCCGATTTGAGCTGGTCGTAGCTTTGGATTGCGCGGAATGAGGTCAGCCACTCGACGTGCGGGTATCCGCTGTTGCGAGAACGTACGCAATATAGCTTGACTGCCAGTCCTGGACAGCGTTGAAGAGGAGGGACTGCTCAAACTTCATGATGTGGCCAGCCCGTAGGTGTGCGAGGCAGCGTCTCTGCCGACTGGGGGACTGCCTGACTGCTATGGAGAAGCTATCGAGCTCGTAGTCGGACGCTTTGCCGAGCTGACGTGCACCCGCTGGCAGTCCGAGCAAGTGCGCAGTCTCGACCCAAGTCCTGAGCTTTTGCGAGAGAGTGGCGCTACTGCTCGCTGGCCGAGCTGCATCGACTGGCATCAGCGCCCTCCACAAGCAGGCTGAAATCGGCAGAGCTGACCAGATGCCATAGAGTGTGCTCATAATCGCTCAGCTTTTCGCACTGGCCGTCGTCAAAACGTTGGCGACGCGCGACGTGTGTCGCAACAGGCGGCGACCACCACTGCATGTTCATGTTGACGACAACAACGGCTACAGCGCTCCTCGAGATGACTACAAGCTTGTCACCGGCGCCAATCGCAAGTCTCGCACGAGTGTGGACTGATGCGATCGTGTCGTTGGTACGAAGTACTTTTGAATCTTCGGCGGTTCGTCTGACCTGCGCGGATTGTCTGTCTTAGCTGCCGAGGTGAGCGACAGAACGCTCGCGCTCACCATCTGACATGAGCCGCCTTCTTCTCGAGCATGTTTTTGACCGTTGCCCACGAGAATCTCGCGACGGCGGGAAAGCCAAAGACGGGATCCATGTTACGTTCGAGCCAGGCCACCGTTCTCGGATCGCCGGGATAGCCAGAGCCGAAGTCGCTGTCGTCTGACTCGGCGACTAGCATAGCTGGGAGCGCGTTGCGGTACGTCCATCCTTCGAGCACGCTGTCGCGAGTCACTTTGGCAGCAATGCTTGCCGCGCCTACGATGGGATAGATGCTGTCGGCCTTGCTCGTGACAGTAAACTTGATCGTCGGGAAGACGCCGCTGAGGAAGTCCTGGTACTGTGATGCGATGCCGACAGTATCAATATAAGCCTCGGCGATGTTGTAACCCATCTGGATGACATCGCGGATGAGCATGATCGTCGCATCGTGCGACTGCGCGTTCCTTTGGTCGTCACAGCCTTCAGCACGAATTGCGACGTCAGTCAGTTGACGCACAAGTTGTAAGGCGTCTTGCGGAGCATGCCACGAGAGATATCGAATGGGCTCATCACGCGCACTGCCCATTCGAGATTGTCGCTCGAGGGGTCAGACAGAGCTGCACCGGACATGTGAGCTCCACGAGCTGGCTTGCAGAGCACCCGCAGGAGCTCAGACCGTCGTGCCGCCGTCAATGTCTTGGAATCTGCCCAGGCTCCTTCAGCCCTTGCCCATGACGCCCAGGAAGGGGGCTTACCTGCAAAACCCAATCGTTCGAGCTGCCCCTCATACGCGATTGGGCAGTAAGCGGCTCCGTAGACCATCGGTCCTGGGGCGTATAGCATCAGCCCAGGTCGCATAGCACACCGCGTCTCGGGTACGACAGACCGAGTACTGGACCCCTCCCGGCCTCGTCTATGCCAAGCATGTACGGCGTATCATCTGGTCTTCGCGACGTCACAGCTCGAGCCTTGCCCGCCCCCGCAGATTCGTAGCGTGCCGAGCTGTGCCATGTATAAGACTCAACGAGCGGACGATCTGCTTTGTAGGAAGGTGGTGGCGGGCAGTCTTGGGCTATCGAGACTGACTGACTGTCTGCTCGCGCAATCTCAAGCGCCTCTTCCGGATCTTCCGAGCGTAGTCTGAGTAGCTCAGCCGGCTCACTCGCCTTGCGTTTCGCGCCCATGCTGTTCTTGAGATTGATAGAAGGAGTCGACGCGACGCGCGCGATGATGTAGATTGATTTATTATGTGTGGTGGACCATCGCGACCCCCGTCACATGCGGCCGCCGCTGCGCCGCCTCCTCGAAACCGTCATGCTTCTGCAACAGTGGCTTGGAGGACGATGCGTGGGACACGCTCACAGGCGGCAGCTGCGGCCGTCAAATCTGGCTCATCGTCAAACAAGCCAGACAATAGTCTCCGTAGATCAGTGACCGATTGCCATGGTCGACAGACGAGTACTGCGCCGTCGACACCCTCATCGACCGTGTCACGCTCGCGACAGAGCACGCTGGGGCTCGGAACGCCCGCCACTCCAGATTCCTGCCCGTCTCTGCGCAATGCAGATCCGGACGGACAACTCGATCATCTCGTCAACGATCTAGCGGCCGATGTCCAGCGCTGCGATCTGGGTACCGCTAGCACCAGTACGTGTCCGAGTACGCCGGCAATGTACGACTGACTTTCCCTGCAGCCAGCGTGAGGCCGTCTCAAAACAAGCAGCACACGACTCGCCTTCGATCTGGCGTCACGACGCCTTCACCGCCCGACACAAGTCGCAAGTCTGTCTACTCGACCCCACTCGACAAGACGCCTTGCCCTCGTACCGGTCAGAGAGCCGCGAGCGATCTACCGCTGCCGCTGCTGCCCTTACCGGCGCGCAAGATCAGCACCTCATTGGCTAGCGTCGGCTCACCCTCCGCCAGATCAGGCTTGTCGACCGGAGCCCGCGCATCCCTGCTAAACGCCGACGGCATACGGACTACTTCAATGCCCAATGGTAGCCTCCACCGTGCCGAGCAAGAGATCGCAGACTTGAAAGCGCAGCTCAGGCGGGCCAAAGATGCAGCGGCAGACGAGTGTGCTCTGACCGTGGCCGCGCGAGGCCGAGCCTTTGCTGCAGAACAGGAGCAGCGTCTCTGTGCAGCTCGTTCAGCTTGGGAGATGGTCGCGGTCATGGCGCACGCAGATCGACTTGCGGTTCGTGCAGAACTCGAGTCCCTGGCTGTCATCAGGCAGATGCTGGCGATCGAAGCCTAAAGGCCTCGCTTGTCGGCATACTGTCAGATTTTTGTTGATGGTTGCAAAGTATAGAACAACATGAGTCAGCGTTGTGCATCAGGAGAGAAAGTTAGGCTGCAGCGAGCAACTCTTTGAGCTCGCCGGTATCGATCCTGCGCGATCCAATGTAAGCGTCATCGCCAGTTGCCCGAGTGAACATACATCTCTGTCAGGATATCGAGCCCGCCCACAAAGTCGCCCTTGACGATCAGTTGTGGAAAAGTCGGCCACTGATTGAGCTTCTTTAGATCTGCGCGCGGAGCCTGTGAGCAAGCCCGAGCTGTAGGACTGCCCGACTTACGCTGCCGGACTGACTCATCCTGAAGGATGTCGAATGAATCAAAGTCGACGTTCTCCTTGCGTAAGAGGGCAACAGTCTTTTGCGAGAAGCCACACCTTGGCATCGTGGGATCACCTTTCATGAAGAGCATGACGGGCGCGGCAGTCATGAGTTCTTGGCAGCGCGCAGTGAGATCTGCTTCCGGTTCCTCCTCGTCTTCGGCGATTGGCATAGGTCCATGTGCGGTGTCGTTGCTTGCTGTAGTCTGTGCGGTTTCCTTTGCGTCTGCATGATAGGCCGCCTTGGGTGGCGCCTCTGGAGCTTGTGTCGTCTTGCTGAGCGGCACGGCCGGCCGGGCTTTGGAGTTGATGTGCAGCTTGACTTTCTGGTTGAGGAGCTCAGCTTGTGCACCGGACAGGCGCTCCAGAAGCTGATGACCCTGCCCCGTGCGATCAGTCAGCGTCTGTGCCGTGTGACGTTACGAGGGCGAGCAGACTCTGAGGAGGATCGTGTAGGGAACAGCATCGACTTGGAAGGACTCTGAGATATCCTCTTGCTCCTCTGCGTCGATGGACAAGACAAGCAGCTTCGAGGCAGGGTAATGTTGGGAGAGATGAAGGGCGACTTGGTCCATCGCCTGACATGGCTCCGCCCAATCTGCGCGAAAGTTGAGCAGTGTGACTCGCTCGAGATCCTCGTTCAGTTTCGATTGCAGGTCTGCCGGTGATTGTACCACATGGACCGCCATCTCTGTGAACTGCTGCTTGCTTATTCTTTTTTGGCTGGGTGACAGGGTGTCGAATCAGGTCGAGCGCGTCAATCGTTTTGCATCAACGCCAAGGCGCGGCATCGTCAGCCTGCTGGGCTGGGCAGCGGTCACTTGATCAGTGGCCTGTCATGGCACCTCCCATCGATAGACCGCTCCCGCAAGGCTGGGTGAAGCAGTATGATGATCACTACCGGCGAGACTTCTATGTCGACACACTCCATCCCGACGGCAAGTCGGGCCGGGCTCTGTGGCGATGCTGCTTTGCTGATTTCCAGACTCGGTAGGTCCAAAATCGCACTGGGTCCATCCAGCAGACGATAGTTCCATAGTGCGCCAAGAGGTCCGACAGAGCTACGACAACAGTGCCAAGAACGATCAGCGCGCTCCGTCGCAGCCGCCCTACAACGCTCAGCCGTCCTACGGCCAGCAGTCGGGCTATCAGAACCAGCCTTACCCGCCCCAGTCCATGCAAAGTCAGCAGTATGGTGGATACCCGCAGCAGCAGCAGCAGCAGCCGCCATACTACGGTCAGCAATACCCTCAGCAGCAACAACCAGTCTACAATCAGCAGCCCATGTACGGTCAGCAGCAGCAGCAGTCACGCTTTGGCTCTGGCTATGGCGGGGGCGGTGGCAGATTCGGTGGCGGAAGGAGCTCGGGCATGGGCATGGGCATGATGGGCCTCGGCGGCGGCCTGCTTGGAGGTGCCCTGCTGGCCAACGCGTTTGATGATCACAATGACTACCAGCAGGGTGAGCGGGCTTGCGTCTGTCTCTGAAGTGCAAGCTGCTGACACTGCTCCGCTCAGGCTACGATCAAGGCTATGACAACGGACAGGACCAAGGCGACAACGGCGGTGGCGACTACGGGGGAGGAGATGACGGCGGAGGAGGCGGCGATTTCTAGGTCGCTCGCTAGCATGACAAGCGCACTTGTATCATTGCATTCAGTCTCACTTGCCAGTGTTTCCCGTTCCCTAGGCGGACATGGATGTGCACAGTATCATACATCTCCAACTAACTCATCGTGCGCCAGCGTCATCGTCTAGATTGCGGACGCCGGAATGCTTGGGTTCTGCCGTCAAGAGATTCGTGGCTCAGTCAATGCATCTGCCTGGAAGCAGTCGACGACTGACCGATGAGCGGATGTAATTGGGCGAGATAGGTGATCGACCACATGAGATAGAAGCAGACGATGAGCATGACGATCGATACCCTCGTCACCCTGACAAGTTTGATGCGGCGTGGTCAGTGTCCGTCATCTAGGCCGTTCGACCTTGCAACTCACTCGTGGTTGGGTCCCTTGGGAGTGAACGTGAAGCCAGCAAAGGCAAGACCGGCAGCTATCGCCCCGACGATGACGATCGTCAGGCCTGACATGGCTCAACAGCGCTCACCTCTCTCTCCGACGCTCGCGCAAGCTCGATTTCGTCGCGCTTATCGATAGCGCCCAGCCAGACTGGCAAGCCAACAGCATGGCGCTGCCCCGCAACGCTGTGCCGCAGGGTCAGCAGCACGCAGATGCAGCGGCTTCGCAGGGCAGAAGGGCGTCCGCTGCACCACCGGGTGCGCGTGCCATAGGCACCAGTCGTCAATCAGCTCGACGTCCTTCACACGCCTATGCAGCAGGCCAAGGTCCTCAGCAAGGTCAGCAGGGCGCCTTTCCGTCCAGCCTGAGCTATGTATGGAGTTATGCTCGCTCTCAGACCTACTATGGCGACAATCTGCCCACTTCGCCCAGTTTTGTCGACCGGTACGCCCCACCGTCTTTTGACTCTCTAGGCTCGAGATCAGGCAGACAGGCCACCTCGGGCTATGGCTCGACAGCTAAGCGTAGTAGAAGCAAGCGCAAACGCCTCAGGCAGCAGCTCCAGGCAGATCACGGCAACTTCGACGAGCCAGACCTCGAGGCAGGCTCACGCGACGCGAGTGAAGCAGACAGTCATTCCAGGACAGGCACCTCCGAGGATGACAACCACTCACAGCCCTCCCAGAGTGACGAAAGCTCCGACGGAAGCTCGAGCGAGGACGACCGTCTGTCCAACCATGCTTCGATCCCTACGCCCTTTGATGCCTCCCTCGCTGCTGCTACCGGCCACCTACAGTCTTGGGAGCCCGAAGATGAATGGGCAGCTCGGGCTAGGACCCCGTCGGCTTCTCCAAAACGGTCGCAGCAGAAACGCAGTCAGCCCCACGCCCGCCTGCCGCCGACCTCTACACCGCCGAGACGAAACGCTAGCGAGCAAACACCCTTGCTGTCCGGGCAGACCTCATCTGTGAATCTCGGCAAGCCAGGTGAGACGCCCGCAATGTCGCCTCTCTTACCTGCCTCGTATGCGTCCACGCCTTCAATCCTGACGCCCGCTAGACCGAGCCAGCGAGGCCGCAAAGCCGCCCCATCCGGGCTCGGCCTGCCCGCTCGATCGCCACCAGACGGTGTGCCATTTCCTCGCACAAATCATGCAGTAGATTCAGCGATTCGAGAGCATCTAGAAAGCAAACGCAGGATCACGCCCGCAGACGAGCACCGCGGCTCCTCCACGTTCGGTCAGAGTTTGTTCAATAGCATCAATGTCCTCATCGGCGTCGGTATCCTAGCCGAGCCTCTCGCCTTTGCATACGCTGGCTGGATCGGTGGCACGATCTTGCTGCTGTTCTGTGGTCTCATCACGAACTACAGTGCGAAAGTGCTCGCCCGCATACTCGCAGATGATCCAGAGCTGCACACGTTTGCTGACATTGGTGCCAAGGCGTTTGGCTCGGCAGCACGCACGTTCATCTCCATCCTGTTCTGTCTCGAGCTTTCCGCCCTTAGTGTCGCTCTCGTCGTGTTGTTTGGAGACTCCATGGGCACCCTCTTTGGGCCCTCAAGCACGACGTTTAAGCTGATCGGCTTTCTGATCATCACACCTACTGTCTTTCTGCCCCTTCGTCTACTTTCCATCAGCTCGCTTGTCGGGTAAGTCGCAAACAGCAGTCAGCAGCATCAGCTGATCCGTGCGCAGGATCATTTCAGTCATCTGTCTCACCGTAGTGATTTCGATCGACGGGGGCCTGAAGGCTGAACGTCCTGGTAGCCTGGCGCATCCGATGCCGACCAACATTGGGCCCGACTGGCATCACTTCCCCATCAGCTTTGGCTTGATCATGAGCGGCGTGCGTCACTCCAGTGAACTGTGACCCGCGCTGATCGACCAGTCAGTTTGCCGGCCACGCCGTGATGCCTTCGCTCGCACGGGACATGAAAGGTCAGTCAGTCTGAATACGAGTATCTTTGCCAGCTGTAACAGATGAGCAGACCCAACTCGCTTCAATCGGATGATCGATATGGCCTACGTCGTCGTGGCGGCCTTTTACGGCTTACTCGCCGTCTTTGGCTATCTCATGTACGGCACTGATGGCTTTGTGGGCTGTGTGGGCTGAGCTTGCTCGCAGGTTCGGAAATAATGTTTCTGATGAGATCACCCGAGATCTCTTGCGAACGCCAGGCTTTCCGCAGACACTGACGAAGATTGCCGTCGTGCTCGTAGCCATCAATCCAGTTTGCAAATTTGCACTGGCAACGAGGTGCGCACAGAACGACTGAGGAAGCATTCGGTCCATTAACGCGTTGAGCAGTCCTTTACATTCCACGGTAGACTATCTGCTCGGCATTGATGTTCATCAACGCGGTCACGATGGCCACGCGGAGCCAAGTCACCCACCGCTACGCATTTGGCCTAGCACAAGCCGGTCTCTGCGCCATCAGATTGGCTCTCAATCTACTCTACGTCACCGAACAAGCTCATTGCTCGCTCCGGACGGCAGCATCTTTGGACCAGACGGCCCACTGCAGAGCATGCTCTCTGTCGTCTCGCAGCCGTTGTTGAACAGCCGTCCACCGGTCAAACGTGGTGTTCGCGTGCTCGTCAAGGTCGCAACGACAGCCGTCGTCACGCTGATCGCAATCCTTCTGCCTCAATTCGAGGTCGTCATGAGCTTCCTTGGCTCTTTCAGTGCCTTTGTCATCTGTGGTGCGTCAGGCAGTCGCTCATGCTTGCACGCCTAAGGAGCGCTCGCAGTCATCATACCGGTCTCCTCACTGATGCGTATTTTCAAAAGCCGTCTGTCGAGACTCGAGTATGCGGTCGATGTTGGCCTGCTCGCCATCTCGACCATCATGGCACTCGTCGGCACCGTCTGGTCGTTTCTACCTCAGTGAATGCGTCTGGTCTGTCACCACACAGAGCGGCCTTGTAGACGTGCCGTAAGCTCAAGCTGGGTCGGATTGCACGATGCATCGAGCGTGAACAGCTGGGCTCTGCATCTTGTAGCTCTCGGTTGCACCGGACTTTCGAAGCTCTCGGGGACCTCGACATGTGTTTACGCGCAGCCTCTGCACTCACAAGGGCAGCACTAGCACGTATGAAGCGCGCGCCATTTGCAGGTTCTGGTGCTTTCCCTGAGGGAACATCGCAGTGCGGCTGCAATCTGCCACCAGACGAGGCTGGGTGGAGGCACGCTTTGCTTGTGCCAGCATATATGAGCTGCTAGGTCGATAGATGGACCGCCTCGGTAGCTCAAGGAGAGCGTATTGAGCGCTCAGCAAGCTTTCGGAAGGTATCGGACCGACCAGCCCGCTGTGCGCAAGGCCTCGGCTGCGGCGTGCCCATCCTTGACGAGGATGTAGTCTGTCTCGACTGTTGCGAGTGCATAGATGACGATGTGAGCCTCGGCCAGTACTCTGGACAAAGCCGACAAGACGCCAGTCACCTGAAAATCGAAGGGACCTCTCAATTTGATGAGGTGCCAGGCATCCGTCGATGAGGCTGGCGGAAGTCCTTTGGCTTCTGTGACGAGTGAGGTGGCAGCGACAACGGAGACTTCCTCGCTGACGTGGGAGATCGACAGGAAGCGGTCGTCGCTTTCTTGCGTCTGGACGAGCTGAACAGCCTGCCAAGCTTCAAGCGCCCGCACACGATCTGCCCTGTCTGTGTACTGCAGCGTGCTGTACTCGTCTGGGTACACGTGCACCTCCAGGGCCGGCCTGCTGAGATCCATCTGCAAGCTCGTTCAGCGTTCGAGGGTCCAAGCTCAAGCGCTCAAGTTCGGTCAACATCGTCGTCTCCTCGTCATCCGTCTCGTGTCAGCCGCAGCGATGGCAGAGGCATCCACCTCACAGCTGCCCGCGCAGACGCCAGCAGACCAGCGGCTGCTCGAGCGGTGGCAGCGCAAATTGTCCGTCATGACCGGCTTGAGCTCATCGCCGGCCGACATAGAGGCTTACCAGTGCCGCCAGTGTGAGACTATGAGGGACAAAGTCGTCAAGAGCAGTCCGTCCAGCCACTGTCTGTACGCTCTGCCTGACCACTCACACCTCGAGCGGGCCAGGTCCGATCGTGAGGTTCATCTTGACCCATTTGTCCTTGCTGCCGGACCCGACACCGCTCAAAGATCAGTCTGCGACGCCCTACCTGCCTGCATCGATCGCATGCGTGCCTTGCAAAGACGTCGCACCGGGCCTCTTTGCCGGTCATGATCCGGAGACGGGCATCTTTCTGTGCCAGGAAACCGTCATCAGAGACGAAGGCGTCCTCAGGAGCACGCTCGCTCATGAGCTCATCCACCTCTGGGATCACCGTCGCTTCCACCTGGACTATCGCAACCCGCGCCACAGAGCTTGTACAGAGGTAAGCTCCTCGTGTCCTGCAAAAAAACAGGCTGGCCCCTAAGCGACGGCTGCGTGTGCCCAGATACGCGCGGCCAACCTCTCAGGCGACTGCTCGTGGAAGAACGAAGTCAACAGGGGTCACTTTTCAATTCCGAGGCAGCATCAGCTCTGCGTCAGACGGAGAGCACTGCTCTCCCTCACGACCGGCTACTCTGCCATTCCCAAAGAGGAGGCAGAACGCGTCATCAACGAAGTCTGGGACAGCTGCTTTGCCGACACACGCCCATTCGACGAGATCTACTGACTCCTCTCTGCCACCTTAGCTCTGCTCGCTCGCAGCGGCGATGATGATGATGATGTGTGCAGATTGCATGGAATCGAGATTGATACTTAGAGGCGTGCTTTCGCGGCGATCTATCTAATCTTGCAGAATCACTGCAGCATTGCTTATCGAGGGTTCGCCCGTCTCTTTGACCTTTGATTCTGCAAGAGACCTCAACATCAGCATGCTGCCACACATAGAATGAGAGGCTTGACGCACGGAAGATGACCTTGTTGCCTTCTTTCCACATCTCGGTGACTAGCGTCTGACCTGGGTAGACAACGCCCGCGAAGCGAACCTTGATGCTCTTGAACGCGCCATACTTCTCAAACACGTGTTTGCCTGAGATGCCGAACGACGCAAGACCGTGCAGGATGGGCGCCTTGAAGCCACCGACGGCGGCAAAGCTGGGGTCGATGTGCAGCGGATTCCAATCGCCAGACAATCGGTAGATGGCGGCCTGTCGCTCGAGTGTCTGCTCCTCGACGACACAATCCGGCTTGCGACTCGGTGGCTTGTTGACCGCAGACGCCTCGCCACGGTCCTTGCCTGTCTTCTTACCACCAAAACCTCCCGAGCCTCGAATGAAGACAGTGCTCTGATTCTCAAACACGACTTCGCCCGAGTCCTTGTTGACAGTCTCGACGATCGAGGTGACCGCAGCTGCCTTACCCTTGTCGAGCACTTCGAGCAACTTGGCGCGGCTGACGAGTGTGCCGCTCGTCGGGATTGGTCCCTTGATGGCAAGGTACTGCTCGCCGTGCAAGAGCATCATCGGACTGAAGTTGGGCAACCAGTCCAGGCCGACGCTGCCGGATGCATGGAATTGAGGAATGACGCCGAACGTGGGCAGGACTTGGAATTCGTCGTCATTTTCAAAGGTATACTTGAGCTGCTGTTCCGTCGCGCCAATGCCGAGGTTATACAAGATTACATCCCTCTCGTCATAGCTATATTCGACCGGCTCATTCGTCTGCTTTTTGGCTTCCTTGACGAGGTCAGGATCGTCTGAGTCATCAAAAGTGCGACTGGCAAAGTCATCTCCCCCACTTGCATCCGAACTTGAAGCGTCTTCATCGTCGTCTTCGTCATTGCCAAAGTTGGAGATGATCGATTCGAGCGATTCGGCGGTCGAGTTCGGGTTTGTTGCGTTCTCGTCAAACTTGCAGATCTTTTCCCACTTTGACTTGATGTCTTCCGGCTTGACCTCTTTCTTGACACTGAATGCATGTCCCGCAGTGCGCTGCCATCTGACCGAAGCACACCAGCCTCCAGAGACCTCAAAGATGCCCATGGTGGTTTCTGACGCCTCGGAGGTGAGGTAGCCAACGACGGGGGCGACGAAATCGGGTTTGAAGGCCTGGACCATCTCTTCCGGCCAGATTGTCGCAGTCATGGCTGTGCCAGCATTGGGTGCAATCGTGTTAACGTAAATATTGTACTTCTTGCCTTCGATGGCAAGAGTCTTGCTCAGTCCGATGATCGCAGATTTGGCGGTCGAGTAGTTCGCTTGGCCGAAATTGCCATAGAGACCAACTGCAGAGGCTGTATTGACAATGCGCCCGTATTTCTGCTTCCTGAAGATCGGCCATGCGGCGTGTGACGTCGCATATGTACCTCGGACGTGGATCTTGTAGACGAGGTCCCACTCGTCATCGGTCAGTGAAGCGAATGACTTGTCCCGCAGGATGCCCGCGTTGTTGACGAGGATGTGCAGTCCACCAAAGGTGTCGACGGCAGTCTGAACGATTTCCGCCCCGTTCTCGACAGAAGCGGTGCTGATGGCTGCCTTACCGCCCGCCTTCTTGATCTCATCGACGACCTTTTGTGCACTGTTCGAGCGTTCAGTTGAGAAGCCTATTCGCTAGGCATGATACTTACACGTCCTTGCTGACGTCATTGACGATGACGCTCGCGCCAAGACGAGCATACATGAGCGCATAGGCCTTACCGAGACCGTTGCCGGCACCAGTGACGACGGCAACCTTGTCCTTGAATTCGATATTGCCTTCCTGCTTATTGTCCTTGATCTTTTTGGCTTCCTCTAGGAATCCAAGGTAGTTGGCGTCCGTGATGCTCTCTGGATACTCTGCGCCCTCAAAGTCGTTGACGTCGTCCCATCGCGCAGCAACAGCCGAGGGCGTGAAAGTTTCGTCTGGCTTGAAAACGACGCCTTTGGAACGCTCCCAGCGGACCTTGCCGTACCAGCCGGCGCCAGCTTCGAAAAGTAGACCGCCTTCTTGGTTGGATTCGTGCACGAGGTAAGCGACGAGCGGAACGACCTTTTCGGGCTGCAGTTGCTCGAGCATGTCGGGCGGCATGACCTTGCCTGTCTGTCAGTACCGGCGAACGATGTGTCGGAGCATAGTGCTCACAGTAGCGGTCATCTGCGAAGCAGCAACGGGCGCAATCGTGTTGGCGATGATGTTGTACTTGGCACCTTCCCTGCTGAGCGTCTTCGAGAAGCCATTCTGTGATAGTTTAGCCTAGCGATAGAACGAGATCAGTACGCAGAATGCATGGTGCTCGCTAGACTTGCAGAAGAATAATTGGCCTGGCCAAAGTTTCCGTAGATGCCCGCAGCAGACGCGGTGTTGACGATGCGGCCGTATTTTGCCTTGCGCATGTGTGGCCATGCGGCATGTGTCACCGAGTAAGGGCCTTTGACGTGCACGTCGTGAATGATGTCCCACTCCTTGTCGGTCATGGAGGCGAAGGACTTGTCGCGCAGGATGCCGGCGTTGTTGATGATGATGTCGATCTTGCCCCATTTGGAGACGATCTGGTCGACGAGCTTGTTGCCCGAGGTGACGGAATCATAGTTTGCGATGGCCTGGCCACCCGCGTCGGTGATCTCCTTGACCTTCTTGTCGGCGGCTTCCTTGTTCATGTCATTGACGAGCACCTTTGCGCCTCGCGAGGCGAAGAAAGTGGCATATCTGCATGTGCACCGACTCAGCCTCAAGCTCGTGCACTAGCTTGCGAGGTATCACTTGCGCACCGCCGAGCCCTCCTCCGGAGCCTGTGATGATGATGGTTCGGTCCTTGAAGTCAAGCGACATCTTGACGCGATCCGTGTAGAATATCGATGTCTTGTGCACGAGGTGAGCTGATCGCGATGGTGAGGTTCAGCTTGTGTGTCTCTTGTGGATAGCGTGAGGAGACAGTTCACCCTTATGAAGTATCCGCTCGTCTGCTGCTGCTGGCGCTGGCGGCCCGTCTGGCCTCGGAAGTTGCCGAATCAGTAAGTGACACAAGTCGCCCATCCGCGCAAACTCACTGGCCAAGGGCAGGCAGGTCCTGACTTTTGTATGCCGGTCAAGCGACGCTAGACTCTACAACATGGCGGGAGCGTCACAGCATGGCATTGAGACCGGCCATGCTCCCCATGCTGGACCAGGCGCGCCGAACAAGCCGACTTCCTCAGAGATTGGTGAGCTTACTACCGAGTCATCTTTGGCCGTCTTCAGCACGCTTGCTGACCCGGCGAACACGGCAGGTTGGATGTTCATTCCCCAGGTAGGGCTTTCGCTCCGATCGGCCTGCCAAAAGCGCTGACGAGGTCAGCAGTACTACACCTTTCTCAACAAGGATCCCGCTCGGCTTCACTGCTTCTATCACAAGCGATCCACGCTCATCCACGGTACCGAGGGCGAGGTCGAGGAGGCACAGGTCTGCCATGGACAGTCGGTCAGTAGCGCTCCGTCTTATGGTCAACGCGTCTCACGGCTCGGCTCCGGCATTGACAGGAGATTCACGAGAAACTCATGTCGCTCGGCTTCAACGACTGCAAGGTCTTTGTTTCCACCGTCGACTCGCTGCCTTCCCAGGATGGGGGCATCATCGTCCAGGTCATTGGCGAGATGAGCAACAACGGCGGCTCCTGGCGAAAGTTCAGTCAGACTTTCTTTCTTGCCGCTCAGCCCAACGGCTACTTTGTCCTCAATGACATCTTCCGCTTCATCAAAGAAGAAGGCGACACAGACGCCATCGAGGAATCGGCCATCATGCCACCCGAGCCAGCGCCATCCGCTCGGCCGGTACTGCCGCAGGACACACCCAACGAGTCGTCGATCCATTTGACAGGCGCGCAAGCTAGCTCCATTGACGTCCGCTCACCGCCTGTAGCAGTCAGCAATCACACTGCCCCTCGTAACGGTGTCAATGGCCGCACTTTGCTCGGTCAGTACGATGCTACCGTACCGCAGATTTCGCCACCGTCCCAGCTGCCTGTAGACCAGTCGGTCAATACAGGATACCACTCTTCGGCACCTTACACCGGCCAACAGCCCGAATTCGCTGCTCCCTCATCTCGCTTTGACCTCATGCCTTCTCAAATGAGGATAACCCAGCCTCGTCCGGCCGCTGCCTCAACGGCATCCACTACACTGTCAAGCCCGGTCTCTCTGCCCACTGCCGAGTCTCACGCCCAGCCAAAGGCTCCAATGCTCCACAGTGAAATCGATACCGCAAGTAATCAGCCTCGCGACGAGGTAGTCAATGCTAAGTCCTCGACCGCCGTGTCTATGCCCAAGACTCCCCCGTCAACAGCGCGGCCGGCGCCGGCGCAGACGCCCGCCGAGGCTTCGACAGCGCCTCCGTCTGCTGGCTCAGCCTCTGCCGGTCCTACCCCCGCCAGTACAGCCATCACATCTGTCAGCAGCTCACCAAAGCCGGACGATATCCGAGCATCTGCGCCGACCCCCGTTGAGCGCGCCACTACACCCCCCGCGCAGGCCTCAGCGATTCAACCAGACGGTACCAGCCCATCTGCTCCCAAGACATGGGCCAATCTTGCTGCTGCCAGCGCGAAGAAGCCTCGTCCGCCGAGCACGATCCAATCGGGGCCAAGCTCGTCAGCTTCGCTCCCAGCTGCGCCAATGCCGACTATCGTCGCTTCCAATGGCACATCACAGCAACATTCTGTATCAGCATATGCTTCGCCTTCAGGGCAGCAGCAACAGTCGCCGCAACAGCCAGCGACTGCGACTCGGACGCAGCAGCCCACGCCAAACAGGGCGGGCAACAGACCGCCTTATGAGGTGTTTGATCCTGCTTCTGTCCTGACACCCAATTGCTTCATCAAAGGGGTCGTCAATGCGATCTCCAATCAAAATCTGCGAGCCGCCGTCAGTCCCTTTGGCTCGATCAGAGAGCTCGAGATCAACCGCCTCAAAGTCTGCGCTTTCCTCGAGTACAACACCGTGGAGAGCGCGCGAGCCTGTATCGTAAAATCACATGTACCGCCGGGCGGTATACCTGTACAGACGAGCGATGGCACGATCTATGTCTACGTTCACGAGAAGAAGAAGATACCTCCGGGCGCAAATGTTAGTGCGATGCAAGGCAATCGAGTACGACCTGTGAGGCCTCCCATTTCTTTGGGCAAATGCACAGACTGACATCTTGTCCAGGGTGTCGGCAGAGGCAAGAACCAGTCGCCCAAATGAAGCATGCCCGGAGCAGTGTGTTCAGAAGCATCTCAGAAGCAAACGCAACTAAAAGGGGTTCCTCGGAGTGCCGTGTTGACAAAAACTTGCATTGCAACTGTTTCTACAGACACACATTCAGATGTACCTACCTCTCGGACTGGCGGATGCAGACAAGACACGCTGCCCTCCTGGAGACCACTTCTCATCGCTGCCACTGCCGCCGTATCGATCCACAATGTCACCATAATCCGACTTGATTTCGTCGCGCATATAGTCTGGCCTGTCGAGCTCATCGCCGAAGAAGTCTCGCGGCCCGTCTTCAGCATCGTCGGCCTTGTATGAAGTCGGCAAACCGGGTGAAGGTGGTCGTGAGTCAGACTGAACCGACTTGCCGTTCGATCGCATGCTACGACGTATGTTTTGCTGCGCGCAATGCTTAGCTTCGCGCGCCATGATACGCAATCATGGCTAACCTGCTTGATTGAATGGAGCGCGATCGGTATCTGCTTCAAAACTTGTTCTACAAGGAGCAACATGGCTGCGAGACCCGTGATATACAGTGCAGGCCCGGCAGATGCCTTGACCGCACCCTGACTCGTCACGGCCGTCAGCGTTTGGTACGCGAACAGCTGTGACATATCGGCTGCAGAAGTTATCAGCATTGTGTGTCTGCAGTGACGCAGGGACCTGCCTGCAGCCGCTCCAACGCCTAAGAAAACTCCGATGGTGCCTACCAAGCCGAAAGGCTCGCGCACAAGCCACGGCATGAGCTGCCTGACAAGGGGCTGTGATTTCGGCAGCCGAGGCAGCCACATGAGCAGAAGACCAAAGAAAAGCATCGAAACGGCTGTTGTTGCCGGATGTCAGCAGGTCTGTGCGAGCTCAGTATTGCCTGCCTACATGTTGTATGGAAGATGCCACTCGGTAGGGACTGTGCCAACAGAACTTGGTAAATCTGCTGCTGAGCGAAACTCGGAAACAGAGGAGGTGTCAAGACAGATGCGCAGGACGGCACGTCTCCTTCTGCGCCTCCACAAGCGCCCCAGCCACCAATCCGAATGTTCAATCGTCGCACAGCCGGTAGCGAGCTGATTGTTCGCTGGACCAGATCGTCCAGTCGCATTCCTCGTATGACGATGGGCTCGGGAGATGCTGGTAGAGCAGCCATGAGGACGGTCTGTTCGTCAATCGAGGGAGTGGAGATGTTGCCGAACGCAAAATCAATCGCCCTGTCGAACGCGACGGTATAGTCTGGTCCCAGCCAGGTAGTCGCTACGTTTCGAGTGTTTGTTAGAAATTGCTGAGTTGTGCCATCTGCTCTTGATCGCTGCTGTGCCAGTGAGGCCCGCTGGAATCTGGCAATCGTCGAGACCGAGACGTCTGTCAGGTTGGTGGTCTGGATGTTAACCGTGCTGAAGTTCTGGAGTATCGGTGTAGTGAACAGGGCAAAGAAGAGCAAGAGGTTTGCAAAAGCGAGCAAGATGACTCTAATTGAGCGCAGAAAAGCGTTTCCTGGCTCCTGTCTACCCATAACGGCGCGGATGTCTCGAAGACAGTCGCTTCAGATTACTGCGTTGTGTAGATCCGCGCATGCCGGGCGTTGCGTTGAGAGCTGAATGTACCGTGGGAGTTGCAACCTACGATCAACGCCTCGGTGTGAGGCCGAGCTCTCTGGGTGCGCGTTGGGCTGCGGTCCGTGCAGATCATGCACTACGAAGGCGGAACATGGCCGGCGGGAACGATGGGATATGACGATGCAATCGTCGGATGAGGCCGGGGGTACAACAGTCGAAGAGATCGTGCTAGCTTCGGAGCCAGGTGTTCGAGGCGCGCACTTCTTTGCTGAGCGTTTAAGGAGGAGGCCCTGCAGCTTGGCTCACACGAACTGATTGAGAGCAGGAATAGAGGCGGGACGCGTTGCTACAGGACGCTGCTGCAGACGATGACTGGCAGAAGGGGACGCCGCCTTTGATTGATCGCTCGGCAGACACTGGCATGCAGCTACGCCGCCATTGAGTCCTCTGCTGGCTGCTCGCCAAATGAGAATCCACCAGAAGGAGCAGCGACCGTATCGTCGAATTGGAAGCCACCCGTAGCGTTGAGTTGCGCTTCTTCCTCTTCGACATCATCGTCTGGGAAATACTTGTCCAGGATGAAGAAGCATTTTTTGTAGATTTCCATGTTGTCGTGTCGCTGCAGCGCATGTATGGTGAACATGCCACCGGCTTGCTCGACAAAATGGGCGTAGAGATTGCTGCCACCGTTGGCGTCTTTCTCCGCCTCTCCGACCTTGAGAATGTTCTCTATGCCGTCGAGCGCGACTTGGATAATCTTGTTGTCGAGCAGCTTGAGCAACTCACACAAGGGCTTAATGCAGCCCTGGGAGACAAGATATCTGATCTGACTCGGCTCTGCCAACCCGCCACTGGTCGCATTTGAGATTGCCCAGCAAGCTTCCTTCTTGGTCTTGTAGTCTGCGTTTGAGAGAATGTTGATCAGTGGCGGCACGATGTTGGCATCAATGACCGCAGCAATCTGATGAGTCGAGCCGGCAGTGATGTTTGAGATTGTCCAGCAGGCTTCCTTGCGGATGCCATCTTTTGGCGAGGAGAGCAAAGCGAGAAGGGCGGGCAGGGCGCCAGAGGCAATGACGATCTGTGTCTGCACATCGTCGCCTGTTACAATATTGCCGACCGAACGAAGGGCAGGTGTCTGAACCGCTGTGGACGCATGCCTGTCGACAGGACGATCAGCCTAAGCTCCTGAATGTACACAGGCACGCACATGAGCAGATCAATAAGTCTGCGGACGACACCTGATTCGATGACAGTCTGAATCTTCTCGTTAGAGCCATCGGAGAGATAGCTGATAGCCCAGCAGGCGTCGATGAGGACCTCGTCATCCATGGAGTAGATGAGCTTTGTCAGGACCGACAAAGCAGGCGAGATCTGCATGCGGATGTCATGTCAGCGCGTATAGGTTGGAGCATATACAGGCAAGCTGACCAAGTCCCAGTTGGGCTGAGGATTCTTGCCACGGCAAAAGTTTGAAAGCGTCCAGGTGGCATTGCGGAGCATGCTAAGCTTGTGGTGCTCGCTAAGCAGACTGAGAAGAGGTCGGAGCGCGCCTTGCTCGAGCACATGATCACGGCATTTTGGCGAGTCACCTGCGATGTTGCCCAGCGCCCAGACGGCTTGCTCTCTGACATCGGCCACGGGAGAAGAGAGCAATTCGATAAAGATTGGTACTGCGCCGGCGGCGATGACGACCTGAGTGTGATCGGAGGTACCGGAAGCAATGTTGGTGAGCGCCCAGGCTGCCTCGAACTGTGGTCAAGTGCATCAGCACTCCTGATCAACGAGATGATGTCGAGATTGTGAGGACGTACCTGGATCATCGAGTGAGGACTCCTGAGGAATTCGACGAAACGCGAGACGACGCCACATTCGATGACGGATTCGATGGGTGGGTTGCGCTCCTTGGAGAGAAGCTTTCTAAACTTTGTGGTGGCATCGAGCTGCGCGTCGACAGAGTCTGAAAAGACACCGGCCATCATCTGAGGTAGTTGCTGTCGAGACAGCATCGCCACGTCAGTGATGCGCGAACCTCGAAAGTAGCTGCTCTCGACCTACCTGGGTTTCTGCTGCGCTCGTGCCCGTCTCGTCATCGCTGTCGGCATCATCTGAGCCAGCGAGGGAAGAGGGAGCCTGGAGGTTGCGTCTCTTCGCCACGCTTTCTTCGCGTTTCTGCTTGCGGATCTCGACCTGCTGTTCCTCTCTTCAGACCTTGCTGATGTCAGCCAGGCTCTTCGACAGCCAAAGGGCAGGCAGAAAAAAAGCGACCCGCCTGCGTCGTCTGAGTTCATCCTGTTTGAAAAGGCCCTTGCCTTTGAAGCCCGATCGACGTGCCTCCGCCATGATTCTGTGCTTTCCTTCCGTCGGCCGTCGTTCGACGTCGGTAGCCCAGATTGATGGCTCACCTCGTTGGCTTTATCTGGCGAGCGTGGCGAACAGCGTCGCACTTGGAATTTCTTCCGTCGCGACTTTTGCCAGCTTTGCCAGGCCAGCCTCGACGTGGCGCGCAGAGCGTGATGCAAGGCTTCAACAAAGTACGTCCACCTCGCTGTCTTGCGGTAGAGGCTCATCACAGCTGTGCAGTACTATCCACCCGACTAGTCAGTATCACTCGGCGCATCACGGACCAATCCTTTGACTGACAATCATCTCAGTGATCCCTCAAAGTCAGCGTCACTCAATGCTTATCACGGCAAGCACGCTCTGGGCGATCGTGCTCGCAAACTTGATCAAGGTGTCCTCATCACCCGCTTTGAGCTACCCTTCAATGTCTGGTGGTGAGCGGGTCGTCTTTTCATGCCGCTTGACACATGCCGACCGCGACGAGGCAGTGGTGGATGCGACGCTCATATAGGCATGGGCGTGCGATACAACGCCGAGAAGAAGCGCGTCGGAAACTATTACACCACCTCGATCTATTCGTTCAGGTGCAAATGCCATCTATGCGGCCATTATTTCGAGATCCAGACGGACCCTAAGAATGCCCGCTACGTCGTCACCCTCGGCGCTCGCCAGAAACACGAAGAGTGGGATCCCGAAGAGAATGGCACGATTGTCTTCAAAGGTGCGCGACTGCATCTCTGCATCGGGCATTGCGGCACTGAACGGAGAAGCAGAGCCCTCACAAGCGCCCGCAGATCCATTCGCCGCCATCGAGCAGAAGACTACAGATCGAACACGCGCAGAGACGGCAGCGACGCGGCTTGAAGCCCTCGAAGAAAGCAGGGCAGAACAATGGGCGGATCCTTACTCGCAATCACAGCGATTGCGTGACTCTTTCCGGACAGAGAAGCGTGGGAGGCAGATTCAAGATGCCCGCGACGGTCTCGTCAGAGATCGTTTCGGTCTCTCTGACAAGCTCCTTCTAGGAGCCTCTACGAAAGACGAGGAAGAGCAGGATCGCAATGCATGGCAACGTGCAAAGGCACAGTCGGCAGCCGCTGCCCAAGTTAGTAGACGGCATCAGGAGGATGTGTTGCTCGGTCGAGAGCTCATGACATCTCCCCGCAAAAAGCGGTCGGCCGATCCACAACCGTCCGCTGCCAGACAGCTCCAGAGGCAGCTTTCGCGCACCCGCAGGAAACACAGTGACCCCTTTCGCGCCGCCTTGCCTGACAAATTTCTGTGAGCTTTGCCTGATCGCGTCCTTGTTGTTGGAGCAGAAGCTGAGATGATGTTGTACCAATAATGTGAACAACAATGACCTTCTAAGCATTCTTCAGGACGTTTGTCCGCCTAGGCTGCACGCTCAATCGCGTGCCTCGCCTGCGACACAAAATCGTCTAAAGCCCGCTTTGCGCGTCCTGAGCGGATACTCTCACGAGCCAAGCTTACTCCTTCGAGTAGAGTATTCGCTCGACCGGCGAGCATGATGAGGGCGGCCGCGTTCATGACGACAAAGTTCTCGATGGCATCGCTGGGCGCGAGCTCGCCCTGCAGGAGAGCACTGAGAATGACAGCATTCTCGGCGGGCGTACCCCCTCGTACGGCCTCTAGCGAATGTGCGGTCAGACCGAAATCAGCCGGTGCGATCGTCTGCTCCTGGATGGCGCCGCCATGGAGAGACCAAACCTGCGTACTGCTCAACGAGAGCATCAAGAAAACGATGCGAAACCACAAACATGCGTTTCGCCGGCCGGACTGATTTCGTCCAAGCCCTCGGCGCCGCAAACGACCCAGGCCCGCCGAACGCTCAGACTGGCAAGAGCACGGACGAATTGTTCGCCCAGATAGCGCGAGTGCACGCCAACGATCATACACTCTGGCCTGGCAGGATTGACTAGCGGGCCTAGGATATTGAAGATAGTGCTGAAGCCTAGCTCCCGTCGGACGGGCGCGACTCTGACCATGGCAGGGTGGTAGAGAGGCGCGAAGAGGAAGATAAAGGAACTCGTCAGACTCGCCAGGGCAGTCGCAGGCAGCTCGGTGATCGGCGCACCCGCCGAAAGCAAGATATCTGCAGATCCTGAACTAGAGGATGCAGCTCTATTGCCGTGCTGCAGATGGACGGACATGTCTTTCAGCATGCACCCCGAGAGCTGCGAGGCCTGGCATACCTTGCAAACGCGGCAGCCAGCACCGGCAGCGACGAGTGCAGCTGACGTGCTAACATTGAACGTGTTGTGACCATCGCCGCCCGTGCCGACGATGTCGCAGATGGGTGATTCGTCAAGCTCATTTGATTGGGCAAGAACAATGGCCAGAGCTCTGCTGCGGAGGACCTGGGCGGATGCAGCGATGATGTCTGACCGACGATCGAGCCCATACGCTTTCAGAGCGGTCAAAAAGGCTGACAGTTGAGTGGCTGGGACCGCAGATTCACGGGCTGTGATGAGCTCAAATGCCCTCGTCGTCGCTGGCGCATCAAACTTGCCGGGCGTGTTGGCGAGGAGCTTGAGCAAGTCTGCGAACGAGGGGTCTGATCTGCTCAGACTCGAAGCCATGACGGCTCGAAGGTCGAGCTTGCGAGATTGAGATGTCGTCGTCAATCTTGAAAAACTTTGGGCCCACGGCGCCAGCGAGCGGCCATTGAGCCCAATTTATGAGTGTCACTCTGCAGGCCTAGCAAGACCGGCCGGCCTCCCGTTGCCTACAGGCGAGTGAACATGACGAGCAAGCACGTCAGTCGGCTTGCAAGCTCAGCCCTCCAGCGGCTTGCAGCAGGAACGAGTCAGCCGCTGCCAGCTCGGGTGCTGCCACCTTGCCGATGCACAAGACAGGCTAGCTCCAGCACACATGGCAAGACGGCAGCGCAGAGGCGAAGCAAGACACCGAGAGCAGCTGTGCCACAAGCCTCTGTTGGCAAGCCAGTAAGTCAGGAGAGCGAGAAGCCAGATGAAGAATGGTCTGTCGACCGAGAGTTGCCATACCTGCGGACAGACCTGCCAAGGCATCTCTTCGACAGAGTCGATTTAGCCGCTTTCGACAAGTTCCTGGACATCAGACCAGAGCATAGAGTGCCCGATGAGCCAGACGTCATCATACTCAATTCACCCAAGATGCTCGAGCCAAAAGCGATCCCAAAGGGTGAAACCCACCCCCAGCCGGATGCCACAGACGCCGTCCGATCGCTCGCTGCAGAGACCTCCATGACCGCAAGTCAGCTGCGCAGTCTGCACCGCTACGTTCTGGCACTCAAGCGAGTCAGCAATCAGACTACCAAGGGCAAAATTGGCTCGTTCTACGCTCTCATCGTCGTCGGCAATGGTGACGGCCTCGTCGGCTACGGGGAGGGTAAAGGCGCTTCGATCCCCTCTGCAGAGAACAAGGCTTTCGTGCAAGCCGTCAAGGGCATGGAATACATCGAACGGCACGACGGGAGGACTGTCTTTGGCGACAAATCAGGCAAATGGGGCTCGACCTTGCTCACCATCCGTCAGCGACCGCCAGGTACGCAGCCCTCTTCCCCAAGACATTTCATTCACTGACAGTCTCTGCAGGCTTCGGACTCCGGACATCTCCGCTCATCCATCAAGTCGCCAAGGCGGCCGGCATCATCGATCTCAGCGCAAAAGTACGCGGATCGCGCAACGCCATGAACACTGTCAAGCTGGCCATGCGCATGCTTGCCGGGGGGGCATCTCCTTTGGGTAAGTCTGCACTCTACACGCCCTCCACTCAAGCTCACGAGTTCACACAGGCTACGGCGATGGATTCGGGGGCCGCGGTCAAAAGGGCAACAAGGGCGTCGGCATGCGCACGGCAGACGAGATTGCTCGTGCCCGCGGTAGACGTGTACAAGTTGTATGAGATTGCACGTCGGCAGAATTGAACGTCGGCCAATACGCATCACGTGCAATGGCCAATTGTACATTCTCAAGCACGTCCGCGCTTTGGCATTCGTGCGATGCCATGCAATGACTATCATTGCGCATGAGAGGCTCACACGCCGATACTGCAGGCTATATTCCTCTACGCAGTCCCTTCCATGAAAATGAAGATGCTGGTCAGTGAGCTTGTTCCGTCACCGACGGCTCCATCTACTTCCTGTACAACCCATTCCTTCCCTCGACGGTCCCAGTCGGCAGGACATCATCCTTAATCGCCGATGACTCAGTACCGGCATTTATCGCTAGCCATTGTCGAGAGTCGTTCGCACCCACTAGCAGGATCTCGGACGGCGCTCTGTGCGCACTTTGCCCTTGCATTCCCGCCAATTGCAAGCGACCGAGGACTTTGTCACCCTCGACGCGTTGTCGATGACCACGCCTCATGGAGCAAGTCGCTTGTCGCTACGTTTTGCTGACTTGTTGCTCGGTCGTCGTATCATGGCAGATACCGATTACCCGGTTTCGAATGCTCCCGTTCGGCCTTCCTTCGAGTCATACACCTCGAGGTCATCACTGGATCCTCAAGCGCAAGCTGAACCGAACCGCAAGGGCTCGCAAGATTCCGATGACGCTCACACATTTCTGACTGCCCAGGACGATAGTGAGCAAGAGCACGTTACCGTTCACAGTCCGTCTATCTCACAGCGCCCCGCGATATCCGGAGCCACCTCGCGTCGCGATATCTGGGGCTTCTGGGTCTATTCATTTGCTTCCGAGGTGCGTCTGGCGAGGCAACGTCATTGAGCGTGACCTCATACAAGCCCAGGTCTACGGATTGGTCGTGCTCGGCTTGTTCGGCCCGGTGTTACTCGAAGCGTTTGCCAGAGAGCATGGCGTCTTGGCCACAGATCACAGCATCCCTTGTCCGTCCGCATCAAGTCCGGCACTCGCAGACTCACAGGCGGCCTGTGTCGTACAACTCGCGGGCACCTTTCTCGCGACCGCAAGCTTTTCCCTCCTCATAGCCAGCCTGGGCGTGTTTCTTCAAGCTCTGACGGTTATCTCTCTCGCACCGCTTGCTGACGATCTCCGCTATCGCAAGGGTCTCTTGACTCTTTTTGCAATGACGGGGAGTCTGGCAGCACTGGCTTGGCTTGCTGTGCCTATCGGAAGTCCCCTTGTTCTGGCCCCAGTGCTGTCCGTGCTCGGGTCCATCTCTTATTCAAGCTCTGGTACAATCCTGAACAGCTACTTGCCGGGACTTGCACGCGGTCTGCCAGAGGTACAAGCTCTGAGGAAGGCTGCAGCTCCGGCGTTGCTCAAGCAGCACTCATCGTCATCGCATATGCAGAAGGATAGCACAGACACGAACGCATGTTATCAGCAGCACGTTTCCGACAAGATGTCCTACATCTCTTCCAAAGGGATAGCTTTCGGCAGCGCAGCAGGAATCGCTCTCATGGGCCTTTCGCTCTTGCCCATCACAATACTGAAAGGCTCAACGCTCGCCCTGAGAATCGCGCTCGCTTCTGCCGGCGCTTGGTGGCTCATCTTCAGTATACGTGAGCGCCCTAATATGATAACAAGAACGGTGCTCAACTGATTATAGCCGCTCTCCTGCTCATACGACGACAGATTAGTGGCCAGGACAGTCCCGTCACACACACCCTACTTGAAGGCTGGTCAAGCTTGGGCAATATGATCAAAGAGCGACATCGGCTCAAGATGACATTTCGCTTCCTGTTCGCCTGGTTCATCTTGTCAGACAGTTACAGTACCATCACTGCCGTGGCAATCCTCTTTGCGCGCGTAGAGCTGCGTATGCCGGCTTCATCGATCGTCTTTATCGGTCTACTCGTGCCTGTCTTCGCAATCGTCGGCGTCCTGCTTACCCCGGTCATTCAGCGTTACTTCAACTATTCGCAGCTCCGAATGCTCACCGTGCTCGTCTTTCTGACGAGCTTGATACCTCTGTACGGCTGCCTTGGCTTCGTGCCGGCTTCACCGCTGGGCATCAAGTCATCGAGCGAGATGTTCGTCGTCTCGAGCGTTTTTGGGTTCCTCTATGGCGGCTTCTCCTCATATTCGCGCGTCTGCTACGGATCTCTCATACCACGAGGACAGGAATCGCGATATTTCAGTCTCTTTGCAATCACCGACAAGAGCGCAGGTCGGTCTGGCTGTCTTGTCACGGTCTTGGCTGATACCGTGTTGCAGCTTTCATTGGCCCGCTCTTAGTAGGTCTCCTTGCAAACGCGACTAGCTCTATACGATTCGCGTTTCCATTCCTACTTTTCACGCTGCTGAGCGCGACTCCACTGTTGCTCTTCGCAGTCGATATGAGAGCCGGCACCGAGGCAGCCCACCTCTACGCTCAGCAGGATGATCTCAGCAATCGACTCAATATGACGCAAAGGTAGCTAGTCCTGATACGCGACATCAGAACGGACGATTGTGATGTCTAGACGAAGGATGCAGACCATGTCATATCTGGCTTAAAAAGAAAAGCCATAAGCTTTGCGACTCGCTGCCGCCGAGGTCGTCTTGACCGGACTGAGGCTTGCCGGAATATCAAAATAATCGGCGTCTGGCTGCTCCCAGTCGTACTTGCGCTCAGACGCACTTTTACTGAGCTTGATCTTCTTGCGCACGGCATATTTGGCAGGTCCTGTATCCCTAACGATAGCTGTGGGCGCCTTGTGGTCCGTTGTATGTGCTGAAGCGCTGATATTGGCATCAAAGTCCTTGCGCTCTGCCAGCGCCTTGGATTTTGACTTGCCGCTATTTGGCCGTTTCGTTGAGGCATACGCAGACATTTGGTTGCTCTGCTCCTTCGCACGAGACATACAGATCGCCTCTGTGCTTTCTCTCATGGATAAACTGGAGCCTACGATGCCCGTACGGATGTCAGCCGGAATTGTCGGATTAGAGAATGGGGGTGCAGGACTTTGCTGGCTGAGCTGCATAATCCGAAGATTTTGTGCATCCAGCAGGTCTTGCGAGGCGTCAATCTTGCTCTGCAATGCTTCCTCTCTATCTTCCTTGTCGGTCTCTGCCGGGTGCGATCGCCTATCCAGGTCTGCCCGCAAGGCCTCTTGTACACGAGCCGCTTCACTGAGGCTTGCATCCCGCTCTTTGACTTGCATATCGCGCTCTTTGAGTCTTGCCTTGAGCTCTTTGACGGCATCTTTTGATATCTTAATGTCCAATGAAAGCTGGTCCTGAAAGGTCTCCGCCTTGCTCGCCTGCGATGCTGCGTCGAGTCGCAAAGATTCGAGATCAGCCTGCAGATGAGCCTGCGCATCGTGAGACCGCTCAAGCTTGGCTTGCAAAGTCGAGAGCTCCTGACACGACGTCCGGAGTCTTTGTTCGCCTCGCCACGAATCGAATCGCGCGCCACTGAGCTCCAGCTTGGCAGTCCGACGTGTCTCTTCAATGTTTCTCGCGTGTGAAAAGCGCATCTCTGCTCGATAGGCGGCAAATTCCTTGTCTCTTCTGGTCTCGCGCTTCCGAAGACGGGATATTGTCTCCTCGGCAGCAGCGCACCGCATTGTCATACTTTGCATTGCCGATTTGATAGCGTTCAGCTCTGACAGAAAGTCGCGTTTCTCCGCTTGCCAAAGCGCCTGCTCTGCTGCGCGTGTCCTTGCTAGCGCTTGAGAAGTTGTCGACGTGCTCGCATCTAGCGAAGTCAGATACTCACGCTGAGCAATCTCCTCACGGCAACGCCGTGCCTCTTCCTGACTATGGGCCAGGGCTTGCCGAGCTTCGCTGAGTGAAGAAATCGACGCTGCAAGCTCATTGCGCATCGAGGCACATCTTTGCGCTGCATCTGATTGCAGAGACTTTGACGTTTCCCGCTCTTGCAACAGCTCCTGTGTGAGTCTGCTAACCTCGAGCGCCAGGGAGCCTTCTAGTCCGCTCGCTGCTTCTGCCATTGGCGAGTGACGTATATCTGGGATAGGCGCACTCGTAAGCGGTTGGATTTCAGAAGGGGCCGAAGTGGCAAGAAGCGGAGATGGCAGAGGAATGGGTGAACGCATCACGCTAGGATACGCTGACGGCGCTGAGTCTGCTGCCGCTACCGGCACTCGCGTTTTCGATGGCTCGGCTAACATCATGTGTGAGCTCACATGTGCCGGCATTTTGGCTGAGGGAAACGTACGACGTGCAACGCCTTCATCAATCACAGTATCGTCGTCGTCGTCGTCGTCGTCGTCGTCAGAAGGCGTCACATTGTGCCCGGCTAGCTGACTTGTGATCGACGTAGTGCGTGCCAGTGATCGAGGCCAAGATGCGGGATGAGTATTGCCAAGGCGAGCTGGTGCACGGGCGCCGACTGAGCCGAGAGGACTCCATTGATACTCTTCTGGCTCCATGTTTGCCGCTGACAAACGACTTGTCACCACTGCGGGTGCCGGTCCACTTGAGTCGCATAGCGCGGTGGTAGTCGCTTCGATTGCGAGGCTGCTCTGCTTTGGAGAATGCTGTACCGGTCGGAAGGTCGCTTGAGCAGGCGAGACTTCGTCCAGACGCGCGTGTTGTTTGCTCACTTGAGACGGCGTTCTTGCGACATCTGGCTGTCGGCTCGGCACATTAGGCGCCGCTGGTCTCTTCGCCACGATCTGTGGCGAGCGCAACACTGGCATTCCACAGTAGTCGTCTCGGCGCTGGCAGCGACGTGTGTAGAAGTTGACCGCGCACTGGACTGATCGAACCCAAAGTCAACGCGTCGCTTCAGCAACAACGCTCAACGATGATGACGATCATGTCGCGAGACTTGTCTGACAGGCTGCCACTCATGCTACAAGTGCGCGGATCGGTTTATCAAAGAATACGATGGCGGCTGCTCGGCTTTGCAGCATTCGCGGCAGTAGCTGCGTTCCTCGATCAGCATAACGTGATTGGCGAATGGAGCGATGCGAGCAGCAGCGCATTGCCGATGTTCCTCAGCATGCTCGTCAGCATGATGGTCAGCTTTCGGTTCAGCAGTAGTCTCGAGCGCTTGAACGAAGGGAGACGGCTGTGGGCTTCCCTTTTGACGCAGACGCGAGTCTTTGCGAGAGCCGTTTCATTTGCGCCAATCGAGCATACGCCATCGGCAGCTAAGGACAGCTCTTTGAAGCTGCTCGTCGCTTTTGCGTACGCGCTGAAATCACATCTGCGCGATGAGGCCGCACTCGACGAGCCAATGCTGCCTCCTCTACTATCCTTCGAATTGCTTCAGGCTGCCAAACAGATGGCTCGTCGGAGCAACCACGTTACCTCTGAAGCAGATCGAGAACTAAGTGCACTCAATGATGACTCTCACTTCGAGCTCGCTCGGCGGTCTGCGCCGTCCGCAACCGCGAATCTGCCTCTCATAATCCTAAGGCATTTGCACGTCCATCTCAATTGCTTGCGCGCGGACAAGACGCTCGAAATATCCGATCACGCCTTTCTCAACGGCATACTCAGGGAGATGACTGACATTGTCACAAAAACTGAGCGCATCAAGGCAACGCCAATTCCCATGTGCCTTGGCATACAGTAGGCGAGCACTTTTAAGCTGCAGCATCGCTGACAGACCTTGACAGCCTGCAGCAAATGCTGACGCTGTACTTGATGTCGATACCGCTTCAGCTCGTGGGACAGTTCGGATACGGCGTGATTCCGATTACTGTACTTGCCGCACATTGCTTCCTGGGCGTTGATGCCTCGGCCGAAGAGCTTTCTGATCCCTTTGGGAGAGAAGAGAATGATCTGCCGCTGGATCAATACTGCAGTGATATACATCGCGAATGGCAAGAGCTCGTTCAGCAAGGCCGTGCGAGTGGTGCAAAATTGAACGACGTTGAGCCTGTCTTGCCAGGATCCAAGCATGGCATTCAGCATCCTGATTGACTCGCGACGTACGCCGGGCGAATCGTACCGGACAGGACTAGTGCCAATTCTGCGCTCGAATCGTGTCCACGGCTGGCTATCGTACGGCAGCGCCAACAGTGGCTACGAGCTCTCGCTGATCTCTCAAGACCCACGGATGATCAACGGCAGCGCAGTGTGACGTAGCTCCCAGACAGTCCTGCGTAGGAGCCTCTTCTGGCAAATCGTCGTTGGCGCATACAAAGTCACATGCAGAACCAAGGAAGCGAGGTAGTCGGAGAATACGACGACTGTGCTGCAATGCGCAATGAGTATCTACATTTCAGACATCAACTTGATCTTTGGCCGAAATGCATGCCCTGCATGCTTGGCTTCGTGGCACATCGACGAATGAATGAAATCAGGCGTGGTCTTCCGGGCCTTTGCCCTTCAAGACAGAACCCGCTGGCACACCGCCTGGACATACACTTCAGCGGCGAATTAGACTCGCGCTGCCTTCGCGCTGCTCTTTGCCATCGATGTCTGTCGGCAGAAGCCGTCACACGCGCTTGAAGCGAATCTACTGAATTTGATCCCATGAAGCCGTAGTGATGTGCACGAGCGGCTGATTCCACTCTGCTCGTTTAGCTGCGCCGGCAAGGCAAGCATCGAATTACTCCACCATGATAGGTTTATATATACCGTAAAGACTGCTTGCGATGTATTGCAGGGCAATTAGTATAGTGGTTAGTACGCTTCGTTCGCATCTTGCGCGCTACGTAGAGTCCCGTGATCGACTCGCGGATTGTCCAACTTTTGCACCGTCTGCCAGCAACGACGTGAGATCTACTCTTCTCCTGACCCAGGGCGATACGAGGACCGTTGCGGGGTTCTGTGGCGCTTCCATGTGACAACACTGGCGATACAATTTTGCCTCTACAAGCGTTCGCATTTTCTTTTTTTCTTTGCGCAACACTGTGTCGGAGCGGCAGCCACCCGATGAACAGCCGTCGTCTTGCTGGTGACAGTGTCCCAGCCGTAAAGCCAATCAGCATGCGCAAGCTCTTACAGTAAGCCACTGGATACACCATTCTCTCCGGCTCAGCCTACCGTGCGTCGGCTCAGCAGCTACAGAGGCTTTCACCATGCGCAATCTACGTCGTGGAAGGTCTGACATTGTTTCGTCTTGCGAGCAAGTCCGCTGCAATAATGCTTCCTTCTCGTTTGAGGCTGTCAGGACTCTTATGAGCATGACTGTTTGCCATAGTCTGCAAGGCACAATACTCACGGAATCGCAGGTACGCTGGCTGACGACCGATTATGAGCGCATCTAGGAGTCTCAAGCGTAGGGCACAGTCAGCTAAGGGATCTCCCAGCTCTCAAGATCTCAAGGCGCGCCCACACAATCTGATGTGTGCATCGTTGATCCCTCGAGGAGCTTTACTTGCCCACCAGAGGCGTCCGAGGCAGTGACACGCTCAGCTTCCATCAGTCGGGATTAGCGTCAGTTGCTTCAGGGACTCACGACCAACACCGATCATGCGATCGAGATGACTGGCAAATGCTCAACGATGGTTGTCGCAATCTTGCACCTTTTCAGCGCTTTTCTGAGCGCTCACCTGCTGAATTGGCCGACTGTGAGCAAGAGCTTGAGATACAACACGTTTGATCGTGTAGGTGGAAGGACAGCATCAAACAGTAGGCTTAGCGGCTGCAAGCCAGCTCGTATAACTGACGCTGGACATCAACAGGAACTACATTTTCAAGCATGATGGGATCCCTCAGGCTCGGTCACAGTGATCATGTATCTGTCGCTGCTGCAAACAGAGGCGAGGAGACCTCGGCACTGACTGTCATACTCTTCGTGGCAGCGCATCTTAAAGGAGACTTGGCGCATGATATGATGGCTTCTGCTTGCTCGTTTTTGCCAGTCGCCATTTGCTGTGACACTCCATATCATTATGATCTTTGGCGTCGTTCATCCTGTTTGACCGTATCTCCGTTCCTGAGCTGCTGGCGCTCTCCAGCAATTTACCGCCGCTCGACCTGACGCGACTTCGACTTGCTGTCGCCGATGACGTTGCCTGCGCCTAGAGCGCTGGACCTGTCGAGCTTCGACGATGTTCCACTCTTCATGCGAGATTTGCCCGCTAGTGAAGCCGAAAAGCCGAGCAACACGACACTGGACGCTCTTCAGACGCTGATATATGATGGCACGCCCGACGAGATTGCACAGAACCTCAAAAGCCAAGGCAATGAATACTACAACGGCAGACGCTACAAGAAGGCTCTTGGATTCTATACGCAGGCGATAGACGAGACGGGCAAGGAGATTGCGCCCCAAGTGAAGCGCGCATTGCTGTCCAATCGTTCGGCTTGTCACCTTGAGCTGGGTCAGCACGCTCAACANCTCGAGATAGCTNTAGCTGAGATGGCGCCATAGCAAACTACAGAAAATGTCTGACTGATTGTGCTGCTCTGCTCGCACTGCCTAGCGAGTCTGGCGACAATGATGGCCTGACATGCAAGGCCCTCTATCGCTCTGCGTCTGCCCTGTTTGCGCTCGGAAAACTAGAAGAGGCATCAGATGCTATCTCAAGACTACTGAAGACCTCGAGCGCAGCACCAGATAAGGCGACAGAACAACTTGCATTCAAAATAGATGAAGCTATCAGTGTGCAGCGCGGGAAAGCAAAGACAGCCGCCGAGCGCGAACGTCGAGAGAGAGAAGCCTTGAGCGCTTTGAGGCAAGCTATTACAGTAGCTTGTTTGCTTCGATGTGNATCTTCATGCGCTNANNATTTGCNAACAGTCTCGCGGCGTGTATCTACCCAGACAGTGGCCGCCCAACGACGCATCTGTCATGCCAATTTCTGAGCTGCCTCATTTTGACCCTGACGAGCCTGCTACATCAAATTTAACAGAGCTGAACCCCGTCGGATCCCGAGCGAGCTCGCTCATTTGGTCAGTGTGGCTCATGCGCCCGCTTGGCAACCAAGCTACGCGCGATCTTGTCCTGAACTGGCACGAGGACACACCCATAGAGACGCAGCTGGCAGCAGTCTACGAAGGCGCAAATCTGGATCTGGCAGTGCATCAGTTCTGCGTANTCACCCGTCAAGGCAGNATCGTCAAGCTTGGCAAAAAGGTGTCGCTTCGGCAAATGATGCGCGCAGTCTCGCAAAAAGATGACGCTGCCGTCTTGGTGGATGGTCGAGCATTGGANATCTTCATGCTCGATCGCACTGCCGCTGGCGACGCTTACATCGAGCGCNTGAAGAGCAACGCAAGTCGCTGACTGAGCTAGCTAAGAAGCAGATCTTGCTGGCCCCAAATGCTGGCGACAATGAGAACAACCTGCCAGGCTGCTGCGATCTGATCGAGCGCATCGATGGTGTCAATACCGTCTCTTGACAGCGTNGTGATGAGTGTCAAACAGGTTCGCGCCAGGCCTCGAAATTGACCGATCGTGCTGCTATCTTGCAGTTCGTCAAGCTTGAGGAAGCAGAGCATGGTCCACTGATGCCACAGAGGGCCAAAGATAGTCTTGTTGGTAGTCTTGCCGGGCGATGCAGGCGTGGTGCTGGNGCTAGCTTTGCGCTTACGAACAGCGCTTGGCACGATCGCTGTCGAGGGTCCAAAGACTTGTCTGTCAAGAGCCTCCTGGAGCCACCCGTCGATATAGCCCAGCAAGGCNGTGGCTGTCGTCTGTTCAANCATGNGTGAANAGCTTCAGCTTNANGGANCGGCAAGCGNACCTGATCGAGCCAATGCAGCATCGCGAGGGGCGCGTCCTTGCTCTGGTAAGCAGGCGAGTGCGCAATCTCTTCCTGGCTCAGGCGGGAAGCGGCATTCGAGGTAGTGCTCTTGCCCTGAATATACGCTCTCCAGCCGCTTTCGTCTTGCAAGTCAGGCAGGGGCAGATAATGATCGGGCAAGTCGAGTCCATATGATCCTGAGCGAGCAAGCCATCTCGTCTGACGAAACCTGGCAACAAAGGCTTCTCTCCAGATGGAA